AAAGTGGGAATGAAAGACGCGCGGACAGATACATGGGTTGGAGATCAAAAAAAGGAGAAGGTGGATGGTCGAGTGGTACAGATGGGTTTGTAGTGTGGAGGGGATTGTTCTGGGCTATTCAAAAAGGCCCAGTAGCGACGACGAGTTGTTTGTTAGATGAGATTGTATGTAGATGAGAGAGTATAGAAAAGTGGTTGATAGTGATGATGATGGAAAGTCAGGAAATTTGCAGCAATTCCATCTTGAATGCGTTGATGGATGATGGGATGTTGTCATTGAGATTGCAGCGCAGCTATTCAAAAGATAAAGGAATGGTATACAGGTAAATTGAGCAGAGAAACGAGGAAAAACTAGTCAGCATCCATGTCGTCATCGAGGTCAATCGCATCCGGGTTGACTGGAGCAGCCGGGGGCTGCTGTTCCTGGCCAGCTGGAGGTGGCCGGTTGCCACCTTCTGGTCCGGTGCTGGCGGCGACAAAGCCCACGGGGGCACGAGCCTGTCGTTCCAATGCTGCCATTGCGTCTGCACGCTCCGCCTCTGCGTCCACGCCATCTTGCTCGGTGTTGTCTTTGCCGCCATCTTGGGTCCGTTGTTGACTGCGGGCAATCGCCTGGGAAGCGATGAAGTTGACGTCGGTGCTGTTTTGAGGTTAGTCATGAGCCAATTGCTTGCTACACAAGGGGATCACTTACTTGTACTGCGCTTGAACACTGCGCTTGATACGAAGCATCTCCTTGAAGGTGTCCTCGTTTCCGTGCTGGACTTCAAATGCCTCCCATTTCTGCCAGAAGGGCGCGTTGGTCCGGGGATCGCAGAACTGCGACGCATGCCCATAGATAGCACGGGCCCGATCGATTTCACCGAGTCTCCGCTCCATCTCCGCAAACTTGAGGCACATTTCCTTCGCTTCTTGATCGGGCAAGGCTGCAATGGCCCGTTCGTAGATGGGTCTCGTGGACGTTAATCCGAAGTTCGAAGCCGACTTGGTGATGTAGAACTCGAACATTTCAAATCTGTCCTCATCGGAGACGGCGCGGGTAGCACGCTCGTAGATTCTCATGGCATGTCTGGCCAGACCGCGCTCCTCTTCCAGGTTGCCGTACATCAAGTAAAGAGGCTTGGCGAATTTGGGAGGACATCCGTCCAAGGCTTGTTCGAACAGATCGCGGAGTCGTTCAATTCCAATTTTCCGGTCAACTGCCTTGGTCAGGTAGAGGTTCCAGAGCTCGAACGCAACTGGGTAACTGAAGAGATCCAATCCACGTTCGTAGACCTTGAAGGAGTCTTCGAAGTATTTGTTCTCTTCCAGGAGGTTGGCATAGTTGACGACGGTTTGAGGGGTAGCGATGCGCAGTTCGAAAATCCTTTCGTAGACCTTCTTCGTCTCCTCCAGGGAGGACACACTTTCGACCAAATCGACATAGAAACTCCATAACTTCCAGCTCTTGTGCACACGTTGCTGAGGTGACAGGTTCTCGTCGAAATAGTCCACAGTCGACTTCTTCGGTGCTAGCGTTGCCTTCGCCATGATCTCCACGGCCTTGTCGAAGTTCTCGCTCCGGAGTTCCATTTCCGCCCACTCGCACCATGTCTCGGCGAGTTCAGCAACTGATTTGAAAGGAACCTTGACAGCCTTCTCAAAGATGACTCTAGCCGTGTCCAGATCACCTCCGTTTTCGTAGAACTTGGCATAATTGACCCAGAGTTCGGAGAATTTGCCGTGTGCCTTCTTGGGGTTAATAGCCGCAATAGCAGCTGTGTAGGTTTGCACGACCTCGTGCTTGTTGTCTCCCCAGAGGGCCACTCGCTTCTCCCACTCAATGACATTGTTCGGGTTCTGCCTGAGAAGCACATCATTAACAAGGAACGGTCGTCGATCCATGAGTTGCTCAAATCGCATCATCCGCAGATCAAGGTCGAAGTCTGCTTCCTCGTCACTTTGTCCTTTGTCAGTTCGGGTTGCTGCTGATTCCATCAGGCTGCCAATGATAGACTCCTCGAATTCGACATAAGAGTCAAAGATCAGTGTAAAGTCTCTGACCGTCATGACCGTGGTGATACCTTCCTCAAAGACATCTCTTGCTTTTTCGAAATTGCCTCTGGTAATCCAATAAGTGGCCAAACCAGCCCACAGCTTGCCCCTCTGGTCGGCAAACCGATCAATGCCACTGCGCAGAATGGCGTCGACATCAATTCCTACCTGAGGGCCAGTCTCGATCTGCTTTGCCTTTGATACCAGCAAGTCCACCATCTCCGTCCATAGCTGGAAATTACTCTTTCCTTCCTTGGACTGGAAACGGGGGTTGTCGAGTATTTCCATGTACCGCTTCACAGCCTCCGTGTACTGGCCCATATCGACGAGCAGTTGAATGTACTCCTCAGCATTCTCAGGGTGAATCTGCATGTATCGAGCCCAGATCTTCACGGCCGTCTGTCCTGACGCGGAACGCGCAAAAGTCTTGTAGAGCTTCCAAATCCGATTGTGTTGTGTGATTGGTAGAGCTCGCAGGGCACGATCGAACGTCCGTCGGGTTTGCGTGACAAGAGGCTGCTGGAGCAGGAAGGAGAGATACATTTCCCATATCCGCGGCATCTTGTTGAGCAGGATGAGAGCACGCTCGAAGAGCGCGTTGACTTTCTGGTATTCGGCCCGATAAACAGTCGCGTTGCGGCCCTTGAGGTGTTGTGTCCGAAATTCGAGATACTGCCTATGGTCAGCTGTATTCTGACACCTCCATGTGACACGGAATATAATGATATGAGGGGTGCCGCAGGCAGAAAAGAGTCCATACCATTTTCCACAGCTTGTAAGATCTCGGTAGTTCTCTACACGCACGCTCCATAACCTGCGAGTAAATCCATTAGCACGCATACGAGGACGACATCGCGACGGTAGGAAAAACGTACAAAGGCTTGCTCGTAGAGCGTGCCATGTTGCTGTTTATATTCGATATAGGCAAGCCATGGTTTGATACTACCGGGACTGCGAAGGAGATCCTGCTCGTAGACAGTATCCTGATCGGCCTGGAATCACATCGCACAGTTAGCCACATCTTTCTGGTAGTTCAATGGGTGCGTCGCCCCCACTTACAATCAGGTAGAGGTCCGGCCCTGAGGCCGACGTTCGGTCCATCTGAGCGTGTTGCCGGTGGGATCTCGGGGGCAGGATTGTCCCTGGCATTGCGCCACTCAATCGAGCGGGACCAACTCACACGGTCAACACGAAATCCGCAGAAAAGGGGTTCGCATGAACGGGGAAAGCTTGTCTGGTCGCGCGGGTTGGAGAAAAGCGCCGAGCGCTGCGGGCGATGAAGTCGGACATCGTGCACGTGACCGGGAGTCATGCGGGCGGGCACGGGGTGGTCCAAGCTCACTATCGCGCATCGTCATCGCATATCGCGGCCCTCCCTCCTCGCTGCAGCTATCGTGGCCTTTGTCGGGATTGGAGTGGCCCTTGTTGTTCCCTGTTTCTTTATTTTTGTTTTCGTCTGCATAAATCATGTCGGGTGCTGTGGTATGTCCGGATCTGATCCTCCTGTCTCCTTTCAAGAGCTATGCGGGGACATGCATACTGACTACACTTACCTATTCAGGGCCGTGAGGCAGTCTTTCCGACTCGCCAGTCGTTGGGGTTGATGAAGGGTAAACTGAAGGGTGCCGAGACTGGACACAGTTTGTTGAAGCGGAAGAGTGAGGCTTTGACCAAGTACGTTCTTTGACTTGCGCTATTCTAATTGGAGACTGTTATCACTAACCCAACCTGATCTACAGGCGTTTCCGGGGTATGAGAGGCCTTCCTCCCTAAAGCTTCCCACCATGTCAGAGACTAATTTATGTGTCTAGAGATCACCCGGCGCATCGACGAGGCCAAGCAGAAGATGGGACGGGTCATGCAAATCGCCGCTTTCTCGCTTGCCGAAGTCAGCTATGCGGTCGGAGGAGATATTGGCTACCAAATCCAGGAGTCCGCCAAGCAGGCCCGGTTCCGCGTGAGGGCCAAGCAAGAGAACGTCTCGGGTGTTTTGCTCCCTCATTTCGAGAGCTACACGGAGGATGGAATCAACGACTTTGGCTTGACAGGTCTCGGAAAGGGTGGTATGCAGGTCCAGCGCTGTCGGGAGACCTATGCTAGAGCAGTGGAAACACTGGTGGAGCTTGCGAGTCTACAGGTTGGTTTTATACACCCATGGTGTTGTTCAGATGAGTTAACACTGTTCCTAGACTGCATTCGTGATTTTAGATGAGGTCATTAAGGTGGTGAACCGGAGAGGTACGTGCTGCTGTCAGAACTTGTTCCGTCCATTAAGCTAACTTGTCACAGTCAACGCCATGTAAGATATTCATCGCTTCGCCCTAGTAATTCAGATACTAACCCGTTACAGTGAGCACGTTATCATCCCCCGTACTGAAAACACCATCAAATGTTCGTATTCCCTACCCTGCCACCTCCCTCCCAACTAACACAGCCTAGACATCAACTCGGAGCTGGACGAGCTCGACAGAGAAGAGTTTTACCGCCTCAAGAAGGTCTCCGGTAAGAAGCAACGCGACAACGCTGCTGCAGACGCAGAGATCCTGGCTGCGCGGCAGAAAGAAGCAGCCAGGCTGCAGGAGAGCGCCGCTGCTGAGAAGAAGGAAGAAGAGGCGCCTGAAGCGCCCGACGTCCTCGGAGAGCAAGAAGATGCGGACGTGATTTTCTAGGCGCCGTTCAGTTCCCTTTCGCCCTGTAACTAGTACCTCCCTCACCTACACTTTCTAGCCTGGAGCAGTTCTTTTTCGTCACTTCATATGCCTTACACTGTCAGATATCACACCGCCAGCCAAATGATTTACCTCAAAAGAGACATCAGACATGCTTTCTTCCCAGATACCATCCAACAGATCAAGTAGGTAGTAATAGTAATGAAACAAGAGACATACTAGACACGAGGGAGAAAATAAAATAAAATACCCACCCCAACGCCAAACAAGCCACAACCACCACAGACAACAAACACAATCATTGTCTCTGGTAAGTAACCCGAATCGGCTTCCCAGCCTCTCCCATAGGCATCCCCGACGTCGCCTCCTTGGCACTGATAGCCCCAGACTCGTTCTCGTACTCGACGAACGCAATACCCTTGCGTCCGGGCACCAACCGAACCTCCTGGAATCCTTCGAACCGACCGAACACAGCCGTCAGACTGTCCTGATCCGCAGTATCGGGCAAGTCGCGCAAGAAGAGAATCTTGTTCGGGGGCAGATACTCGTCCGGAATAACCGCCGCCGCAGCCCCACTGGTAGGCTTGAGACCAGCGCCCTTGGCGGTTTTCGCAGGACGGCCAGGTTCCGTAGGAGCACCGGGGGGTCGCTTGAGCTTTTTCTGAGCTTCGAGGGCTTCGTGCGCTTGTTTGCGTTCTACACCAAACACCAACCACATGACACATTAGCCTTCCCATCCAGACCAAAACGATAAAATAGACGGAAGGGAATATGCATACCCTTCTCAGCCAACCTCCGTCTCTTATGCGCCTCTAGCTCATCCTCTCCGCCCTCACGCAACACCGTCATATCACTTCTCGTCTTCGCGTAATCCAACACCATCGGTTTGTCGAAGAGTTCGAAGCCATTGATTTCATCGATGGCGCGGGTCGCCGCCTCCACGGTGTCGAACACAACAAACGCCTGTCCTTTTGCCTTGAGGTTCGTTTTCGCGACGATTTCAAGTACCGTGCCGTATTCGGAGAAGATCTCTTCCAGGGCTTCTTTTAGCTGGTCGACTTTGATGCGCTCTTCTAGGTTGCGGACCTATTTCGTTTCATAGGTGTTAGAGGTGCGGTGTGAGTAGGGGGTAACGCTGGGGGGAGTAGTACGTAGACTCTGTGAGCTGGTGGTCAGTTTATGTTATTGCTATATGGGTTTGTTGCGATGCGGGTTCGGAGGAAGAAGAGATGGGAGAGAATGTATTGACTTACGTGCAGTTGGGGGGTATCGGGGTGGGCGCTGTTATGGTCGCCATTGTTGCTGTGCGTTTGTGGGGAGTACCCTTGTTGGTGGAGGTTGAGTTGGAGGGAATGGTGTGAGAGCTATCGGAATTACCTACTTGGAGTAGGTCTCGAACTGTAGATATGTCGGCGACGGGGCCGGTGGATGGGTGCCGCTTTAGCGGGTGAGCTTCGGGTCAGGTGATTGCTGCTGGGTGGGACAGATCCTGCCCTTTAGGAAGCTTAATATGGAGACTCCTTACACCACAACAGCATCATTGGTCTAGTGGTAGAATTCATCGTTGCCATCGATGAGGCCCGTGTTCGATTCACGGATGATGCACAGCAATTTCTTTTTTACTTTTTCTACTTTCTGATAGTAGCAACTTTATTGCTTATTATCTATTCTAGAGTTAATTCATTCTATGTGGTATATTGGCAGAATTGGGAGATCGGCAAAACGACGGGATAAGATATCCATGACTGAGGAATACGCTATTTACAACCCAGCTTCTCCCTCACCTTCTCAACCGGCTCTTTCAACTGCTTGGTCGGTTTGGACCAGTCTTCCATCTTAACTACTTCAATCCCCGTCTCCATGAATATATACTCGGCCACAGTGTTGCGTACCTGCTCTGGTTAGCCGTACACGCCGCAGAAGGAATCGTAAGACCCACCCTAGGGAACGGATGCAGCAACAGCGCCGTCATTTTCTTGATCACTTCCGTATGTAGCTGCTCTATCCTCGATAAAGGCGCATAAGCTCGGACTGCCGCTTCGAGTCGGGCAATGTTTGACGACTTAAAGTGCGCTCTTTGGATGAGGACGAATAGCTTCCGCAGACTGTTACTTGTCAGTATACATTGCAGCCTGCAAATGGGAGAAATGTACCTTGGGGCCGAGTCATCGGGCACAGAAGTAACAAAGCTATCCAGTAGGAATGCTAAGAGCTCGAGCACAGGGATCGCGAATCGATCATCCTGAAGATATTCGCCCAATATGGCGGCCAAGTCCTTGATCATGGCCAATACTGCAGTCTGTGGATCCTCTGCTTCTTGGATACTCTGTACCAGAGCTGAGCGAGATGACCGAATCAGTCCTTCGCTACCCGCAACGGCAGAAGTTGCAAGGCCTTGAAACAGAGGCTGGCGCAGCCAATCAATACTCTGCAACTGGAGCAGTTGCAGCAGATACTCCGCTGATGATACATGACTGAAGTGGTCGTATTTCCTGATTGGATCAGTATCCTTATTTTGAATACACACGGTAGACGCACCTAATCAACGGGGGGAAGCCATTGGCTGTTTCCCAGTAGCCCTGAAGACAAATCCATGCTTGCACACGTACTTTGTCGAGCTTTTCCGCTGCAAGTCGGCAAAGGCACCCAATGATATTTTGCACCCCATGTACTTGATTGGTGAGTCTCGATCCTGCATCTAGGACAGACTTTGCGGCCTGAATCGCTTCAAGCCGTATCAAAGACCCGATATCTCCTCGCCTATCGGTTGTATAATCATTTAGGAACCGGACGAGGTGATTCAGAATGTCATCGGTTACATCTTCAAAGCATTAGCAATTGCTTTACTATTTGGTTAGTAAACATACCTATATGCGGCAGAACACCGGTAGCCAAGCTCCTGACAGCGGCCACTCTCTTCTCGATTAGTTCTTCTTTTTCTGCACATTCTATGATGCTGTCTATAATAGATTTCCTGAGAGGACTATTCTTGCCAATCCGTTTGAACACCGTACCCAGGGCCGTGATCTGACCGCGACCCGTTGGCAGGTTCCAAGTAGTATGAATGTGTGAAAACCACCCCTGGATCATCTTGTCCTGTTCGTCAAGTGGCAAAAGTGGTAGAAGCTCGGATACTGCATTGGATGAGCTCTCGATAGAGGTATCCTCGCTCCGTGATATGCATAACAAGAGTGTTTCTTGGGCCTTGGTAAGCAAATCCACTGAGGGTTGAGAGATTCGCGGTTCACGTGCCAGAGCAACTGATTTGGCAAGAGAGCAGATCAACTGAGAAGAGGCCTCCGCTGTCAGCTCGGGCCGGAAAGTCTGAAGGGTGAGGTCATCTTTGGTTGGCCCGAGCGAAGAGCCAAATATCTCCCAGGCCTTGACCACATGATGCGCGACACTCGTTGCGTCCGATGCATCTCCGGGATCCCTCTCACGCTGGGCGTTGAATGCGTCAACCGTAGCCGCAATGGCCAAAAGACAGCCATGTCTAGTCTCCACGTCACTATGTGGGATACTGGATAACCTATTCAGCAGCCGCTGGAACACTTGTGCCATTGTTTTGTATGACTGCTGCGTACTCAAAACTCCGATCGCTTTGGCTGCATGCCTGCGGGACTCTGCATCTGGCGAGCCAATACCTCGCCAGTGCATCAATGATTCGACAAGGGGGCTCCAGTAATGGAGGCTGAGAGCAGCGGTAGCGTTGGCAACATCGATCATTGCCCGCGAGCGCCGAGCAACCGCATGGTAATCCACAACCTGCACAAGCGATATACCTTCGGCAATTGTGTTGGGGTGACGCCCAATGAGCTCTTGCAATGCTGCAGAAGCACCTCTCCGAATGTTTCCAGACGGATCGACGCACGCGGCACACACCAGCTCAATTGCCAGCATCTGCAATGTACTTTCTCCTTCACCTTGGGCTGCGGCAGTGCTGATTGTCTGCGGTTTCAAGGCAAGCAGTTCCTGGGTGGTATACTTGCGGGACAGCGCCCAAATTCCGAAACACGAGGCATCGCGCACGCCTGTTCCAACAGAGCTTCCAGTTGATGACCGTTGTTCGAAGTCAAGACCCGAAACAAGTGGTTGAAGTACATCGCCAAGTTGATGGGTAGGAGGCGCCCGGCGAAACAGGAGATGGCCGAGCGTCAGGATCAGACCCTGCCACCTTTGAGCGTCGACTGCGCTCAAATTCCGTTTGAGCGTGTTGATCCCTATCCTCCGAGCCTCCAGCGGTGTCACGATGGTACCGTTCGGCTTCTCATACAGAATGTTCTCCTCCAATGAGCCGGTAACAGCCTCGATGACTTCCACAGCCATATCTGGATCCAGCTTCAAAGTAATGATACTCAGGGCCTTGCTCGCCGCGAAGCGCACAGGGGTATCCTTATCAGCAAGTGCTACGAGGAAGTGATCAATTGCATCCTCCAAAATTGTAGAAATCTGGTCGTCCGAGATTGCATTGTCTTCCCTCTCACTGAGAGACAAGGCCATGACTGTTACAGTACGCAAGATTTTGATGATAGTTTTCCGTGCCAGAGCAGAAGACTTGATAACGTCAGAGACCGCCGAGTTGCCCTGCAGAATTTGCAGCGTCTGTCCAAAGACGGGCGACACCAGGGGAGCAAAGTCATCCACCTGACCGGACGCACCCAAGCGAGCAATGAAAGACAACACGCCAATACACGTGTAGACTGAAGGGGGATCAGAACTACCTGCAGGCTGAACGAGCGAAAACGCCCAGTCTGTCAGGTTAGTCAAAAGCCCAAGCGCCTGCATATCACGCCGAAGCACCAGTCGTGCCAGGACAATGGTAGCGGCTTCCCGTTCTTTGCCCGAGACGTGAACATAATTCAACGCCAACGAAAGTAGAGATTTAGTAACCATTGGTGTCTGGGTCGGCATCTGTTTTAACGTGCCGAGGTTGTCATAAGGAACCGGGATATCATCCGACGACATCGAAGCCAGGTCGAAGGGGGCAAGTAACAAGTGTGAGAGCCAAATCAGCATCACGTAGCGCTCTTCCCAGACCAGTCGCAGGGGAATGTCCCCAAGGCCAAGCTCAGGTTCATCTTTGACAGCATCCCATTCAATGAAAGCCCGGAGGAGCGGATCAAGATACTTGGGCTCATTGTTCAAGAACCTACTGATGACTTTGACTCCACGGACTTTGCAAAAGGTATAAAGCAGCCTACAGATCGCTCTTGGGAGAGGATATGCCGTCTTCTGGCCTTGCAATCCTGCAGGCTTAGCCGCATATTGGTCGCGGTGCTTAAGCAGGTATGCCAGAAAAGCATCAACTAAAGGGGGTAGAAGGGTCTGCAGGTGGGGGTCCAGCAGCTGCGGCCACTCCTGAAAGGGCTCCAACTGTAGAGTGGTCAGCTGTCTCTACAATTCTACAATAAAGATTCGTAGACTGATCATTGGGATTGGGAAACGGCGTGGGCAGCTTGCTTACCAGGCCGACGAGTCTTTCTGTTTTTGCGGCGGGGGTCCATCTCCGTGGAATGCGGGTGTTTGGCTGTTCGGGTCGAGTCTTCCAAAGGAGAGACGGTAGCTTCTCGGAAAACTCTTGGACGAGGTCTCCAGAGGCGCGCTGGAGCTTAACCTCCCTGTCCTCTGCCGCATCCATGATGGATTGCCACTAACCACTAAGTATCGAAGCGTTGAATGTACCAAATCAGGAAGATTGAAGTCGCCGCGGGGATTCCATCTGCTGGGTGGTGCTTAGTCATCACTATACAGATCGATCTCCAACTGCATTATTGTTCTTGTTTAGACAGCTGAACATGATTCCGGCTACCTAATCTTACGACGTTATATCTTCTACTAAGTCTATTAGCAGCTAGTCTGGTACAGCTACTTACTGGTTGGAATCATGGAACCCGGAAATGGGTCCGCCTGCTGACAATAGTATAAAATTATATATTTCTATCTATCTTCCGTCCCGTTCGGCTATAAGAGTTCATAAAGAGCTCAAGCTCCATGGCAGACCAATATCTAAAGGCGCATTTAGATGGTGATTTACATATAATTCACATATAAAGACTGTTTAAACTTTATTGAATATAAAAACAAGCCCCTTAATCGATGAAATCCATAATTCCTCACAGAACAGCATGGAAATCGCATCATCCACGTTCAGAATCACCGCCAACAGGTGTATAGATTCACCAAATTGTGAATGACGTCTCGTCGTGGGAATATACCAAGTCAAAGTTACGATGAAGAGTAAATTTGGTTCAGTGACGATGCAATTGTAGTGAAGTTTTCACATGACCCGGTCTATATAAAGGCCTCAACCACCCTGCCCTCTCCGACTTCCGGATATAATCTAGCAGAGTCTCTATTATACTATCTGCAGATCTTTATAATACAATTTATATCCAAACACTTACTGCTACTCGATGCATATGAAAGCTCTTTAATACCTAACCATTAATCGAAAGAGCGCGATAGCATCTTCATGTGATTGAACATACAAAAGTATTCATACCCGATGACAGGGATATTGGTCTACAAAGTACCATCAAGGTAGGCCGACTCAGTAGCCAAGCCAGTTCAACTACGGTATATCAGTTTCCTGACCGATTTGGAAGCCTTCCTGACTGTTCCTCATAAAAGTCCGACATCAAATTCTTGAAAATCGGTCCTCTGGACCATTCCCTACTGCGTGCCGGCACCTCGCTCCGCATAGTGGGAGCCCTGAAACACGCTATCCTCCTTTATGCAATCTTGTCAAGCAGAAATATTCTAAATTGTAGTTTTTGGTCCTTCATGCCTCGTTCGATGAAAGAACTAACACGCGAATCAAAGAACTAACACGCGACTGCGGCACGTTCGAGCAGCGCTTGCAGCATGGTTCGCCATATGGACCAACGCATCCGTTGATTTATTAGCTAGCAGAGCATGGGACCTCTTTGTTCATTAAAAACTGTGTTTCCACTGGCGGATGTTCCTTCCAGTGAAAAGAAAGTCAGAAGCTTCTTCATCAGCTCAGAGATATCTGGGCGATGAAAATAAACCGAAAGTGGCTGTTCATTGGCTATGAACTTCCGTGAACCACCTCAAGGGACCGGACTATGAGAGTCCTAGAAAGAAGCTAGGCTACGGAGAGTATAGGCATGGTCGGTTCTACCGTGGCAACTTTATGTGGTTTTGTAACCTGGGCCCGGACCGCACCATGTGAATAAGCCAGGAGAAGACGTGTTACCATGTGAACACGTCCACAAACTTAATTACCTCCAAGGATGCAGTGATTGATGGATGAAAACACCAACAAAAACAGCAGATGGCATCCTTGAGTAGCATCCTGAAGTGGTTCCAATATGCTGGGCCAGGGCTACCCGGTGCTACACATAGTGTGGCCTTTTGAAGACGACGGAGAACCCTTGCTCCAAAAGGTTGGGGCAGTTCTCGGGCTTTGAACAGGGAGAGTCCCATAGAAGCCGGTATGTGCTCAACAGAGTTGAAATCTTGTGGTCAGTTACATCTCAGGGCTGTTTCTGGTCTATGTATAAGCTCATCAGCAAAAGCTTCGTCTGACAAAGGCCTGCGTGGAGGAAGACATGTCTGCTTACTTGATGCAAACATGAACAGTTATTCGAGTCATGAGCTCATGTCCTACGCGTGATACCAGATCGAAGAAAACCACCACCAGCAAGTCAAGCCGAGATGACTATCATATCATTTTAGGATGGGGGACTGCTACCGCATAAGACACATCTTCGGTATCATTGTCAGAAAGACACCAGATAGCCAGAGCAACTTGTCTTATAGCCGAGGTTCATATGAGAACAATCCGAGTTACCAAACCTTACGTCTTGAACTTCGAGAGAGGGCAGCAGGTATCAGAACCAAACCCCATGGGACGTGGTCTTTGCTCACCATCCTCATAGCCTAAAGTGGGCAGTTGGCTACTCTATCACATCTTTTGGAGATATCGACAAATACTAAGCGTCATACTCAGTACAAGGTATCCGGCTGCCTGATCCCGGTGAACCAGAGAACTCGTCGTACCGAGGCGAGCGCAGCAGACTAGATACTAAAGGAAAGAGTCAGCTATGTAGTTCTCGAGCCAATGACTGCAGCCGATCAAGATACTTCTTCGCCCTACCTACGCTCAAGCCTGACAGAGTCGTCATTCCGAAACCGCAATAGAGTCCTCGCTCGCGACTGACTGGCAAAGGCCACGGGTACGAATTGACGAGATACCGCAGATGAGGAGATACTTGGAAGGACGAGAAGTTCGAAACTCAGTCTTAGAGTATACGTATCCTGGGTCCTGAATACTACAATAAGCGCTTGTACCAGTGACGTTCAAGCCGGAAATGTGCAAAGCATTGTGGAAATACGCAACGACAGTTGGTCAAACGAAAACCGAAGAGACTGTACAGCTTCTCCCGCGTTCTACACGAGACTGGTTGATCAGTTTTTTTTTTTTTTTTTTTTTTTTTTTTTTTTTTTTTTTTTTTTTTTTTTTTTTTTTTTTTTTTTTTTTTTTTTTTTTTTTTTTTGTGGTCATGCCCTGCACAGACGCTCCTTCTTATAGTTCTTAATGGGAGCGCACAAGTCCCAACGTCAACGGTCGAATCGGTATCCCAACAACATGAAAAGCTACTGGGATGATCCCTGACACAGCAAATTATGCCACTCTCAAGAATCTGTCACAGTTCCATGGATTAACGGAACAAAATCTATAAACCTAAACGTGGGCCACATCATGGAGCGCCCGAACGAGGTGAACCCGGAGTTCAAGGCCTTCAGGTCTGCAAATCGAATAGGCCAGCCAGAGGAGCAGGAGTTCTGAATCCTAACAAGCACGAGAATTTTTGATACATACATCGAAGACACCAAGAACCGTCGGGACCCTGCCTGTCGCAGGTCGTGGTAGAGGGAGATAACCATGGGAATACTGAGGCTGACTCGCTCTTTGATACAGAGGACAAGCTCAGTATATGCTACAAGCTCAGCAGCAGCCAATTTGATAAATGCCCCCAAGCCGTGGCGCCTTAGTCACCCTGGGACTCAATAACATCTTAATGCTGGTCGGTTTACTTGTCATCCAGCACCTGGAGTGATATAATCGCTTTCGACAGTGCTGAGTCCGCTCACGCTTAGAAGTACTTTTTGAAAAGGCACCAAGAAGGCTGTCCATGTAATCAGAGAAGGTGCCTGCTGCAGCCTTTTTCTTTGGTATCAGACAAACCCCTCGCGTCGATTGGAAAGGTACCGAATATCTACCTGGAAATCGAATATGTGATTTAGGACGGACATCCGTCCAAGCCGTATCCCTAAAGGCCCGATGGTTTGGATCAAGGAGAACGGGGAATACCTCTATCTTATCTATAAAGGTTTTTATGTCTTGCATGGGGACGCAGTGTACGTCAATCAGGAATAGCTTATTGATTATAAGTACAACAGGAAAGAAGAATTTGTATAAGGCACGGTTACTATCAGAGCAGGTGCGAGAGCCGAACGCCCGGCAAGTATCTACCATGTCTATACCGGGAACGTGGACCGAAATTCTCATACCTGATCCAACTGCAGATGCCCGTATTGCGACGGCGCCCCCCTGACTTTGTGCTTCAATCTGCTTGGACAATTAGTTTTCTATCATTCGTCTCACTCTTTGTTTCCTTCGTTTCCTGTTCTCTCGTCTTGCGCGTCTCGCATTAGCTTGCCTGCATGTCTTATATTATATCAGCGTGGGACACGCCTTTATTCAAACAGGGCAGGCTACAGCAGGTACCTTATCTTCCGGGAAGCACTGCTTAGCTGCTTAATGTCCTTTATCCGGCCTGGATAGCACAGGACAGAGGCTCAAGCCCAACCATACCTTCTGACTTGATTCCAAATTTGACCAGATGGCGATGCACTACCTGCCTGGCTGGTTTCCGTACCACGATATGGCCATATTAACGAACAAATAGCGCAATATGCGGTAAAACGTGCTCACTATCTGATTTATCCCGGCTTAAAATAGCTATAGCGGCTACAAAGAATGACCATCCCAATCTAACTCCGACCTAGACGAAACCGCCTAGCTGCGTGGCAGTGATGATTCCCACACCACGACATAAAGTACTTCAGCGTGGGGACAAGGCGTCAAGCGCAACAACACCCAACATGCCGCCACTCCTCTACCTATACAGAGTGGCACTGGTGACGTTGATCAGAACAGATATCACAGGGTCTATCCCCAATCACAGCATAATATCACCTTTGATGATAAATACTGACTAGCAGAGCGGCGATTCTTATACCACATGGAAATAGAAATAGGTCGGGACAAGTTCAAGATAAGAATTATCCATTCTTGATATTCTTTACCTCTGCGCTTCAATTACGAATATGTAACCAGCAAGAACGGGATGATAATTTCTGAAGTGACTACTACTGTGACGAAATGCTGGCTAGCCGAATGGCTGGTTGGGTAGCTAGTTAGTAGGCCACCATATGAATCATCCTCACTGGGATGAAGTATCAAGTTCTAACCACATTCCTGATCCCGCATCTTTTATCTCTACACTTCATGGCAAACCAAAAAAAGGGCCACCAGCAAGGATGCAACCCCAATGCCAATCGCAAGCTAACTACGGCCTTGTCGAATGACCGTCTGTCTGGTCATCTGATTTCTCTCGATAGGAGATGCAATGGCTGTTGAGAGGAGGATGGATATCATGCTAGGAATGAGAGAGGATTCGTGGCTTTTTAAAAAAAACTATAACTGGTGAATTTCTTCATTTATCTGGGAGATAACAGCTATGCCTAAGCTTTAGGCTAAGCTCATGATGAGGAAGACACACGGTGTTTGCCTACTCGTCGTTAGGGGAGGAGAATAGTTACAGTAGCCGTAGCCGTTCAACGATGACAAGTCCTACTGGTGGTGGCTAAGCGCGAAGCAAGCGGATGTTGTTTGCTTCGACATGACAGATGCAATAACAGTCCTAAAGTAGTTAGCCGAGTCTCTATTGTGTGCTAAATACACCGATTTACTCGGATGGTACGCGGAGACCTTCTTCGTTGACTAGGAGGGGGGGGAGGAAGACGAGGATATCGTGATATTCAATGAGGATGTTCGCCGAGCGATTAATGAGGCATTCAAACATCTATCCTCTGCCTTTGTACAGACGGTAGTGGTTTGAGTCAGGTGAATTATGTTGCTTTTGTGAGAAGAGTACGTCCCGCGTGTCCTATGACTCACTACTATAGAAATATCATGGTGGTACCTTTGGAGGGTATAGCCCAGACTGAACCTCTTATAATTCTCTATCATAGATTGGCCGTGTCCCACTTCGATCTATCTGCTTGTACATAATCAATCTCATGAGACTAGTAAATATGCAGTCATTTATCATATCATTCAGGACAAGTAGCTGGACTATCTAAATGCATTGCAAGTCATACCGCGCTAACTAGGCAAGCCCCAAATCCATAACATACAAAATATCCATCAAACCAACGATAAATCTAACGATCGACATCAAATGCCGAAAGACTACGCCTCCGACCAGGCTGATAACTCCCCTTCCCCTGATGCGCCAGCGACAACATAGTCCGACGAACATGCATCACAGTAATAGCAATAGCCAGGGAATTCCACACGTCCTGACCGCGTTCAGACAAGTCAAACTGAGAGATGAACCGACCATCTTCTTCGCCGTTACCGATCTCTCGAGGATCAGTACTATGGGTCAAGATGGCGACGATGGGGCCGCAGATGATGAATCCAGTAAGAAGGGGAAATTTAATGTCCTCCAGTATTTTCGCCTCCTTCTTGTCTGGAGCGTTGTTGATTGTCACGCCGAGTTCTTCTTGGTGTCGCCGGGTAAGCTTTTGGAGCTTTGTGTTCATCTTCCGGACGGCTTTGATAGTCTTTTCGTCTTTCTTCTGAGCATATATCACATGAACTGGCAGTGCATCTTGCATAGTGTCTAACTCGACGTCAAAGAGAGCCCAGTGGATGTATTTCTGGATTGCTTGCTTGATCAAGGGTTCGGGTTGTTGGTGTAGAATGTCACAGTCGCGGACACGGCCACCGACGGCAAACAGACATGTCAAGGCTTTGATAGCTGGATAACCATTAGCATCTGTCTCATAACGCAGTACGTTCTATGAAAGCTCACCGTAGAGATTCGAGCTTCGAGTGACGTCGATAATTGGCTTGTCACTCGCCTCGGAGCTCCTAGGATATAAAGATTCTGGCAGTGTCGGAAAGTCATATCGCCAGCTTCTGGGGACAACCGGCTCAAAGCCGCGCATTGCAAGGCGAAAGAACAAATCTTTTTCTTCCTCATTGAAGAGACCCTTTGGCACATTGATTGCGCTGGCCCAGCGCTTGGCTCTTTCTACTGAAAAGTCAAAGACGATGCCTGTCTTCTCAGTATGATGGATGGGTCGGTCTTGATACTCTTCGTTATCATCCTCGGTCAAATAGGCTGGGTTTGCATTTTCGGCCTCGATCGACTTCATCGGAGTCGCCTCCGGTTCGGAAATCAAAGTTTCACCTGGAACGTACTCCTCATTTTCCTTTTTCGGAGTCTTCTTCGGAACATGGCGAGCATGAGGGAGCGCAGACGAAGCGGTTCCAACCTTGGTTGTACTTTTCTTTCGAAGAGTATCCGGCGTTGGATACAGGATCGCACCTAGACCCGTCGTTCCATTATCAATTTGTGGGAACTGAGTCACCCCCTGTTGATACACAGGATCGATTTGAGCAGACGGCGTAACGGGGAACTCTGTTTCTATCGGCTTCTCAGGAGTCAGATGGCGGGCATCGACAGACGATACTAATGCAGAGTTTGGTATCACCCTTCTCTTCTTGGGAGCCCTGGCGGTTGCTTCATTGTCCTGACTGCTATCACCATCATCCTCTTTCCCTGGCATGTATGTAGCATCCACACCAGGTTTCCTCTTTCTGTTCTTCTTCGCAACCCTGTCGATGAGCTCACTGGGATCAATCTCATTTGAATCTGGGTTGAAAGTGTCATCTTCATCGTCATCTTTCCCCGGAATGTATGTAGCATCTATATCCCTCCTCTTCTTTCTAGCTCTTTTACCATCCTCGATCTTCAGCTCATTTGGATCAACCTCATCCGCATCCGAAACAAACTCTTCCACATCCTCCTCGACCTTAATATGCTCCTGAATGTAATCCGGATCCTGCTCTGTCGGCACCGGCCCGCTACAATTGGCAGGAGAGTTCCTCGGAGATACTGATCGCGCACGAACAGTCATATATGCGTTACTTTCTGAAGTATGAAGCAAAGAGGCAAGACTGTCACCGGTGCTATTACGTCGTTTTGTCGCTCCTTGCAACACGGTGGATACTTTCTTAACGAATCCACTTCGGACAACAAAGCGATCACTATGCAAAGGCAAGGATGGCGAAACGAATGAAGAGGTCAGATCAGTCGATAAGAGACTCTTGAACCCGGACGAATCAAGCTCCGTAAGATTTATGTCGGGGTCGGTGTCAGGGGTTAGTGATGTTGGTCCAGTGATATTCTGAGGTGGAAGTGAGGAGAGTAGCTCGAAGAGGAGTTGAGAAGAAGACATGATGTCTTTGTCCTAGATAATCAACGCTTCTGTAAGAAGGGCCTCATTCGACGATGCTTTGTGGAGCTGGAGACGAGTGTTGGACAAAGAGGGACAGAACAAACAGAAGAGGGGATCCGTTTGGGAGACCGAGACAACACACTGGTCTGGGGACAACAATGGACCACCCTGAAACTTGGGAGAAGGAAGACTGCAGTCACTGAGTGTGACAAAGGACGGGTTAGTGCCTTCCCTCCGCATCTTGACTTTCGCAACTGAGTTGACAAAGAAATCTAGATCATGTCACTCCAGAGAGCAGCTCTACATATATATGCTATTCCAGATGCATTCTTTCACTCGTCAGTTCCGCGTCTTCCATTCAGTCATACAGCATTAAACAGTGAGTCGAGAGAAACGCTGAAGCAGAATTACATTCCAGGAACGGGGACTCGCCCGCAAAACAACAGGAATTAAAAACAGCCTAAGATGCTGAAGACATATAAGAAAAAATACTCCCCAATCAACCCCTCATTCCACATTCACAAATGCCATCATAGCGCTAACACCAGCTCTCAAAACTCTTATGGGTATGTGGGAATCCTTTGAGCGCAAATATGCCGAGCTGCCGGCATCAAGAATTCCGAGAATCAGATCGTGCCAATGTTGACATGAGGTAACGACTAAACAACAGAAAGCCCGGACGACATTCAAGACGACGCAATTACGCAAAGTCCGCGGTGTACGAGAAGCCGCGGAACTCTTCCTGCATTGCCTGGGAGAGGACTGGATACTGAGTTAGCGGGGAAGACAGGCTGACAGGGAAATCTATTGATCTCTTACCTGATTGCACGGGTGTAAGGACAGGAGTGACGCTGGTGAACTCCTGGTCGAAGTTGCTAGTATCGGTAGGGCTGCTAATTTGTGGCAAGAACGGCGGGGGCACCCGCTTGTGGTAGATGTCATCCCAGTTGATGTTCCTGAAGAACGCATGAGACATGACTTCTTGGGCATCGGTAGGTCCGGAGCCAAGACGCAGTTCCGGCTCACGGGTGAGGAGCTTCTGGAGAATCGAGACCGAATCGCGAGGCATATGGATGGGGTATAGGGGCTCATCGGCAAGAATAGCATCGTATATTTCGTCCTCATCTTCACCACGGAATGGAGACTGCTGAAGAAGCATCTGGTAAATGAGGACACCGAATGCCCACCAATCAACAGCACGGCCGTATCTCTTGTCCAGAAGAATCTTTGAAAGCATAAGTACTGAGTAAACACGAATCACAAGAAATGTACTCACCTCCGGCGCCATGAATTCTGGAGTTCCACAGAACGTGCTCGTGGTCGCACCATACCACATGTTCTCCTTGCAAAGACCGTAATCAGCAACCTTAATGTGACCGTCCAGGGTCAACATGATGTTGTCGAGCTTCAAATCACGGTAAATGACACCGTTCTCGTGGAAATACTTGAGTGCTAGCAGGACCTCCGCAGCGTAGAACCTAGAATCATCAGCAACTCTACTATCTTCTGATCACCGTGTCCGTCTATAACTTACTGTGCCCGCTTGAGACCAAACTGGCCGCGCTGAATATGCAACATCAGATCACCACCGCTAATGTATTCCATGACGAAGTAAACGCGCGTCTCAGTCTGGAAACAGGCGTGAAGGTTCAGCAAGAAGGGGTGACGCTCCTTGTTCGCGATCATGAAGACTCGCTTCTCGGACTTTGTGCTTTCTACTTCGTCATTCTCGATGATGAACTCCTTCTTCAGCACCTTGATAGCGTAAAGCCTCTTGGTGCTCTTTGTTTCTGCCAGCATGACCTTTCCGAAGTTACCCTTACCCAGAACCGCCAGGAAATTGAAGTGGTCCAATCCAATCCGGACCTTTGGCTGCTGAGGAGCCTCAGGAGGCTGCTGTGAAACCATTTGCATAGCCGGCTGCTGTGCAGGCATGCCATACGCGGCTGGAGCTGCATGCTGTATCGCTTGAGGCGGCATGCCTTGCGGCGCATTGGCGTACGGCTCGTACGCCTTGGGGTCATAGGTAGGCAGCTGCGGCTGCATCGGGCGATTCTGCTCCACTGTACATTACGAGTCAGTATTCGATCCAATATTTGAGGCCACTGGGCACTAGAACGAACCTGGCATTTGCTGGGGCGAGGGCATTCCCGTCGCGACAGTGGCAGCAGCCACAGCCGCACTCGACGACGTTCTCGGGGGCATCTGCTGCCTTGCAGCGGCCGTCGGGGACTGGGGAGGCATGTACGAGTTGGTAGCTGCGCTCACAGCTTCAGCGGAAGGCTGGCGCTGAGGTGCTCCGTACGGGCTCTCGACAGGCTTCTGCGGGTAGGCCATAGCCGCACTGTCCTGAGGGCCCTGGGGTGTGCCGCTGGGCCGCAGGGTGCGGCCGCTAAGACCAGAGCTTACAGAGGCGGTCTTGTTATGGTTCTTGGTGCGGATCAGGGTCTCCAAGATTTGGTTGGCCGCCTCCATGGACATACCACAGAAATCAGGCACCAGATGTGTACAATGCGAGTGACAAGTAAGACCACACTCTGCAAACAGTTAGTATACGTCGTCACTGTAGGTCCCTTAGGGATTCTTTGAAGAGTCCAAATACCTGTACATCGCTTGGCGTTCTTCCGCCCAAAGGGAAGCAGATAACCACAGTGACAGCACCAGTTGGCGGAAATGTTGGAGAAACCCTCGAAGCGATGCGGAATGCGGTGGTTGATCTTTTCTTCGTCGGGATCGGTCTCATAGTTTGCTTTGCTGATACACTTGGTGACAACCTTCGGGTAGCACTTCTTGTGGCAAGTGTACTTGCAGTCGGCGCACTGCATACCGGCAGCGTACTTGAGGAAGTCGCCGCAGAGGGCGCAACGCATGATGTTGTAGAACTGCTGGGTGACGAACTTGTGGCCCTGCTTCTCGTGAACCTCCTCCTTCTTCTGACGAACTGCACCCTGACGGTTGAGACCGATATCGAATGGCCGGCGGTCCTTCAATTGCTTGGCTACAGGCTGCGTCAGTACAATCGGAGTGCAACATTTGACCAAACCTACCGAAACTCATTGACAGGTAGATACGACCAACTGGCTCCAGCGCGAACCACGAATCGATCATGACCTGGTTCCCAGCAGGCGCTCCGGCATTTCCATCTCCGTAGCCCTGACTCGGCGCCGCACCAGGGCCCCCAGGCCCTGATGGGTGAGCAGAGCCTGCCCCCCCAGCGGTATCCGGTCGTCCCTGCGCACCTCCATGCTCCATCTTATCTGCAGAAACCCAGCCCGATGCGTTGAACTCAGACTCGATCTTCTTACGACGCATCTCTTCCGCGATGTCGGAAATGCGCACCCAGAGCATGCCAATCGGCGTAGGTCGGTCACCAGACTTATCGTAGACCGTAAGCTCGATCTCGTTTGCCTTGTCGATATCGATGTTGAATGTTTCGTCCTGCCACCTGTCGATGCGTGTCGCTTTTGTCCGAGCCTTGATGGTATCCTCCACCTTCAGCACAATGAACGTCTCGGGACCTCTGGAGAATCTCGAGCTAGCGGCATGGTCTACGTCCTTGACGGCATGAATGCGGAGGGTCAGTAGACCCGTAAGCGGCTTGCGCAAATTGGGGGTGCTTAAACTCTCATCTAGGAAGACGATATTAGCACGTTGGAAAACATGGCATGACAGGGAAAGCGAAGGGAAGCCTCAATGGCAGGATTACATACCATCGGGAGTATCTGTCGATTCAATGTCGACGTGGAGATCTTCATATCGCTTAAGGGCCTGCTTCAGCAACTGAATCTTCTGGTTACTCTCAATCCGCCGGCCTTCGGCATCCGCACGGCTCTTCCGATCACCCTCATCCTGATATAAGCGAACCATCTTCTCGATACCCGCCTTGTACTGCTTCTCCACACTCAGTTTGAACTCGAGCTGTGACAGCATGAGCTGGATCTTGGGTCCAAGATATTGGGTGTCATATTTGATCAGGTCTGGACAGGGTCGACGTCAGTCCGAGAAGAGCTAATGCAACAGAGAGCGACCTGAGCTCCAGCAGCTGCAGAACAGTACATACCAAGCTTTGTGTAATTGGGCCGGGCCTTGGGCACGGGAGCGAAAGGTCGCGGGTCTGCATATGGGGCCCCTGACGGCATAGAACCAGCACCACCGTGCGGGTAGGCTCCGGAAGCATCACCATATTCCTCGTTACCCCCATAACCCGGGCCGTAGTCCTTCTGAGGAGGAACGGGACCAGCCTCAGGATTAGGCGGGAGACGCTTATCGGTGGGAGAGCCACCACCCTCGTGCTCCATGCGACGGAGCTGCAGCTCCCGCATCTTCTCCTCCAGGTAGGCGATGTTCTTTCGGCCATCGCGGATGTTCGCATCGACTCGCTGTTGCACTAGGGGATTATCGGTCGATTGTCGCATATTCGAGGCGGCGGTGATGAGAGCCTTTTCCCGCTCGATCTTGCGGTAGACCGAGGCGATGAGATCGTCCCCGTCCATGGTGTGAGGCGTTGTCCGCGGACAATGGGAAAATCGAGGGGAATGGAACGGGATCGACGCAATGCGACCGGGGGGTGCGGGTTGGGAGGAGGTGGGGTGTGGTCCCTTATGAATACGTAAAAGAAGAAGGGGGAAAAAGGGACGGGGGGAAGAAGAAAGAAAGTAGAGGAAGTAGCTAGATAAGTTGCAGGGGAAGGGTGGGGAGAGTGAGGAAGAGAGAGAGACAGGGAAGGGGGAGGGGAGAGGAGGGGGGGGGGAAGAGGGATGAGGATGGGAAATGGCCGACGATCGGGGGAAGGAAGTTTGTTGTGGTGGTGAGGTTACGGAGAAGAAGGCAGAAAGAAGAAAAGCAACAGCAACAGCAACAGGCGTCGCGGGGCTCTTGTTGACAGTTAGTTGCAGGGAGGGGGAATCCGATCGATCGCGACGACGGGATGTCAGGTCAAGTCAGCTCAAAGGCAGGCAAGGCAAGAAAGTCCAGCAGGGTTTAAGCCACTCGGAAAACGTGAGACAAATTGGGCCCGTGGCGATGGACTTTGACGGCTCAGACCCTCTTCTCTCGTGGTGTCTAAATTCCACCTGTGGCTGAGGCAGTGGATTTATGGGAAACGAGGAACGGGAGGGAATCCCAGTACCAACTGGAGTATTCGGTTTCACTACGAAGAGAAGAAGAGAAAAAAAGAAGAAGAATAGTAGAAGGTAGGAAAAGAAGAAGAAAACTGACTACAAATCTGCGTTCATCTTCGTTTTATTATGTTTTTCCTGTTCAATCCTTTCTGTTTCCTTACCGCCCGCCATAGTCACTCACACTCACACTCACATTCACGTTTCTGCTCCTTCAGGCAAGCAGTCGCGGGTTCGGAATGCGATGGACTTGGTAACGGATCAGGCAAAAAAAAAAAGTCAATCCGCATTGCTGTTCTTTCCCCATAATTGATGGACTGATCTCTGGATCGACCATCGGGGCAACAACACGGCCGGGAATGATGCAATTAAATCAACCTTCCTTCTTGCCCTACTGACTGACTGACTGACTAGGGGCTTGTTCCGCACAGGGTCTCTGGCCATCCATGGATGATTTGTTTCATCTTGCACGGAGAATAATTAGTATTTGCCAGAGGAACACCCAAAGTCAACCCCAACAACAACTAGTCCTTCAGCCCAGGCACGCAATTCGGGCCCAATCATCCGATCTTTCTTCTCGGGTGATGCGAGATAAACTACCGTTAAACTATAACGTCGTGTTCCCTGTCTTTTCGGGCCCCCTCCTACCATCAACCCTGCCGTGGTGTTGATGGACTTGGCCTGATCTTCCTTCCTGCGTGCCCACCTTCGGGTGTGTCCACTTATTGACCGTTTCCTCTCACCTGCCTTTTTCTAAAAAGAAAAATTTTCAAACTAAAAAAAGGCAAAAAAGGCACTAAATTGTTTGTTTCCATGGCTGCTGCTGGGTTCCTCCCCCATCAAAGTATTGTCTCCCACTTGGCAACCGAGATCTATGATCCCCTTAAACCCACAGCCACAGTCGCCGTGAATGACGTCTACAACAGGGTCGAGGTCCACCTTCCCCTCCCCTCCTCCTGTCGCCTGGATGAGGGGTTTGCTGGGGGATTCTACCGCCCCTTGCTTCAACGCACTTCCAAGTCTGCACCAGGCTGGTTGCAGGTCATGTGCCGTCGGATCATCCGTCGATGGCTGCCTTACTAGCCTAGAGTCCTGCGATTGGAGAGGAAGATGCACCTGGAGAGAGAGACACGAAGACCCCGCGAAAAAAGAAATGGGAAAGGCAACAAGTGAACAGCCCCAAACAACAGAAAAGAGAGAACATCCCCGAGCGGTAGGGAAGAGTTACGGGGATCAGAAGCGAAGGGGAAAGCACACTACAATGAACTTTTTTGACTTGAAGCGTGACGCCGGATGACAAATTGTGACTGCACCCTGCAGGATGACGAACAGTTTTACTCGGATCTCTTCGACATACGAGGAAGAGACAGCCACCCCACGAGCATTACACCGTACAGTCCAATGCATATCGGATGCAAGACGTACGTGCTCACCGTTTGAGCTAGAAGCCCGGTGAAGAATGGCGACACAGCTCCCCCGCTGCTTCCCATGGCACTGATAATGCTCAGACTGGACGTCTGCATCGAGCGCGGCAGTAGCTTGCTGAACACTACCGTGGCGCAAGGATACACTGGTCCCAGTAGCAGGCCCACTACGGCCACGGCCACGGCGTCCCCGATGATGTTGGGAATGAACCAAGTCATGAGCTGGAAGGCAACTGATCCGAGCACCAGTAGGATGACGGATAGCTTCTCCCCGACTAGGTGGGCGGGATGCGACAGGACGAACCGTCCAACAGTAATGCCAGCCCAGAACCCGGCACTAACGTAGCCAACCCGTGAGGGGTCCCCATGACGATAACTGATGAGGAACGAGACAACCCAGCCGGAAATCGACACTTCTGCCCCTTGGTAGGCGAAGATGAATAGAGCCCCAAGGAGAGTGGGTCGACTCTTCAGTGCTTGCTTCAGAAGGTGTGGTCTGGCCGCTTGGGTTGGGCCAGGCGTTTGCTGAGAAGTGGTACGGTGGAGCGCCGTCAATAACTGTGTTGGGAAGTCCTTTTCATATTTCTGGAACGCCCAAGCGGAGAACACCAGGTTGATCAGCGACATGGCGAGGTTGATACTGTAGAAGTAGGACCATTGGACCCCATGAGATGCCAAAGCCGTCGCCACAAGTGGTGCTATGATGCCGCCCAAGCCATAAGCACCATGGAGACCACCCAAGGCTGCAGTGCTATTCACAAGGTTCGCGCAAAAGACATTATTCAAGGCTAGGTTGATGGCCATGCCGAGGCCTAATAGAAAGAAACTGGCCACGACGGCAGGGAAGGGTGGCTTGCAGATGATGATGACATAACCAGCGGTTATCAAGCTTGTAGACAAAGAATAAGTCTTCGACCGGCCAAGCTTCATTTCCAGCGCATGAACCAAAGGGGCAGCAAGAATGAATCCCAACGCATTCGTTACAAAGATCAGCGACACGATAGCATATCCAATATTGTAGTCTTTCTCCATGTAGGGGATGAGGGCCCCAGGTGCGCTGTCATTCAATCCCCCGGCGAAGTTCATCAAGCAGGCACTCAACAGCCGCCATTTAGTCATTGGTGGACTCTGTATTGCGGGAATGGAGTCCACAGCTTCCTCTCCCGGCGAAGTGGGATGGCTCTCCAACTCACCAGGGCTCACGGGTGTCTGCGAACCCAGGGTCTGCTGAGAGGAGATATCAGCGGTCTGTTGACTGCGTCGCTGAAGGCCTTCTAGTTCATGGTCCGATGGAGCATAAGCAATCCCTTGCTTATCCTTGCGCACCGCCGCCGCAGGACTCGTTATTAATGGTGGGCTCTGGATGTCCACAAGAGTGCCCAAAGCTGAGAGCGACATCTTCAGTGGCGTATCCAATGAAGAGGAGATGTTCCTAAGAGGTTTGTAGTACGAAATATGTCCGAGACCCCAGGATAAACGATTCTTTTAGGGAGGTTTGGGGATCCCCAACGTGTCGGGGTCATTATTAATATCCATGGAGGTGAATTAGCTTGAGCGGAATATCACTCCGCGAACCCCACCAGTGAGCGAAGTTCAAAGAGATAAAAGCCGGAAGCCAATCAGACACATGCAAGTTTCACGATATGATACATCCACTCCAAATGCCGGCAGAAGGGCCCAAAAACACGAGGTCAAGTGGTCTAGATGCCCGCCTTAGGCCAGACATTGTGCAGGGAAACTGACTCGCCAGGAAAGACCTTGATTCGATGGATTGTGCAGTGCACTGTGTAGCCAACTAAGATGCCACATTCCTAACAACCGATGGACATGAGCACGGCCGTAAGTAGATAGTACTGGAGCTCTACTCCGTAGATGGCGGAGATGAGGAGAGAAGAGAGAGAGCGAGATTGGCAAAGAAGCGGATGGGGGACCCACACTCCCCACCGGGGATTTTCTGCCGCCCGAATTTCTTCATTCGAGTAAAACTCTCCGCAGTCGACGGTTTCTCGCATTTTGCTCACACTTTCTTCAGTCTTTGGTGTTCATCCCAGTTTAGATCGACACTACTTCCCGCTGAACCACTTGCGTATACGTTAGAAATGGGTCCCCCTAGGCGCAAGGTTCTCGCTACGGCGGAAGAGACCATGTTCCCGCCGGATGAGCTGTCTCAGGGCCATCTAATTGCCCGGGCTATCAAGGCGACCGGAAACAACATCTACTCGGTGGAACTTCCCTCGAAAGAGTCGGTTTTGGTGGAGCTCCCTGCCCGCTTCCGATCGACCATCTGGATCAAGCGGGGTTCCTACGTGGTGATCGATACCAATGCTCTCGAGGGCCGCGACAACAAGCTCAAGGGAGAAATAGTCAACATCGTCCGTGATGAGAAAGCGTGGCGCAAAGCCCCGTTTTGGTGAGTGGATCCCTCAATCGCGGTGCCTGGGGCTACTACTGATCCCTCTGCAGGCCAAAGGAGTTCGCTAAGCAAGCTGCTGTTGTCGCCGACGACTCGGACGAAGAGGATGAGTCCAATGTCGGCAAGATGCCCTCTTCCGATGAGTCGGATGCTTGATTGGCATCTTGATTGATCCTTTAGGCGTCCGAACCTATCGCATGGGCAATGGACTACCTGACAGAGCAGTCTTACTTATTCAGGGATTCTCATGGGTACAAGACTGATTGCGATTATCGATGCACCTGTCACAGCCCGATCTCGACACTGGCCGGGTGTCACTTCTATTGGTTATGCTCTTTACCGCTAGGGTTCGAACGCATGGTATAAAAGGCGCTGGCACTATTCGCAAGGACGCCGAAACTCTGGATAGCAAGTGAGAGGACAACAATGATGGAACTGAGGTTGGTGCTGGGGAATGTGTTCCAAGCCCACTCTTGCATAGCCCAGATAAGGTACAGCAAGATTGGATGAAACCCTGCGCGCCAGAGGAGGAAGGGTGTCGCCCAGGAGAGGTAGGCGAAGAATTGGTAATGAAGGGACCTTGCGCACAACAAGCCAACTGTCAGAGACGAAAGCATCACGCTCATGATGTAGGATTTGGGGAGGGACACTGTGCGATGTCGACCCGCTAGCAGATTCCGGATGAACGCAGGCAAGCTAGACCTGGAGTATCTCAGCCAACCAGTGACGGCAAAAGCGCCTAGCAGCACAATGTGGACGGCCAGCAATGCCAGGGAAAAGCTCTTAGATAAGAATACTTCTTCGCCGACAAATCTCCAATTGACTGTCCATTTGAACATGAACTGTCTGGTTAGCTCGAACGCCCGCGAGAGATACCCCGCCGGGTTGTTTTGTAGGAACGGTATCGCGAGTAAAACCTGTAGCTCAAATGTCAGACTAGTCTTCACACAACTTGCCTTTGGCCGACCCTACAGCCTCATGGGAACCTACCTGGACAAGCACCGCCTGAACCCCCAGCCCCACGCTAGGACCAAGCGACAGACTAAGCACCGTGACCACAGCAATAGCCGGGGCCAGCAGCAACAGTGTCATCTTAATCGCAACACCAGTAGACCACACTGCGACCGCAGCCGTCCACTTCCGATTCATGAATAACAGAATGGCAACCCACATCGCCAGCGCCGCCAAGCCATCATTGAACAGCCGCAGGACATAAACGCTGTGAAGTCTCTTGGAAAGGACCAGCAGCGGAAGCAAGTACGGCGGAGCACCCGACTGTCTATAACAGCACAGCACAACCACCAGTGTGATCAAGTAGAGCACAGCAAATAGTATCTGACCGAAGAAAATATCGCGCCCCTCATCGGTGAGATGGTAGAGGGCCGTATAACTGTATACATGGGCGGCCGGGTAGACAAGGGGACCGGTGGATCCTTTGATGAGAGTATAATCGCGTTCTCCTGACAAGTAAAGCGATATTTGTTGCATGTACGTGGTCCAGTCAATCTCGGTATCTGTGGACAACAGCAACGGGGCTAGGTTAGTGGCATTGCTTCACTTGTCGCAAAAGGGTGTGAACGGAGCTTAGCTGTAGCCTTACAGGGCACTTTCCAGATGATCAGCGCGCAGAGAAAAGCGTCACCCAGGACCAGAAGCGGAGCCATCCATTTTGTGTGTCGGGGATTGAAACATAAATCGCGAATTAGGCGCATCCAGTCCATCTTGCATGCGGTTGTTGAACCAGCTACTTTCTTCTACAGCTGTAGATGTCGGGTGGCCTCTTCGTGCCAGACAGCCAATGAGAGCTGTCCCGTTTGGGATTAGCGTTCATGGACACACACAGACCGCGCGGCCGCATGTCTGCAGAACAGGTGGGTTCGTTACCATAGAAGTTGAGGCGAATTGTGCATCAATTGAGAGTTGTATTTAATCGCATATGCATAATCATATAGTAGACAGTTTTTGTAAGTACACTATCGATACAAAGATGGGTATATTGCTGCCATGGGCCGGATTTGGTGCCCGGCCGAAAATTTCCGAAGCCAACCTCCGTCGAAGCCAACACGACTGCTTCATGGCTTATTTCGTGATATAATCCACAGTTCCTTCACGCTGTACATGCTCAAAGCCTATTTTAGCCTTGATTGAGTCCTCCTTGCTTTCCAATTGTCGGTTACCGACCCTCTCCAACCTGTTGTGCCTGTGTCGTCGTTGATGTCGAAATACCTCCACTACTCGTAAAACCCAGCAATTCGCCCAGAATCCCTCGAGGCTTGGGAACAGGACACTCGTGGCCTGCCTTGGCCAATCTCTGTGCTTCTTCTTCCAATTGTAGGAACGTAGACACCTCTTCATCGGCTGCAGGCTGCGTCTGGCCGAGCGGATTGCCATCCTGGCCAAGGAGTTCTTCGTCTTTCCGACGTCGTCTGCGGATTCTCTGGATAGGTTGCCCATCTGCCGACATTATCATCTCAGAATCGGCGAATGTGCGACGCGGGGCGGGACAGGGAAAGACATGTGGTAGGCCGACGACGACCAAGGAAGCCAGGAGCGTCCCGGCGAAGAGGGAGGACGTTGACCGTGACCGGGGATGTAGATGCGGCGGCATGTTGAAATATGGATGTGAGCAATTAAGGGGAAGATTTATGCGGAGCGGAGGGTGACGGTAACGACGATGCGTTGACTAGGCGGCGGGCATGCGTTAGTTTCGGTGTAAAAGAACAATGCAAAAGAAAGGAATGGTCAAACCTTGTAGCAACCAAAGCACAAAAACTTAATGACAGGCAAGGTAGGACGCCCCAATCATAGCATGGCCTCACCAATGGATAGCGGGGGGGGGGGGGGCGGCGCGATAGAAGGACGACCGGGGAAGCCGGGGAGGGGAGAGAAGTTATGATGGGGAGACTGGATTGGGAAGGGAACTGAGGCAGCGAATTCAGGCTACTAATTTCCCGAAATGAACAGATTCGGTCTAGTCTTGGCGATCAGATCTAATCTTATCTTTGGCGCTTGTGATTGGCGAGGAAGGACAGCGGCGAGGTGCAAACTGGAAACTGAAGGGAAACCGCCTGAGCTGCCATCGCCCACCTCTCTCACCTCTGCCTCCACTCTTCTGCCCCCTCCCCTCCCTCCTCCCATCTCGCCCGTTCTCGCTCTGCTTCAGTCGAGCACTGCATTAGACGAGAAAATGAGCGTTCTGTTTTTCTGCGCTTAGCGGTTCTCTCCTTCATCCATCGTGCGCCCCTCCCCACCGGCATTGACTCAACTGCCTCCTCCATTCTTCTGCCGTCAGGACCCACCCTCCCTGCTCCCTGCTCCAACTCAGCTGCTCATTCCGATTATCTCCTGCTGCGCTCGAGCACCATGAGCGACCTTGACCGGTATTCCCTCCCTTCCCGCCCCTCTTACCCTCTTCCTCTCCCCTTAGACCAAGATAGGCTAACCTCCCGCTTTTCGTCGCGTAGGGCGATCGCGCAATTACGCGCTTGCCGTTTGATACCCGAAGCCCAGGTCCGCGAACTCTGCTACAAGGCGCGCGAGCTCCTAATCGAAGAAGGAAACGTAGTCTGCGTCGACGCGCCCGTCACAATCTGCGGCGACATTCATGGCCAGTTCCATGACTTGATGGAACTGTTCCGCGTGGGCGGCGACGTCCCGGACACCAACTACCTATTCATGGGCGACTTCGTCGATCGCGGATTCTACTCCCTCGAATCTTTCCTCCTCCTTCTCTGCCTCAAAGTCCGATACCCCGACCGCATCACCTTGATACGTGGCAATCACGAGTCGCGCCAAATCACCACCGTCTACGGATTCTACGATGAGTGCATCCGCAAATACGGCAGCGCCAACGTCTGGCGATACTGCTGCGAGGTCTTCGACTACCTTGCGCTCGGGGCCCTCGTCTTAGGCGCCAGCTCAGAGCTCGAGCCCACCGGCCCCAGCATGGATACTACCCAATCCACCATGCCGATCGATGACGAACTCGAGACCGAAATCCTTAACTCCAGAGGCGAAGTCACTATGAGCACCTACCGACCCCGCCCGCAATCCTCCTCCGACCCATCATCCATCTCCCCACCCCGCGACATCTCCGCCACATCCAACCAAGCCCCCTTCCGCTCCGGCGCTGCCGGTACAAGCGCCTCCGGCGACGCCGGCGGAAGCTATGGCAGCCGCACGGGAGCCGTGCTCTGCGTGCACGGCGGCCTCTCCCCGGCCATCGACACCGTCGACAAGATTCGCCTGATTGACCGAAAACAGGAAGTGCCACACGAAGGCGCCATGTGCGACCTGCTCTGGTCCGACCCGGACGAGATCGACGGCTGGGGCCTCAGTCCCCGCGGCGCGGGGTTCCTCTTCGGCGGCGACATCGTCAAACGCTTCAACTACCGAAACGACCTATCACTGATCGCGCGCGCGCATCAACTCGTCATGGAAGGGTACAAGGAGATGTTCGACGGCGGGATCGTAACGGTCTGGTCCGCACCTAACTACTGCTACCGGTGCGGCAACGTCGCCGCTATCCTGGAACTAGGCGAAGATACAAGCAACGGTGGCACCGTCGCCCGAAGCAATGGCGACTACGGAAGGAGTAATGGTATCCTGGGATCGACCAATAAACCGGCCGTCCGCAGTCCCGGGAGACGGTATAGGGTGTTTGAGGCCGCGGCGCAGGATACCAGAGGCATGCCTGCTAAGAAGCCTGTTGCTGATTATTTCCTGTGATACCATTTGCCGTACGAACGAATGCATTTTTTTTTCATGCCCTTCTATCTTCTACATCTGTTCTGCTTATGTGTCTTTGTCTGTGTTTGCGCCTCCTATGTATGCATCCCAGCCGTTCGTCCTCCCGTCCTCATCCTCGCATCTCCTATCTATATAGGCTGGCCTGTGCATGAACTTGACTTGCTTCTACTTTACTTTTTCTTCGTTCTGTTTCACTCAACTATGATATCAAGTCGTAGTTGTTTCGTGCTTGTTGGTGGGTACCGCCGTTTACTGGAGACTTAACTTGAACGTGATGATACTTGCATGCTTGCTTGCATTTGACATACAGATTCGAAGAATTCATCTTTCTTGCTTTCTTTTCTATTTATCTACTGTTGTGTTTGTGTTTTTCTTGCGGGCAAATGGATTGACAGACGGTCTTTGTATGTGTGTGTATGTGCATCATCCATCCCTGTTAGCATTTGGGTTATGATTGCTTCTTTTTTGTCCTTTGATTTAAGTGTTTGATCGGGGTGAACGAATTCATTTGGTTGAGGTTTTTGTACACTTTTCACTGGATTAGGTAGCTATGGGTAGGTAGGTATACTTCGGGTTTTTATGCTGGTTGGGTTTGGGCATCCGAGGTTACTACTACTTAACCTGATGCCCTCCCGGACGAGTGAGGGGCCCTTGGGGAGATTTCAATGTAGGTAGGATCAACGCTAATCCTGTTGTATTGATTTTTTTTTTTTTTTTTTTTCCTTTCTCTATGTAAGTTGAACTGCGAGTTTTAATAAATCGCCCGAAAGGGTATGGTATGATGTCCATCTCCAAATGAACTATACTAGAAGCCTAAAATGGAAACCCGTATGCCAGCATCCACGGATGATCCAGATATCCAGGAAAGGCGAAGCAGATAGCACAAGACAAACATTAGTTCAGGCACATATGCCAAACTTATCGTAACATCGTGATCAATTTTTGATCTAAAAGCACCACGTGGCGCAACTTGTGTTGCCAAGGACTGCAACAGCATCATCGCCCTTCAATTGTCCCAGCAATCACACGCCGCTGTAGCCAGGCATGTCCGGGTGCTGCCCTGGATTAGCACTCCCTGGAGGGGCCCCAAACCTCATTGTTGGGGTTGGTCGAGAGCTATTCTCGGCTCCTGATGTCTGCCCAACGTTGGCGTAATGGTTTCCGAACCGCATATCGGATTCTCTCCCAGATATACTAGGGTTCCATCCTGGTACCCAATGATCCATTCCGAAAGTCATGGCGCTCGGTTCACGAGACCACCAGTCTTGACTCTCTTCTACAAGGTTTTCCGGTCCATCAAAGGGCGTTATAGGAGACGATGTTGTGGTTGCAGGAATGTTCTGCCCAGTGGTGAATGCGCGAATCTGTTCTTCGTCTGGCCCATACCAGACCTCTTGTTGGGCCACCGGAACGGGCTGGAACTGATTATAGGCGTTGGTTACGGGCCTGAGATACGTAGGTTCAGGAAGCCGGGTAGCACCCTGCGCAAGCTGGACGTTCAGTGACCGTTGCGCTGCACGCACAGCCGACACAGAAGGTGGTATCGGGGGTCCTGTTGTGTGTGAAAAACCCATGGACCCCACCGAGGTGGGTGGCGACTGCATCACAGGACCGCCATGCTCATGTGAACCCATCAGTCTCCCAGCCTGTGGATAAAGCACACTGTTCGGATCCGCAACCGAGTGATGCATGGTTGGAGCTGGCGGTGACTCCTCAGAAGGCGGAGGGGATATCGCTTGATCCCAGGATCCCCAGGACCCCCATTTGGCATGTGTTTGTTCAAAGGTGGCTGTTGCCTCTGCTGGCAGTTCGACATGCCACTTGTTGGCAGAAATCTCTAGAATCCTAAGGGTGCGCCGTGCGCAGAGCCAGCTCTCACCCATCTCTTCGAGATGCCGTAGACCATGGATGACATCTCGCTGAGCATTCTTCTCTGGAAGGTTGAGCAGATGCACAGTCAACGCGGTATGGGCCATATAGACTGCAACGTTGCAGATTTGCTTGAACCCATAGGTCCGTTTGTACATCCTCAGCAACTTTGAGATTGCCGAAGCAGCCTGCGTGCACAGTTTCCGGGGAGACACATGTTGGGGAAGCGGCGAATTGACTTTGGTGTATTTGAGGAATGGTCGATAAAGGTGTATAAGAAGGAGCTGGTAGAACATACTTTCGGTCCGTCAGTGAAACAGCTTAATGCATCAGCAGCCCAAACCATGAAACTTACTGCATCAAAAGTGCCTGAGGGAGCTGCCCCTCTTGTGGTCTAAGTTCTTTTGGTAGATCTTTCTTCCAGGCTTCGAGCCGGGTGTGAAGATCGCTGAGTTTCTTGAGTTCCGCCTGCTTAGTGGAAGGTTTCTCCTTCGGAGTCGGGTCATAAAAGAACACAAGCAGGTCACCATTGATCTCGCACAGCCGGAAGATCTGAGAAGCAACAGCTCGAATTCGCGACGGCTGAGTGTGCTCACGACCTACTCCGGTATCCATGTATGGGGACCATAGTTCAGCTTCCTCATTAGGCAAAATATCCACTTTCGGCACGCTAATGCTAGATCCCATCAATTGGGGCTGTCGACCAAGGTAATTAGACCAGCACCTGCAACTGTTAGACCTTATCAAAAATTCCCCAAGGGACTTGTATGGTCACGTACTTATCGAACAAAAAGCAACCCCAGAATGTTATTCGGCGTGCATCCACTTCTTCTTCGCCCAGATCCCGCGCCCCGAGACTGGTGGAGTCAAAGTTGAGGCCCAAGTCGAAGGCCATCCGGAAGCTCATCCCACTGTAGACCCAGCCCTTGCTTTCGCGGCCACAACCCGCCTCACGCACCGACAGCAGAGCCAGCGCTTGTACGGTGCATAGCTTTGCGTTCGCATGTTCATCGTTCTCGAAGAATAACCTCTTGGCCTCTTTGAAGAAATGATCGCCCGCTGTGGCAGAATTCTCTGGATCTTCCCGAGCGCCTTCCCAGGAGCTGAAATGACAACCGAGCGCTAGCATTGCATTGACGAGCAAAGTCGAACAGTACTGGCTGGGCACGCCACGTATATAGTCCCGATAGAATAAATCCTTGGAGAGAGTCGTGAAGAACGGATAATGCCAGGTAAAGTACATTGTCATGAGATGACTGATCAGTCTCTCATCCTGGGTAACACGAGTCCACTGTGTGACGGAATAATCACCGTGGCCCTGGTCCAGTTCCTGGGCACCTAGAGATGGTCTAAATTCGTTCAGCTCCGACCCGGGAGGCAAAAAAATGAGATTCGACGTGCCCCCAATGAACTTGCGGGAGCCGTCCAAAACAAGCTCACTCATCTTCCCTGCTAACTCCGACTCGAACTGATCAGCCTGCGTTAGGGCTTCATCCCCGCTAGCTGCTGTGTCCTCGGGGCCCGCCGTGGAACCTCTCCCTTGGCCGAGGATCGATTGTGCAACATCTTCGAGATTATCGCAGGACCGGATCTGGCGAACCAGATCGAATGCATCCTCCTCTTCGTAATTCAGTAAGGCTTGTATCAACGTCAACAGGGTTGTGTTCTTCGTTCTCAGCGCGTCGGTGTCCTTCTTATATACACCTTTCCTGCGATGGTCGGAATTCGGATCGTAGACGCCTGGGATATTGTGAGCCTCATCTGTGACACCAACAAGGAAGGGCAGTACTATACAGGCTGTATGATAGACAGAGGAACAGGCTGCGCAACTCGGTAGGTTTCCATCGCACTAAACCACACCATCAGCTACAAAGAGCATGTACAGCTTTTGGAGGCGGTCGTACCTTGGATTTCCTCCTGCGGCATGCAATACATGCCGTACTGACACAACGTCGTTTAGAAGCCGGGCCATTATCCGATTTTGTACCTTGGGTTCTGGTCGAAGCTTTCCCTCGAGACCCTGTCAGGGTGGGCGTGGCGTCCATCTCTTGCGACTTCTCCGCGGAGCTGTCTTCCATCGCTGTCAGGTCCACCCAGGAGTGTTCGGAGGAAGCGTCAAAACAGGGCGAAGCATGCTTCTCGAGGGGGGAAAGAGCGGGTCGGGCTGCTGGAGAGGGAACCCTGAAGGCCCCTGCACAGAATGGGTGGAGGGGAAGCGCGGGTCGAGGGTACCGGCATAAGCTCGACAGCCAGAGTAGCGAATCTGAGGCCGTGGTAGAGGCATTAGTTAGGCAAGTGCGCAGAGCTAGGACGGTACTATTGGCAATGTCGCAGAAGGAGCTGCTTAGTGCAGAGGATGGGTGTTGCGCAATCGGAGGATTTTAGGATGTCAAGAGATGCATCCATGTTGGGGGCGACTCACAGATCAGTCAGTCAGTCAAGCTCAGATCGAACCACAAAAAGAATTAGGCTACCCCGCGACGTGCAGGAATGGATTGACGAAACGACCCGCAAGTGGAGGCGACGGCTGCTCTGGTAGAAGATGGAAACGGGAGGGGTTTGTACGGGGCAAAGCAATCAGCATGGAATGAAAGAAAGTCGACGGTTGATGATAAGAGGAGATGATCTGTGCAGGATGATTGGACAATGCTGGGGGAGTAAAAAGAGGAAGAGATAGCGAGTCGGTGCAACTGCGCCGGCAGCTCGACGATCTGGCCCGGTTGGAATGGCGTCGATAAGCAACGGTGGATGACTAATGCCCCCGTCCACATAGTTAGTTAACTAACTTAGTTAAACAGTATGCAGTTAAGGAGTTACTAGAAAAGACAAATGTCAGTAGGCATCAGTCTACGTTATAGTAGATGATGACAGACAATGTTAGATTCATTATGGGCGAATCATTCATCTTGGAGTCCTGCGTGGGAACGACTACTTTAGTACTGTGAGATTCATATCTGCAAGAGACTCGAGATATGCTTTCTTTTTCTCTGCTCTGCCTATCAGACACATCCGATTGGAAGAAAGAATGGCATCCCACCGTCGAAGGAATGATCTGGATCGCTTTCGGTCGGCACCATCTCAATTGTGTCACATGGACCGTGATGCTTCATAACAATCTGGCCAGTTACAAGTAGGTAGTTACAAAGTACTGCTGGTTACATGTTACTGAAAGGGGACTAGTGTATCTGCGTGTTGGCATTCCCCAATTAGGATGCCTGATCTATGAGGATGGCCATCGGCTTATCTACTACTACGTAGCCATGTGCTTCACCATCACTCCAAGCCCCTGTCATCCTGCCCATAGGCTAACCAGTTTTACACATCGTAGAGCCCCTTTCGCTTCCAGAAATTGATACAGCATCTCAACACATCGACTTGCCTGACTGGACCGCCTGCTCGGCCCATTCAGAGTAATCGATCATCCGCAAAGGGATACCCGGCTTAATGGAGGAGAGTGGTGGTATCCTCGACTATGATCGACTTGGTCCAGTCGGGGGACAAGATGTGGTAGTCTTGACCAAGGTTCTTGTTCCCTCAATGCTGTCGCGGTGATGTTCCTGATACGACTCGCAGAAGTTGACCTTGGCCGCAACGTGGAAGATCACACTGGCCCAATCAATCAGCTAGTTGAACCGCTCGGACCCAATCCCAAGCTGCTCGTCGCCGATGTCTCCCTCCAGTATCATGGTTTTAAAAGTATACCAACGACTTGGGAAACAGGTCGTATTTCTCCATGGCCTTTTGCACTCAAGCAGAAGCGCTTTGGAGATTTCTGGCTCGAGCAATAGACGTGACGTGTTTCACACGCGGTCTCTCGATGAGTCGGCGGCGGATATGCGTGCCAGAACTCTTTCCATCATGGTATAGCAAGCCATTGTAGACTTTTCCATCTGGATTAGACTCCTGTCTTAGCGTAAAATCGAGTCCAGTTGATTCTTGGTGGCAGAAGTTGAATTGAGTGTTTTGATGCAAATGGCGGGTTGTATGAAAGGAAAAATATGACTTTGGAAAGTCTCGATGCATTCATTCTTGAGCCCTTCCTGGCAAAGAACAGGAGAGCAGCCAAGGCAAATTTGTATAATTCCCTGACATGCTGAACCAGAATCCACGGCACCTCCAAGCAACATCACCATTCCCCACGTATGCCGTGTTCTAGAGTCGTTTTACAGTACTGAAGGGGATATTTTCCCTATCCTGGAGATCTTTTCGCATTAATAGATGCGCTACCGGCTGGCAATGGCTTACTCATTATTGATGATTCTCACTTAAAAGGGTATTGTTGGGCCCAACGGCTCAGGATACATAAGTCATTTGGAACAGTAAAGGGAAACCTGTTGTTTCGATGCAGAGCTTTGGCAAAGGCCCTGGTGCCTTGGGTGGTATGTATGCGGCCTCCGTCATTGGCTAGCTTAACGTGCACCAGGGGTGGTCATGCGCGATCCTTTGATCAAGAAATACATGGCCAACTCTGTACGGGGCCTGATGTACTCAAACGGGCCTTCTTTCCCCACAATCGCCGCTATCAAAGCTTCGATCTCCACCCTCAGAAGCGCAGACGGGAAGCAAGTAAGAACAGTAGCAACTGAACCCTTCCACTATATTCCAAGACGAAACAGAGTCTACCGTAAACAGCGCCGCCAGAGGCTACGCACAAATATTAAGCTCTTCCATCAGCTCATTCTCATGCATCCAATGCGACAGACTGTCTCAAATTCCAGTGTCCTAAAGTTCCCCTCTATTGAGCATAATTAGAACGAGGGGATTTCCGTGGCCATCATCCCTATCATGAGTGAACAAGGACAATGTCACAAGCTACAGCAGAGGCTGCAGGAATACAGGTTCCGCACACATGTGGTCATATATCCTGCTGTATCCAAGGAGGAGAAGCGTGTCCGCTTGATGCTACATGCGGATAACAAGCCGGATGAGATCAGAGGCTTTGTGCATGTGTTGATGAACTAGGATTGGGATAGGGAGCAGGTTGGGGCCCAGCCGGGGTCTCGACTGTAACCTGGCAGGACGGAATGGCTGGTGTACAAAGGTTTGGTTCGAGATATGCCGGTTATTACGCTCATTCATATAGTGCATATACACACAGCATTACTCTGCATAATCACTGCCTCGCGACACAAGTGGTGGGACTCGGGTCATCAGGACCGGTCAAGCATTGCCCATCAATAGATCCCGTACTGGTAATGCCACAAATAGATCATTCCAGCAGATGCTCTTTCCTAGCTCCATGAGCGGCTTCTAAGACGTCCGGTGGGCTAGACAAGGGCAATGTCAGTCACAAATCATCCGCACTTCATCATCAGCCGTAGTTGTGGCAATGGAACGGATATGACACGGGAATTTTCTCCAAGGGTCAACTCGGAAGGAATCGCCTTCTGTATTGTGTGTTCATGTCTTATCCCTTTACTTTCTGTGTCCTGTTTATTTGCAAGTTGGTTCATCTCCCAAGTCGTTAAAAAGGGATATCGCCAAGAACTATACGAAGTACTGTTTGATCACTCGATTTCCTCCTGCATAAGTATAAACTGTTAGACTGACTCGCCCCGTACTAATCCCTTTGATGACTATGATATGTAGCGGCATGGTTTGAGCCTAGCAGCTGCCAGCCCTTCAGTGTCGGCTATGGTAATCACTGCACGTATCTGCAGAGAGCATGGGGCTGCTTGTTTCTCAGGGTTCGGGAAGGCCGAGCCCCTGGAACGAATGATCTCAATCATTCTGGTGTATATCCTGTAGGCGTCATCCCATGACCTTTGAGGACTCACCCTACGAGTTTTGGCTGACTTGCTGGAGGCCTTGCATAAGTCCACTGTGCTTTGTACAAGGCCAGGAAAGGCCAGAATCGGATGAGTCATCATGCTTCACTGGTCATTAACGTCAATCGGACAGGTTGAATAGAAGAAGTAAACGTTGACATTCCCAAGGGACACCCTCAGCACTTTACCGCTTCTTCTCAAACGCATATAATGGTCTTGGCCTGATGCTGTTCTCAAAAAGTAGACGAAGCATTGGTCCTCGGCACAGTGTGTGCATCGGGGAGACTCCGCAAGCGTCCTCCGTGCTTGACCCAATGAGGCCCAAGCCAATGCGATCCTCGGCGCCAAGCCTTGCGGATCGTCTGGAGGATCCCGGATTATTAATTACCGGAAATCAGATTCTTGACGCCTCTTTAGGGAAGAAATCGATATCTGCAGGCAGCCAGCCAGGCACAAGGCTGTCCCCGTCCTACTGTGTACGGTACTTTGGTGATACCCGGCGTATTCAAATGTCTACCAGTATTGCACAGGACAGCATGTTTACACGGAATAGGGAGACAAATGTTCCTTTGTCCCGACATCATTTCCGAGGAGATGACACCCACCCACGAAGATCAATATGGGTGGTTGGTGGTTGGGCAGACACACAAAAGTCCGACCAACCCCCATCTCCCACAATAATGATGCTAATCGGTGATGGTAATTGCAACCACCAAAGTTACGGTGTGACGGGGGAGAAGTACGTAACACTCGGTAATATGGAACATTCTTTAGTGGGGAAGGAGACATTCTGCCGCTACCTCTTTGGGACACTGGCGGTTCCAGAAGTTACCGTGAGCCGAGGTGATACACAGCCATTACCGCGCTAGAACAGTTGAGGGTCACCCGGTAGGCGTTGGGCAGACTGCTGCGGTGTACCAGGGTTGTTCCGGGAGTCGGCACCCGCCCTTACCGCCTGAAACCAACCAACCCCCATTTGGCGCCTCACTATACTGAAAGCCCAGCGAGGGGGCGCTAAACCGTTTGGGGGGACTACAAACGACGAGGGCGCTAACGCTGTGCGATGCGGTCAGGCGCCTGCAACTTTTCTGTTATGCGATCAATATTACCTTTGCAGTCTAGTGGACTCCGCCGGGACCCGATGTTACGGACAAACCGTCATCCACCCACGTACTAGTACCGGTTCAGCCTGAGGTTAAGATTAATTGTTACCGTCACTTTCTCTTTTAGTTTGTTTCCCCGTTATCTGCCTTTTCTGGATTTCCTGGTTTGAGATCATTACTACACAGTTCTTCCCTTGTGCCGCTGACTGTCCTGGCTTGGCTCGTCTTATCCTCTCCCACTCTCTGCCTCCCTCCCTGCTTCTTTGGTTCCTTTGAATCTTCTCCTTGTCTACTATCTTTTCATCATCCTCGTCTTCGTCGTCTCCCTACTGTCCTCTCTAGACTCGTTCCGGTGGACATCTGCCTCACTTCCCGTCCCCATCTCTCTCGCTACCTGCAATAGTCGCGTGCCTGCATACGGACCCAGCCGTCTTCCGCATTTGGCATCCTTCCGCTCGGCTGGGTCTCTGGCCAGTGCCAACACAGCAAGTGTGTTGTTGCTAATAGCCGATCTGCTCAGACTACTAGACTATATCTATCAGATATACTCCCGCTGGGGAACTGCCCACTGGACGTTCCCCTCCCTCCTCTTCTGCTTTCGTGCTCTCTTCCCATCCATGTATCTCGCTCAGACTCTCGACCAGAGCGCCTCGACAGGCCTAGGACGCCTTATCAAACAGTTTTGCCGTGGACTTAAATTGTGAAGATGATGGTCCCAAGAGCTTATCTTTTCAGTTCCCTGCCTCCCTCTCCGAAGACTTCTTACCGTCAACATGGTGAGAGGACTCCAGTCACCAAGTCCTCCTTGGATCTTCTCGCCGTCCACGACTATGCGAGTCTCGAACTTCCATCCGACTCTTCTCCGCAGTCCATGCACACCAGTCCGGTTGTGATACCCCCGAAGCGGGCTCCTCGCGTGACGTCGGTACATTCTCAGACTGCAAAGAAAGGGCCAGCCACGCCGAAGAAGTCTAGGACGGTGTCTCACAAGTCGTCGTCGGCCACTTTGACAGACCGGTCTGTGCCAAGTTCGATTGCCTCGATTTTGGAAGCCACAGCAATCCCCGTGCCTCGCCGTGGTTGGAGTGTTCGGGAGTCTCGCAACCGCAGAAAACTGCCTCGTGTGAATCATGTGCAGGAATTTAGCAAGTTGTTGATGGACGGTGTCGGCGATAACCTGATGGAGAGCACTGGCAACACAGTGCTGGATTTACTTCTGAGTCCCCCGGAGGAGGTCGACAAGTCTACAGTTGGGAGTGATTGTGACAGCGAGGCGCCGTCCTTCTCCGCCTGCTCTATGTCCCTTGAGTCGACGCCGTCGTTGGATCGCGACTACGACTCACCGTCCAGTCTCCCGGTACCGTCTACGCCGTCAAGTCAGCGGAGCCCGATGGAGCGGAAGTTTCACCGCCAATCACCCTGTGAGAACTGCATCTTCGACCACCCTTTGCTAGACAGCGAAATTTCGGACACGGAAGAGGAGTTCATCGAGCAGGCCTCATTGCCCTATCTGACCCCCAAGAGCCCGACTCCATCTCGAACGTTCCCGCGTTTAGGATCCACATTCAAATCAAACCTAACGGCTTCTTTGCGAGCAATCAAATCTGCTGCGCAGAGTGTCTCGGCCTTTGCTACTCCTTCCGTTCAGCCGGACGACTTTCTGACCCGGTCTCTCTTCACGATTACGCCGGAGATGACGGACGACCGACGGCCTCCGCCCATGAACGAGCCGCCGTCTCCCGCACTCCGACGGTACCTGAACCCAATAACGGTCTCACCAGCGGAGATGTACGCTTATCAGGAATACCCACACGAGTCCCTTGATAGCCCCAACTGCCCTGTTTCCGTGCAAATGCAAACGTACCATCGCTCGGGTAGGCGCGGCACTCGCAGGAGCGGGTTCCACCTAGCACGCTCCGAGGGCCGCGACCGACAGATGCTACCATTCGACCCCGAGATCCCGCCCATGTCACGCCAGCGCGAGCCGCGGGAAAACAGCGATTTCCTGCGCATGGTGGTCCTCGAGATGAACATGCGACGCAGCGGCAAGCTGCGGGACGACGTCCCGACGCGGGCCCGAATCTGGCTGCCTCCCCGAAAGGGCAGTCAGGGCCGTTATGTTCGATACGACTATTACGAGGATGAGGATGAGGACGAGAATGCAGTTCCCTCTCGTTGGATCGGGATCTCTGTGAGCAGTCTGTAGACCAGTGCCGCTTCACCTCAAGTTTCTTTTTTCCTTTACACTCATTGCGCACAGCGAGGCGCATGGATTCCGGGCTTGGCTATTCTTCTTTCCTTCTTCTTTTCTCTTGTACATATTTTTTTTTTTTTTTTTTTTTTTTTTTTTTTTTTTTTTTTTTTTTTTTTTTTTTTTTTTTTTTTTTTTTTTTTTAGATATTGGAGGCGTTCCCCTTAGGACTAGGGGACATAGCGAGGCGTTTGGGAAGGGGGGGAGAACCACCTATTCATTTGGAATATTGCTAGAATACACCTGGCTGGCTTTTAGGTAGAATAATTGCTACTATCTTTTACTTTGGATATCATCTACAAATACCGCTTATGCGCGGGATAAGCCTGACTGAACACAGTGAAACCCAGTTGACCTCCGCCGATTAGAATGTGATAAGTAGCACGGAGTCCGGAGTACACTACAGCGACTAAAGGCTACTAATTCCGGATCGAACTAACCTAAACTAACGCAGCTACTAAGTAGTCCTTCTCTAGCGACCTCCCTAATTCATCTAGCTCAAGGCTGTCTACCAGGCTACTCTAGCCGTGCAGGACTGTCCCGATACGTGCTAGATTATAAATTAAGGCGACTTAAGGCTCCGTGGATTGGGCTTAGTTGCCTTTGATGCTTAAGTGCGCCTTCTCGGAACAGTTCCGTTATTGATAGGCCATCGTGGTTTGTTTAATAGACCACTGTAATTTGATTTGTATATGCTATCGCTAATGGATAGAGAGCACTCTTCTATTATTATTAGATACATTTGTGAATTAAAACGCGTGGTAGTGAAGGGATGGTCATGATGAAGGCATGCGTGTGACAGAAAGTTTAAATCTGGGTTTTTGGTATCACGCGAGCCAAGGCGCATTACTCCGTAATTACTATTATATTATCCTTAGTAATAATAATATTATTGTTATTTCGTTGTCCCCTGAGCCCGAGCCCAGCCGCTGCATGTACGTCGTGTGTGTGTGTGTGTCATTAGGCAGGGGGGAGTGCCAGGGATAGTTAGTTAGTCTATTACTGTAGTCAGCAGTTGCGATGAGTCGAATATTATTGTCAGAGTTCAGTCAGATAGTAGGGTATTTTATCATCAAAAACTCTCCCAAGACAAGAGAGAGAGAATAATACGATCGCTGATCTACACCCACAGGTACTATCTAGGATACTAGATAACTTCTAACCACCCCACGGTCAATAGAAATAAACTCAACACGCGGAGGTTAATAATGGCCTGATGACGCCATGACAGTTGGGATAGAGTTCACGCCTGCTGTCATACTACTGGTTATGTTGATTAGGATTGGTTATTACTGTACGTATGTATGTATGATACTATACTCCGTATGTTATGTTATGTGTCAGGTTGTTTCAGTTCAGTATTATTATCTAATTTATTGAAACAAGGAAGAATATAGATAAGGGAGCTTGAATAGTAGGAGGAAAGGTAAAGGAACCCAAATTCAATACGAATCCAGTTTTCCATTGTAAACTATCTATTACCTAGACAGGTATGATGGCTGGCTGAATGAGCGGATGATGAATGGACACCGTGCAGGTTTCCCTTATCTCTGTCCAATGGGGAATCAAGATTCCCATGACCCTTTTCAGTCATTGTCTCAGCCATGGTGTTCCATTCCTCATGGGATTGCCTGACTTGGTCAGATTGAAAGTTGGTCCAGTTAGTTTAGCACTTCGTTACTGGGGAATTAGTAGTAAACTACGAGTAGCTTATGGCTAAACACGGTTTGGATAATACAGGGCTGAAATGGGTATTTCTGCATCCTTTTCATGGATGATGGGTGTATGGCATCGATAGTTCTACGAAGTGACTAAGCCATACTCAATGAGGTCTTTTGGACAAGATAGCGGCGTCCATGTCCATTCAATAGGCATTTATTCTTCCGCTCCAGCGAACCTTGAGGAGTACCATCGGGAGTCCCTCATGATAAATTCACAATGAGCTAAGTCAATATGAGAGTAGAGAGGAGGCCCTTTGGACATAGGAGATAGTAGTAGAAGAAGACTAAAGAATGGCAATAGATCTTATGCAGAGTGAATTAGCAGCATAGCTCGCTACATTGTACGGCTGATATATTCTTCCACTCCAATATCTAGCAGTACTAGTATCCTTTGGAATATACCTCGGGTTATCTGCCTTCAGCTTTATCGCAGTGACCCACATCGTCGTTTGCTGCTTATCGCTATCTATCTACTAGTTAGTAGTATCATCACTACATGTATACTTGTAACCTAATCAGGGTCTGTTGCACTCCTTGCACGCGAAGGTTAGTTCTGTCTATTTTATATAATATGTTTTACTGCTTACCCGTTCCCCACTTTGCACAGGCTCAGAAGATCGCCTTTGGCTCGGTATTTCCATCGAGCTACGGCAGAGCTCTTGAACTACAACTCAAAAAGGTATCTAGTCACTGAGAAGGTTTCTGTTATTGTTGGTAATCCGGGGAAAACATACCTTCTGGTATATTCAGAAGTCGGCAGTGTTTTCCGTGCTGCTGCAAAGGAATTCCAAATCTTTGGAGAAACATGTAAACTTGCATTCTTCCATGAATCGCAACATTTTGTGGACTTTGTAAGCAACTATCATTACTTTTCGTATCCTATGTATACTGGTGGATAATAATTGGTCGTGAATCGATATCAAAGCCGTACGGTTATCCCCGTTTCTATACCCCGAATCATATTTCACGTCGAACGGAGTTGAGTATATCTCCTGCTACTTTGTTCCTGGGTGGAAAGATGTATGAGATGGTTTTAACTGGGACTGCAGATGGTAGTATCAACTCATTATTTGGGTCAGAATAGACGTTTTTTAGAATGGCATAGCTCACTTTGTTCAGGATGCAAGCGCTACTGGACAGAAGCTCAAGCACGTCTTGGAAGAGCTAGAAGATATGTAAATGGCTACTTATTCTCTTTATTATGAATATACTAATACTGAAGTACCTGTCAGAGGTACTTCATTGCTGATTCCCAGCCCAAAGATGGTAGGCATATAACTAAATACTGCTTGAAACTAACTCTGACCTCACTAAAGCGACTACCCTGGCTGAAACCCCAGAGCTAACCACAAATATGCTCAAACACTAATATTGCTGATTGTGGATAGTGGACGAGCTCTCAGAGCAAGTTAGGTATGAGGTCTAAGGTTCCTGGGGCCGAGACTCTTATTTCTTAGCCCAGACATCAGCAAAACATAATTGTGTCCTTAGTGGTATCAATAGCATTTACTTCATAGCTTGATAGTGCACAGTACTGCCTCACGGGCGTCGATTCCAAGAATTATAGTGTGTAGGTATGTTATGAACTAGTTGCAGTTATATGAACAGGACAAGATAATATATTTAGTGTACGGCTGAAGCATAGCTAAACCCCTTCTCTCTCTTCGTAGCTACTCCAACAATGATAATTACATGCTATGCCTACCGATGTATATCAAAAGAAACGATTAAACCAACACGGGACATACCATACGAACTACCTGTATACATAGTAAACGGTCACAAGATCATAACACGAACAGCCACTTCCACATTATTAATCAAGATCGAGCTAATATACGATCTACAACACCATGACGCGAATCCCTGTCAATAGCCAGCCATAGTATAATCCCACTGCTAGTATCTACTCCGTAGTCCGGTGGAACTAATACCCGTTTGGATTCTTACATCATAGTATACTATTTTCCGATCTTGGACACTGAGATCCTAGTATTTATCCATGACAGAAACACAATCCATGAAGTCCGTCTGGCACAAATCACTCCACCCAAGATCTAATATTACTTCACGGACTACACTACCTCATTCATAAGCAAAACATTCCTATCGTATCCGTGTATACCTAGTAGACATCCCGGTAAGATGAACGACGCTTCCAACCGCCAAACGGGCCGTCGCGGCCCAAACAAAGTACCATAAACAAGAACTCGAATAAACAGGAACCATCACCAGCCAGCAAAGCTTCATCCAGACTGGCTGTAGATAAGACCGTCACACTTCCCGCCATTTATTATAGTTTTGCTGTGGCTGTGGCGGTCAGACGATTGGTGGGACAGGGGGAGGGTTGCAGATAGATTCCGTGGGGGTGGGGACAGGTTGTTTCTCCGGTGATCGTGAGTCAGAGATAAGCACGACCCCATATCCAGCTATGTATGGGATACATATCTATCTATCTACCTACCGCTTCGACCAGTCTTCATGCATCCTATCCTGTATAGGGGGTTTTCTATGCATCAGATTGTAAAGCGTGGGGTGGATTTGAGCATGGCAGTAAACAAGACTGACTTATCGGTGCACCTGCAGCATCATCTGAGGGATCACAAACCAAGAAAAGTCAAGAGGAAGAGGAGGATAGGCACAGGTTGCACGGTTGATGCGTGTATACCCGACGGCCTTGTCGAACTGATTAATCCCTGGTGTCCGATTAGCCCCTGCGTCGGTCGATCCTGTCCTCGTCACCTTACTATCTTTGTCTGGGGGCGTCTGCTGCTCTCCACTGTCTCCTTATCTAGTTAGTGGTAGTGGAGTGGAACATATGCTGCCTACGTTGATAGATCAAGTCTTTCGTAATGAATACATTACCGTTTGTTATGGACTACTCCTGCTAAAGTACTGACAAAGTACCTGGCTGGTATTAGGCTGGGCTAAAGGAAGCTGTTGTCCTTTGTAGACATGCTCGGATTTCGGAGCTTGAACCCTGCTTTTGGTTAGTTTTCTAGGCAATCAACCATCTAAGCTTTTTACTAACTTCTCGCGATGTAGTCTAATGATTATCGGCAATTAGTTCCACTGCCAAGGCTCCGAAAATGACCGCCATCCTAGATGATGTAGATGTCAAGATCTCTTGGGCATGATGAACAGACAACAACTGAGGATATAGGTTATCTCTCCCGAGCGACCAAGCCAGACACACACCTCACCTAAACGCCCGAACGAGGAATCCCACTCTTAGTGCAGACATATCCTGAAGATACTCACATTACTCATAAAATGCAGTGATATCGTTTGTATAATCTCTTTCAGTCTAGCCAATGGGTCCATAGTATATACAATGCCATCCTAAGCCATGGAATGCAAGAATTAGAGCGCTAGGAGCCGCACTGTTTGGCAGGTATATTAATCTTATGGGTATTAGGAGGGAATTCTAGCTTGAGATTGAAATCATGTTACGATGGTCAGATTGTGTCATTGGGGATAAGAACGGTGTTGCTTGTTTTCAATTTCATTCATGAATTGAGTATATTGTGTCTTTTCTTGGAAGCTTCTCTGTCTGACCTTACGTTTGCCGACATTCAGTGACGTTTTCTGAATTCGATCTTTGTGTGTTGGACAGAGGAGGATGCGTTTAGTTGTAGATTACCACTTCTAAACAACGTGGTCGAGCGCTGGGTTACTCAGACCTGGAGGCACCAAGACTATGCAAGAAATCAATTACTCGGTCTACAGTGAAGACCCGGTTCTTCAAGATCTAACTATACAATCACTAATATACAACTAGCCATCGCTCGTATTTGAAAGTGCCCAGCAAGTCTACGACTTGGATGTTATTTCAGAAAGCTTGCCCAAGATCGCGGTAAATCGTTTGGAGATCCCCCACGACGAAAGGCCGGCAAGGATCAGGCAGCCAGCTTTGAGGGTCTCCTCTGGTCCTTGCGGAGCACATACATCCCCAACTCCGGTCAGAACCGCTTTCATTCCTTGGCCTTCGCGCACGAAAAGTTGGGCTAATTCATCATCGCAGGGTCTGTCGAGATGAATGAACAGAGGCTTTTCCGGCATGCCGTGGCTTGCCTCATGGCGGCTCGTCATGTCAGATAAGGAGGTATAGCATGCGCCATATGCCCACAGAACTAGTGTTGCCAGGAAGACAGCGACTGGCTCATGGAAAGAACGACTTGAGAAATCGCGTGCATGTCTTAGCATTGCACCGGCGTGTACAACTGCCAGGCGAGCCTTGTACTGGTCATGTTTGACCCAGCGTAGTATATAGTGCCATTCAAGGGTCTGTTCACGTTCACACCAACGGGACTCTTCCATCGCCAAAGATGTGGCGAGTGACCGTATTTCACGAAACGGAGCAAGGAGGATTATGCGGGCCAAATGGAGATGCAAGATTGTGGGATGTTCAAGGCCAGCGGTCCTGGCTACGGTGCTGCCAGCAGCCCAATGAAGTATATCCAGGCAGTCACACGCACTGTTCCGCCACTTGGAATAAGATGGAATACCAGGCAGCCAGACGGAGCCAGACGGGAGTGCAGAATGCCGTGACTGCTTTTTCGAGGTTGGGTTCCAGAAGGACAAGGGGCGGCGGAAGTAGTCTCCCACTTCCCACATACGGTGGTATAGCGCGTGAATGAGAAGAAGCTGACTAAACTCCCCGATATCAGGTACTAGCTCCTTCTCGATGTACATTACAAGAACCGCATCGTAAAGGGAGGATTCCTTCTGGTCTTCAAGACGACGTGTTAGTTGTAAATCCTGAGCTGGCAGATAAAAGACTTATGATACCTGACATCCTTCCCCGTACGTCTTTCCAGGCCTCTAGGGATTTTGCCGCCCAAAGTGCCTCGTGGGAAGGCAGCGTTGCTTGGCTTTCGTCAAGAGAGAGCAGAGGGCGCCTGTCAAATTGGTATGCTATTGTGCAATCCAGAAGCTATTGCCGGTTAGTCGTTACACACCCAAGATGATTGGTCGGAGCACGTACCCAAATCAGGTAGCCTATGCGTCTTCTGATCTCGTCCTCGACCCAGGACAGCCAGTGCTGCTCGTTCGTCTTCCCGTTTAGGGGTTGTATGGGTCTGTCCGGACGACTAAGAAGTTTCTCGCGGTTCACAAAGCCTATCAAGTTGCCAAACGTATTCAGCGCCAAAAGCCTAGCCCGTTCATCACAACTGTATAGTATCCCAACACAGTTGAGTACTGATGCTTGAAGAAGCCACACGGGTGCACGATCGACATAATACTTCTCTTCCTAGAGAAACGAAAAAGGTCAATGATGGGTCGACAGTATAAAAAAGACTGTCTCTCACCTCAACACTTATAGCGCGTCTAAGAAACTCATGAAACACCGGCGCACACTCGCTTTGTTCTTGGGAACCAGCAAAATGGCAGCCTATTGCTGAGAGAGCTAGCACCACTAGCCAATGGCACTCGTTGATATCAAATGTAGGGGTGTGAAATATTGGGTAAACATGCTGGAAATGCACGAAGTATAGATTAATAAAGCTTGACAGTGTTTCCGCATCAGGCAGGTGATCGGATTCAAACTTTGGATACAGTATACTCTCCGCGCAGCACAATTGAATGAATGCACTTCGTATCCTCTCATATGTCGGTGGTCCAAGTGTGTGATGATGGTCATAATGATTCTCGTTTGTGGCGTGGACCCTTGGCTTTGGAAATTGAGGGAACAAGTATTGACGCCGCGTATCTGCTTGCTGCAGCTGTAAAGACGCATTCGCAGAAGCAGCACATAACAGAGACCAAGAGTCTTGATTCAGTCTAGAACTCGATGAATTCGGAAGAGCACCATCCACTGAGTGATTTCTGACACGCCTATTCAGATGTGATGACTGGCTTGGGCTTTCAGTGTTACCACCTAGAGACGTGTACCCAGATGGTGTTTGAGATACATTCTCCGACACCAATGAGCTACTCTCAGTACCATGTATGACGGATTGATACCACGGAGCTTGACTAAGGGAGGTATCCAGAATTCCGGAGGTCTTTTGGTAGGTGTTTATTGAATGACGACGGTCGTTAGACGCATTAGCGAGATCCTGCGGGAGCCAGTTGATCGTAGGAACAGTGGTCTGATTAAGTAGAGGTTGTATGAGTTCCATTGGTACCTGCTGACTTCCCACTGTTGGCATTGTTGCAATGCCATCAGAGCCTTTGGCTGACTGGAGCCCCTCAGTTCGATGAGCGGGTTCTGCCATGTCTTCGGTCGATGTTGCGATTTGTGAGTACAATCCTTGTGTTCCCACGGTACCATTCTGCACAGAAGGGACCCGCATCTTCTTGACCTCTCTAGTAGAATCGTGCAAAGATAGTGAAGTAGAATTGTCCTCGGCGCCGAGAGCTTGTCCATTTGTCCTGGTTTCATCCAAATGTTTATTTTCTGGCTCTATATTATTGTTATTTGCGGACAAGTTAGATGAGACTGCGTTGGAAGCATTAGATATGGGCATTTGTAGCTGAAACTGTGTCATCTGGTAATGAAAGGGCGGCGGGATTGATTGTTCTCCATTGCGTGACGGACGCAAGTCGGTACCATTTGCCCACGTGGACTGAGCCAGATGAGAAGATTGATCGTACGATGCGTCGTCGTTTGTAAAAGAGGGCTGAGTCTCCTTTCGAGTCTTCGCTTTTGATCGTCTCTCGGTCGGATACTGACATTCCAGGGATCGACTCTCGCAACGTGCGCACGGCGAGCCCCCACTGCATCGCACCCTTGCGATAGCGCATTTGTAACAAGCGCGGAAGGTTTTGACGGTGATCCGGTGCGTACGATCCTTTCCCCCTTCCATTCCAGCATTATGATGACTGAGTTCGTGACGATGAAGAGTATCCCTAACGACGGTGTCAATTGACCATGCATCCGATAGATTAAACACGGCAGATCAGGGGACGTGTAGGATTTGCCAAGATCTACGCCAGCATTGGGGCACAGGAATATAAACGACTAAGCAGGGGGGCCATACGTTCTGGAGAAATGCCGGCCGCACTGCGCACACTCAAACGGCTTTTCCTTTGTGTGACTGCGAAAGTGGCGCTTTAAATGCTCTGGCCTTCTAAACGTGCTTTGGCAGATCGAGCATTTAGTCTGGCCAGTCCCTGTCGAGCTCTGCGGTACGTCATGGTTCTGGTTGCTGCTGCGGCTGCTGCTGCTGCTGCTTCTGCTGTCGTTTTTCGTCGGCTCTTCGGCCTCAGGGCGGGTCACGGTTTCTATGTAACAATTAATCTGCCTGCAAGCCAGCGTGCCACTACAACTGCGCACCCCCTCATTTGCTCCGAAGATGAAACCAGGTCTGATCTCTTACCTTGCCCGACATCGCTGTTCTCCGGAGACATGGCGTCTCATGGGCGGTTTTCCGTCAAGAAACAACAGAGGGAAGTCTGGCATGGCACCTGAGGTTACTGATGGAATCAAGAACGAGCCGAACACTGAACAGCATCCCCGGGAAGTCTGTAGACAATCACCATCATGTCACTCTCAGGAACTCCCGCCGCGTGGTCCAGGGGGGGGTGGAGGGGTGGGAAATAGGTAGCCGGGAAAAGTGAATCGGCGGAACGTGGTCAGACAACAGTCTGCGCTGGACAGTACTAGTGGAGGGAGGGACCATTCTGGCTGTTAGTGTAGTTTAGAAGGGGGGAGAAGCGGGGGAAGCTGGAGATTGACTTGTGACTGGCGGAGGAGCCTCTTTTAGCCTCTTTAGCGCCGTTGTTCCCTCGCGGGGCCCACGAACCCATCGCCCTCCGCGTGGGCGCCAATCGCCTTGATTGGAGGGGGTCCCGAAGATTTAGATTAATGTTGCATGTTTGGTCCAAAAAGATTGCGCCCGGATCCTGGGCATTTAGACCGAGGTCGGTTAAATACGTCTGTGACGATAGACGCCAGAATGGATGGGGGAAGCATTTTGCACGGGAAGCTGTTGTGAATATTGCCCCCTAAAAGATATACCCATACCTGAGAACCCCCATCAGACACGAAGCCTTACATTAAATGATTACATGATACTCATTTGAATGTATCCAATCAATATAGTCGTCTAAGTCAATCAATTTCAGACGATAATAATAGCGTGTTACTCTTCCCGAGTCATGATGTGTGCATCTCCTTGCCCCTCGACGATGAGCATAACTGTATATGGAAAGACACACATCCTCCTCAATTGATGCCGAGAGCCGATTGACCACATTATATGCACTAGTTTGTGGCCTCATACAACTTAAACATCCACGAATCGTAGATATATTCCGCATATGACAGGCTTGAATTCATGAGGCAATGTCAACACTACACCACAAATGCTGTCCAACAGAGTTCATTACGATGCATATAAGCGCCATCCGATCGATAGCGTTGCTTAGCAAACCCACATGGTGGTAGCCTTCACCATGATGTGTCAATGAGTGATCTGTCAGATCTTGTTCGACTGTCAGATATAGTTTTGACAAATACTTCTTTCCCTTTTTGAAAGTATACGTACTTTGTGGATGCGGGAGTGTCATCATCATCCGCCGTTATATATAATATCATCATACTTCAATCGTACGGCCGGACAAAGCCGATATCAGACGTTTTCAATAAACGTACTCGTGAATCCACCTACTTACACGGGCTGATAGGTAATATGCTGATAGACTACGGTCTTCAAATAATTAGTAGATATTTTTGTAATAAGAAAAACCATATTATCTGGTTGGTTTACTAAACCATTAACGCAACTAGTTAACGTTATGTTATGGTGAGGACGAGACGCTAACTTCGGACGGCCAAAACGCACGGACCCATTAGCTCAGCAGACTTGCAGTCAGGGTGTCCGTTGCCTTTCTGTATTCTCACGCCATCAAACCCGCCCAAGAGCGTACTATTGAAGTGTACCTATTGTTCTCAGGGGATATTGTCGGTGCCTTTCTACTATTACATAAGGGTATTCCGCTGCGGTTGCTGTTTCTTCCCTTCCCTGGATCAAACCTAAACTACGACCGCCGCAGAACCTTGGGTCGGGGTCCCCCCCATGAATGGCAAGCCCGACATCAGCTCTGGACAGCCGGTTGCCTCGTCATGCATCATCGGGACCTGTTAATAGTACCGTGACAGCCCTCCAAGGAGCCACAGCTGCTTTCAATGCAAATCCTGCCAGCAGAGCACGGCCACCTATTATCCATTATAGGTCTGGCGCATTCATGGAGCCTGTAGGGGTCAGCCACAATACTCTTGAAATGGATCCGCCTCGCAACATTCAGACTCCAGAATTGCCCGAAAGTGGCTCAGTCAAAGACAAGATCGGGAAGTTTAGTGCCTATCAGCAGCAGCCCTCTGGCTTGAAAGATGCATTCGGGAAAACCCCAACGAGCATAGGGGCGAATAGGTCACGCACTCCGCAGCAGATCGCTGCCCAGCTGGCCGCAGGAAGATCGACGCCAGGTGAAATCACTGCCACGCACACGGGCGTCAGCAGGACGCAAGGTTCGAGACCGACGACTTCAAAGCGCAGTGATGACAACGAGGGCCCGCCGTTGCTAGCCCCAAAGCCGGTATGGGCTACGAGTGCAAACACGGCCTCGGTGAACAAGCTCCTTCGCAGCGAGGCTGATTTGCCAATTAGAGACAAGTCAATTCAGCGAAGACCAGTAGCTCAGATATCTCCCATAGAGGCGGCGAGGTTGGCTGCGAAGAAGCCTCGTCCTCCACCTGTGCCACGAAAACCAGCTGCGGTTGCCACTGGTCCAACCTCAGTTCCTATCAACGTACATTCCAAAGGCCCAGAGAGTCCAGAGCCGACCTCCAAAAACCACTCCTCACGTCACCTTGAGGATACTACTATCCCTTCCAAGGCCCCGCCAGCACTTCCACCCCGAACTGGCGCTTCGTCCGTGCCTCGGAAAGACCTGACAAATCATCGGCGGCTTTTAGACACCAACCATGGGTCCCGGACACGACCATCGACGCCTGGGACTGCATCGCTGTATACTACATCACTGAGCAATAGTACTACGAGTTTGCTCGACAGCTCCTCCGGACTGGATGAAGGGGCCTTATCGGATGCGGTCGTGGCCTCGTCAAGGGCATCTGTTCGGGCTTCACAAGAAAGGAAAGTCCCACCGCCCCCACCGCCAGAGCGCCGGGCGAGGTCTCGATCTCTAAAGCAATTCCCGCATACGGCCAAGGGAGAACACACAGATTCGTCTAGTCCATCCACACATTTACGACAGACCCTCCGGGAACCGACCAAGATAGCCGAAAATGATGAGGGGTACCAAAGGCATAAGCATCTGATTCGCAAGCATCCGCACAAGCATCACGAAGGTGACCGCAGAAGATGGCGGAGTGAGATTACGGAGAAAGAGCGAAAGCGGTACGAGGGTGTCTGGGCTGCGAACAAGGGATTGTTGCTCCCTCCCGCGCACTTGAGGGTCCCCGAAGCGTACCCGCCGGAGTCCTCCGAGATGGTGGTCAACCTGGTGGCCGCTGACATCTGGTCACGTAGTCGCCTGCCGCGACATGTTCTAGCACAAGTATGGGATTTAGTGGACGGGCAACATATTGGTCTTCTCACCCGAGAGGAATTTGTGGTTGGGATGTGGTTGATCGACCAGCAGCTGAAAGGCCATAAACTCCCACCCAGGGTGCCCGCCAGTGTGTGGGCAAGCGCCAAGCGGATATCAGGAGTGCACATCCATGGGCTTCCTCCTGCCTGAAGATGATGAATCGCATGATAAAGGAGTGGGGACCTGCAATAAGCCACGATGGAGAATCCACGCCGGTGCCTTGTGGCTAGACGATCGCATAGTTTCATAATAATACGCTAGTAGGAGGATTTCTTGACTGCCTGGTAGGAGCGGGAAGCTCCCCCGATTATTTGCAGCGTGCATGGGTTACGGAGGACCGGCTGAGAGCTCGGCCGCGTTAAGCCCGAAGGTATTCCTTGTTTGAGGTAATGGTGCCGGCCATTTTGCTCATTATTTATGGAGATGATGGATCGGAGGAAGACAGACGCAGATACGCTACCTAGCTAGAGCCCGGTATTTAATCTCCCGTGAGGAAACCAGCAAAAGGAATTTACTCACTGGCTTGCTTGCTTGCGTGTGAAGATTTAGAGTGCAGGGTGTTATTATAGGCGAAGTACTTACAGTAGTCGCTCGGGCTTTCTGTGGAGCCCGTAGATCGATCCGAAAGTTTGCCCTCCCCCGCCTCCTCTCTGGGAGAAGCGCAAATACCGCCATGCAACTGGAGGGAGGTAGACTACTATCTACGGTGTAGATAGATAGACTCGGTGAAAGATGCTGGTCCGTGACAGGGGTGCTTCGGGAGAGGAGGAGGGGAGGGGGGTAAGCAGAGAAATCCCCATTTCCAGGAAACCAGACAGCCCGCCCCTCCCGTGGCCCGATTAAAGCCTACCTAAGAGAATGGGGACCTGATCCACCCGGACTGACGCGAGATCATTTCCCTTGACAATAGTACCGAGAAGGTATAAGTGGTATGTGAGTGGTGCATCTGCTGCGGCTACATTTTCCGGTTCATATCACGTGATGGGCTGAGACGGGCTGCTGATCGCCTGATGGGGAAGGAGACGGATGGCGAGTGTCGGGCACCGCCACTTGCTGATGGTCCCCGAACGACACGTTAGTACTAGTACTCGTAGTACTCCTGTACTAAGTAGTAATGGTAGGAGGGCTAAGAGGGGCAAAAGGAGGGAGGAAAGGATGACAGGAGAATTTTTTCAGCATACTCAACCAAAGGAAGAGAAGGCAGGGGAACGAATCAAGCAATGCAGCAGCTGCAGCTCGTTAGTAGTAGCTGCAGGCCTTTGAAAAACGCTGTCGCAAGTCTAGTAGTTGATACGGAGTACTAACTAGTAGTAGTCTGCTTACCTTAGTCCGATCTGCTCCAAAAGCCACACTTTCTTAGATCTGTGGTCCCATAATTTCAAAATTAAAAAGGGAAAAGGGAAAAAAAAAAGGGGAAAAAAAAAAGAAAAAAAAAAAAAGAAAAAAAAAAAAAAAAAAAAAAAAAAAAAAAAAAAAAAAAAAAAAAAAAGGGAAAAAAAAAAAGAAAAAAAAAAAAAGACAAAAAAAAAGAAAACGAATGGATATTGCAGAAATAAGGAATGAATATGGTAGGCCATTCCAGAGACACCCAAGAGTCAACGACAGGGGATCGACGATCGTGATTCGAAGAAATGCAGCCGACCCGGCGTGCATTTTGACTACTAGAACGACTAACTAATCGGGGGGCGCCCCAGTTTGAAGCGCCACCTTACGCTGGCCTGCATTTTGACTGGCTTTTCAACAAGCAAATCCCGAACGGCCACACTTCGGGATTTGCCTCTTCGGGCCTGGATGATGATTAAGCCGTGCAGGGTTCCTTCAGCTGGTGGTCTTGACGCTGTGTATACCAGTCCTCCCCGTCCGTTGATTTGCATTAAAAAGGGCCTGCAGATTGGCTCCCCAGAGTCAAGGCAATTTTCGATGGCTGTATTGTCTGTGCCATTGTTATGATCGTCGTCGCCGTCGTTGTCGTCGTCGTTGCGGTTTTAGACGGGTTTTGGTTTGGGACTTCTCTTCAATACTAAGTCAAGTCGGTCAAGGAATGCTTGCCTTCGGGGGCCAACGGCAACAGTAGTACGTTCCGATAGGCGTTTCATGACCTTCTCCTCGGGCAGTCGCTCGGTTTGTCCTTCGTTGTTTGCCCAAAACCCGCCGTCATGGTTTTAGAGGATCCCGGACAGCCTGGTGGAAAGAATGGGATCCCGGCTGTGGCACTGGCAGTTACACAGTCCAAGACCGCCAGACCCACGGTGGTCCGCAAGAAGTTCGCCAAACCTCCCGTCAAAGTAGCTTGTTTAGCATGGTAAGCTCACTGGCCCTCATCCCCTTCCGTCCCTTTCCCTTCATCTCCTTGTTCTTGTGCCTTTCGATTTCTGCGGCAAGCTCATCTTACGCGGTTGGTCATTGGGAGGGAACTAATCCGGATTCACTTTTATCAGTCGTGCTTCAAGAACACGTTGTGATGGTCAAGACCCGTGTACCAATGTAGGTATACTCCCTCATTCTTTGGGTTGTCAGAGCTCCCAACACCCCCCGAGTGATTCATCCTATCTTAATCCTATGGACCCATTCTCTTCCCTCTTCCCTCTTCCCTCTTTTCTCTTTCCCTCTGCAGCCGCTTTCCTACTCTGCTATGGCTCAGCGGGATGTTGTGACTCTCCCTACCTTTGTTCTCAGTCATTGGACTTTCCTTGATCTCCGAGAGAACGTGTGTGTGTGCTGATCTGCTTGTTTTGGGACAAAAGTGTTCCAGTAGGAATAAGAGTTGCTCTTATTTGCCTAGTAAGCGGGGTGGCCCAAGGAAGAAGAAGAACAAGCCATCTACAGCTGCAGAACCTCCACAAGATGGTGTCGAGGATCCTACGATTTTGCCGGCGTCCTCGGGATTTGACGAATGTGCGGTCAGACCCCAGTTACAATCCCAAGGGCATCCACTAACGCACGTCTAGCATCCGGGATGTTTGGCCAAATTGACGTCCTATCAATTCCGGGGGCAGGGTTGAGAAGCCTAGACTTCCCCTCGGATGTCCACGCCATGTTTGCGGATCTTTTTGTTCCAGGCACAGAGAATACCCACGGCCTGGAGCCGACGCCTTCCCCATCAAATATACCGTCTCGGGCCTTGGTTAGGACTTACGGCAGTGAAGATGCTATGTGGGTGCTAGCTCGTCTCATTAAGTCTTCACAGCATTCTGACTTGAGATTACAGTCTTGACGCATACTATGTCTTCATCCATAATTATTTCCCTATACTTCCACCAAGGGTTGACCCTCCGGCTCCTGACCGACCCCTGGACTGTGCGGGTTCATTCACAGATTCACCGTCAGAACAACCACTTCTTATCTATAAGCCAAGGTCGCCTTTGAGTTTGGCGATCTCAGCGATCTTGGCCCTCGTACCACACCCAAACGACCCAGAACCATCGGGGCCTGCGTCCGTCATCCGCCGTCGCACATTTGCACACACATTTGCCCAGCTGGCAAATGCAGCTATCGAAACTGATTGCGAGCTTCACGCTTCGTCTACCTACCCTTCAGATGCATTGACGAACGAACGGCCTCTGATTGATCGAGAGCCTTTTCATCCCCAGACTCCAGTGGAACTCGAAAGTCTGCTCGCACTTCTCGTACTTTCAATTTACGAATACAATCAACGAGGCAACCTTCTGAAGATGCGTTACCGTGCCGGTCAGGCTTTGGCCATAGCGTTGGATATGTCTCTGCATTCTCTCGGGGAAGAATTCGATGAGTTTGCGGAAGCTCGCAGGAGAGCTTGGTGGATGACTGTATGGCCCCTTCATATGCATCGTACCACGGTCACTAATGCCTCTGTATGTGCAGTATTACTGTGTTTTGCAGGGCTCTATTGTCAGCACTACGGTAAGTATCTTCTTGCTTCCTCACATTGCAGATTCTAATGTCCGATTCGCAGCCTCTAGCTATTATCGCGAACGATCCCCAATTTGTCACTCCTTACCCACGGTTTTCGGCCGATCCTGATGTATGTGTCTTCTCATCGCCCGAGTTTCGAAGTTGGGAAATGTGTGAATAGTTGGCTTCTAACACACTATAGGGCTGGTCTGTATTAATACAAGCCCAGCAAGTTCTTGTCTCAGCAACACAATATATCATCGATCTGAATAAGTGCCTGTCCACGAGGACGAACATGCAATACATTTATGAACGGATGCAGCAACTTGACGCATGGGCGAGCTCTGTTCTGGCACAATCAAATCTGCTTCCGATCTTGCCCCAGTCTATGGCCTGTGGCGGGGAGATAGAATTGACAACAGCTCAAAGTATCCGTGCAATATCACGGATAAAGTTGTCTAGGTGAGTATCGTTTGACCCCTTGACGACGGTCTTGTTATTAATGGTTCTTAGCGCTCAAATCAAAGTGCATCGGTTTAGGGCATTCTCAGACCTGCCAATCTTCCTTAAAAAACACTGCGATCTGACCTCGAGAAATCCGAACAACGAAATGCCAAGCAATACTTCCAAGAACTCCAAATCGCAAAGTGGAATTGCTAATATCGGATGTTCATGCAGCCTGGAGCCGTTCCAACAGGCACCCAGTGACTACTCATCGTCGTCTTCCCAGGCGTCAGATATTCAGCAGTATCCTTTCATGCAAGGGTTTCCATACAGCATTCAACATTCAGCGAAAACGTGTCTGAGAGCCTCCCTTCTAATTTCACGCATGTTCTACAGTCTACCCCTGCCGCAACCGCTTCTCGATGAGTGCCAGACTCAGCAGGGGCTACACATGCTACCGAATCAGTTACCACGAACCATGCCGTCGTTTGCGTGCTGCCTAATGCAGGGCAGCTATGCTATGTTGATGATCTATCTTAAAGCGCGCCGGGAGAAACTGACTCCAAAGAGTGGAAACGACGATACCCCCAACCCCTCGGACAGACTCATCGAAGAAATCCGCAAGGGGCTAGAACGTATAATTGCTACTGTTACAAATTACGCGATTGCATTTGAGGCGTTGGATGGGATGAGGGGTAAGTCCAGTGCAACCTAGCAAATTATCTCGACAATGACTGACCTAGTACGGATATGCAGATGAGATTGAGTGTGCATATCAAACGGCGTTTTCTCAGGCGTAGGCCTGATTTTGTCATTAGGTGGACTCAAAGGTTCTATTCTATTTCCACAAACAAGAGTCTTTCCAGAATGGGACTAGTCGCATACTACTACTTTCTAGTATCCGCAACATATGGCGCGGGGGGGAGCCATTGGCTATGAACTCCCGATTTCCCAATCTACTCTCAGTTCTATCATTTAACCCACATGGATACCATAATTACCCAATACTCCTAGACTCTAACTCATGATGATGATATGATGATTATGACGCTTTCTCATGGTACCTTTTACCTCAAAATTCTTGGCTCTACTTCCCACCCCTTCTTCTATCCGAAGCCTACGACTCCATATTTACTGGCAACAACACCTCAAGTAGCTACAGGATGCGATGTAGAAAACGCAATCCCTTAAGCAGCTCACATGCATAAACTATCTAATCTATCTGCGTAATCACTTCTAAAAGCTACTTGGGATCCACGCCAAGAAATCCGTTGGGTATCAAAAGAATGTGTTACGACCTGAAATGATATTGTAGATCATGAATCGAGCCAATAAATGAAAAAAAAGGGGAGAAGTTAATCTCCCGAAATAGTACAACTATCAGGGCTATACTAGGTTCCATGACCTTATAAATTACTAGGTATAGTATGGCCCCGTTGCAACAGCGTCTGAAGTGACTCAGGTGTCATCCTTCAACTGCCGTGTTCTCTTGTTGGATAGTTAGTAGAGCCTAATGAGGAAAGGATGAGGTATGTAGTGCTATTACTTAGTACTGGCCTAGAAGAGGCCGAACCAAGGATAGACCGCTAATTACTGTACATACAATGACTTTGAATCGAGTATCATTCAACAACCTCCCATTATATATCTATGCTTGGTAAACTTAGCTGGGCAAACTATTGTACTTGAGCAATAAGTGACAACTATCTATAGTAAGGAATCTCTTTTTGTTTAAAGGAAAGAGAGGATGCTGAGAGAGAGGCAGTCTCAAAGTTTCGACCGTATGCCCTCTAATCGGAATTTGACATCCTTGAGCACCTTGCTTGTTGGCTTCCAGTCGTCGAATTGGCGTAGGAGTTCCATTGTCTCATCGTAAAGTTCGCGGCGGACGTATTCCTCTTCGAGAATACCGCGCATCGCGAAAGGGAGGATGTACGGGTTTGCGGGGGCTGGTTGGGTGCGTTTGATGTGCAGATTGGCGCTGTGGATGGTGGATGTTTCGAGTGCGAATTCGATGGCCAGACTTGTTTTCATTAGTATTGTGGTTGGGGGGTGGGGGAGATAGTGAGGCGGGAGGTATAACGTACCGGTATACGGATGGGTCATCATAGAGACGGGAGTGCCCCTCTCCACTATATAGACTGCCTGCGAGGGGGGAGCTGAGCTCGCGGATGAGACCGTGGTCTGGGATGCCTAGGTTGCGAAGCTTGAGGACGAAGCCGACTAGGTGAGAGAGACTGCTTGAGGGTTAGAGGCTTTTGGTTTGTCGGAAGGGACGGAGATTGATTGGCTTACAAGCTTGGGGCGTGAACTCTGCCATCGACGAAGGCTGCGCGGTAGATGTATGGATGGGTTACGGGTGCGAAAAGGGACGACTAGAGCCAGTGGTTAGTATATATGAGAAATAGTAGGGGGTGGTGTGTGTGGCACTTTACCTCAAGAGAAACTAGCTGATCATCAATGCTTCCAATGTATGATATCCGAATGCCAAAGTCGAGACAGGTTCTCAGCGCTGATTCATAATCCTTTGAGACTTGGCTGTAAGGCAAGGCGAACTCGAAGAGCTCTCCGGCTGAGCCACTGATCCAGCGAGATCTGAAGTCTGCGAAAGGACCCAGGTTGACACCTGCCATAGCACAGACGCCCACACGCGCTGCATTGAGACAGCCGAAGGATATCAACTTGGCGACCAGCATGATCGCAACAGGGACACCCTGACTATGGCAAGCCACCAGAATGAAATCAGCCTTTCTGATCTCCTCCATCCAATTGAGTAATAATTTCCACAGCAGGTCGACACGCTCAGCTATACGCCCCTCGCCTTCCAGGGCAATTTTTTCGATGTCGCATTTGTAGCCATGGTCGTCAGCCCAGGTATTTATGGCTTCCGCTGCCATGTTCGAGAATCGAATTGAGGTGCCTGTCGGTTGGCCGAGGACACTCCGGATTAACGGTGCAGGGAAATACCCATGTATCCCGATGGCCAATGCCCTTTTGATAGGGGGTGTATCCTTGACCATATGGACGTGTCTGCTGTTCGACTCTTTACCATAGTGGAAGTATCGTCCTATTGTCTGCAACAGACTGGGCTTTTCTTGCATAGCAAATGTCTCGTGAAACCTTGGTAAAACCTGATTGGGCAAGACTTTTCGCAATTGCTTTGAGGCCGCGGCTTCAGACGGTCCCGGTACCAGGTCATTGAGGCCTGCTTCTGGACGTAATGTGGTTTTATCAGGTAATGCAGAGCTGCTCTTGTTATTCTTAAGCTTCACGCTTCCCTTTTTCGCAATCTCAGCCCTTGCTTCTGATTCCGGTTCGGCTTCAATGGTAGCTTTCTTCAAAGAGGCATCTGGCAAGATAGAGGCGCTAGCCACCTGAGAATCTTGCGGGCCCTCTTTATCAGGACCCTTCGAAGACTCCTTGAACCAGAATGACCATCCAGAGGGCCTCGGGTCCTTCACAGGGGGTATCGTAGCGGGACTGCTTGCCCCTTGCGTATCTTGGTCTTGAGTTGGTGCAGGTTCCGTCTGCACGTCTTGCGTGGTTGGCTTATCCACTTCATCTGGAGGCTTGCTTGCAGGCTCTTCTGGCCCTTTTGTTGATGCACCGTACCACATTTGAAGCCAAGAACGTTTTAGAGTGTTCTGCGAATTATCATGCGCTTCATCAGGCTTATCCTGCTCCGGTCTATCTGGCTCCCTTTGCCCCTGATCCTCCGAGGTTGCCTGCTCTTCGTCTTTCAATACAGGGGGTTTCGCGGGCGATTCTTCAGTGGGCTCTGGTGCACTGAGCACTGGCACTGGGTCTGGCACCGGATCTGGCACCGGATCTTTTGGGGCAGGATTCTCGGTCGTTGACGGGGCATAGAACCATGAAAACCATCCACCCGTTTGGACAGTCGACGTTGGGTTTGCGTCCGCACTCTGCCGGTTATCATCTGTAGTAGACTCGGGAGCAGCACTCAATTGGCCCTTATGGGCGTCATCCGTAGCTATCACTGTCTCTTGGTCTTTCGATACTTCTTCCTCGGTCGGTTGCGTTGTTATGCCAGCCGGGCACGACTTAGCATCCTCTTCAGGGGTGAATGTAGTGCCATCAGAAGCTATGTTTATCTTCGTTGTCGCAGCATCGGCGGGAAGAGACCTGCTGGATGCGCCGACCTTCCGAGTAAGCTGGAGGGAGGGATTTCGAAATGGTCTAGGGGAATCAAGCTGAGGAGTTGAGCGGGAAGTGAGTCGGGGTGCTAAGTTTTGAGCGGCGGAGATGCTCTCACGGGCAACCTCGGTAACAGGAGCCGCCTTGGATGCTCTGGAGACTGCCGGCCAGACAGCAGGATACCAACTCTGTGGTTTGAATGATACATCATTAGGTATACGGGACGGATATAGACAAAGATATAGGGCTACTGAGAACCAAGACTCACCGCAGTGCTCCCCCTGTTCCTTGATTCTGCATGGTCTCCGCCTGCGGAAAGCGATGTAGCACCATCGTCGGACGCTGTAGGGGACTTGGAGTCCGCGCCGGGGGGGCTGGGCTTTACTCTCTTACGAGATCCCATCGACGGCATGAAAGCTTAAATAGTAACATCACCGAATGCGAGATGAGGTGCAGATCGAAGCATGGAAAAGCCTAAAGATCAAGTGAAAGGAGATGCTATGACGGGGGAAGGCCAGCAGACTAGCCACCAGCGATGGCAGCCGGAGGATCAGCGCGGGTCTTTGGTTGGTTATCAGCCAAATCGGGCCAGCATCACGCCTGACATCACGTCACATGCTCTCTGCTGACCGTCTTTGTTTGCCTCGCCGCCTCAGGCGGGGAACAGGTGGTGTGGCTGGTGCGCTTGTGCTCCTGCACCGCCACATGCATCCGGGCTGGAAGGGGAAATTTTTATTTTTCGGGGCCGATGTGGAGAAGGCCAGGAAAGGATCCATCCAGGCCGCCGATAACTTTTTTTCCTGGATACATTCTCTTGTACCGCTCTCACCATTCCTACCCACTTGCATCCGCACTTCTTTGCTTAGCGGTTTCGGTTTTTCGTCGAGTGTGCCTCGACCTCCCATCTCTTAAGATGGCGATTCAAAAGAAGGTAAGGCGGCATTGGTCTGGCACGCGGCAATAGAAAACCCAGTACTGACAATGACTTAGCATGGTAAAGGTCGTTTGGATAAGTGGTATCGCCTGGCGAAGGAGAAGGGATACAGAGCGAGAGCTGCTTTCAAGCTGATCCAGCTGAACAAGAAGTATGGCTTTCTGGAGAAGAGCAAAGTCGTTCTCGATCTTTGCGCGGCGCCCGGTGTGAGTACAACCCCTCAGTTTGATTTCTAACGCCCGGTCTGGTGGCTGACCACTCTCGCAACACAGTCGTGGTGTCAAGTTGCTGCAGAATGCATGCCCGCACAGAGTATCATCGTCGGTGTCGATCTTGCGCCTATTAAGCCGATTCCCCGAGTCATTACCTTCCAGAGCGATATCACGACCGAGAAGTGTCGCACAACAATCAGACAGCACCTGAAGCATTGGAAGGCTGATACCGTTCTTCACGATGGTGCCCCCAATGTCGGTACCGCATGGGTTCAGGATGCTTTCTCTCAGGCAGAGCTGGTGTTGCAGTCTTTGAAGTTGGCTACGGAGTTCTTGGCGGAAGGCGGTACATTCGTTACGAAGGTCTTCAGATCCAAGGACTACAATCCGCTTTTGTGGGTTTTAAAGCAACTTTTTGCATCCGTGGAGGCAACGAAACCCCCGTCTTCTCGAAACGTTTCCGCAGAAATCTTCGTTGTTTGTCGGAATTACAAGGCACCAAAGCGCATTGATCCGAAGTTCCTCGATCCTAAGCACGTCTTCGCCGAACTTGCGGACCCTACCCCTAACAATGAGGCTAAGGTGTTCAACCCGGAGAAGAAGAAGCGCAAGAGAGAGGGTTACGAAGAGGGCGATTATACGCAATTCAAGGAGATCCCAGTTACCGAGTTCATCAACACCACTGATCCGATTGCCATCCTGGGTTCATACAACAAACTCAGCTTCCAACAGTCACCAAGTGGTGACCTTGCTCTCGCCACACTGGAGAGACTAGAAGATACGACCGACGAGATCAAAGCCTGCTGTGAGGATCTCAAGGTTCTGGGTAAGAAGGAGTTCCGAAACCTGCTCAGGTGGCGACTGAAAGTGCGGGAGAAGTTTGGTCTCGCTGTGAAGAAGGGGGCCCAAACCAAGGAGGATGAGACTGAAGAAGTGGCGGAGGTCGCTCCTATGGATGACGAGCTGGCCATTCAAGAGGAGCTGATGCGCCTTCGTGAGAAGGAAACCTCAAAGCAGAAGAAAGAGCGCCGCAAGGAGAACGAGAGGAAGCGCAAGGAAATTGTTCGGTTACAGATGCACATGACGACCCCCATGGATATCGGAAAGGAGCAACTGGGACCTAATGGTGAGGATGCTACATTCTCGCTCAAGCGCGCCGAGAGAGGCGGGGTTAGGGACACCATCGCCGCAGGCCATGAAGCGTCGATTGAAAGTGATAGCGAGGACAGTGCTTCCGAGTCTGAGACCGAGGAGAGCGATGACGAGGAAGACCGTTTGGAGCGGGAACTTGACAACTTGTACGAGCAATACCAGGACCGCAAGGAAGACCGGGACACGAAGCTACGGGCAAAGAAGGCCAGGAAGGACTTCGAAGCCGACTCCTGGGACGGCTTTTCCGATTCTGACAAGGAAGAAGGTGAAGACTCCGATGACGAGGGTCTTGGAGTCAGCTCTGCCATCGACAAAACTCCCAAGTCAGCTTCCCTTTCCAACAGTGCCTCGCTATTCTTCGACCAAGATATATTCCAAGGCCTAGAAGACATTGACGATGTGGAGGATGAAGATAGCGCCATCGAAGTTAAGGAGGATCGGCCTAAGGGCAAGGAGTCTGAAAAGAAAAAGGCAAAGGAATCGAAGAAACCTGTGCAGGCGATGGAAGACTCGGACGAAGAAGATCTTGAAGAGCTTGAGGATCCACGGAAAAAGAATGGACAGCTCGGTAAGTTCGCAGAATGCGGCATATCATTGTCTTGTACCCTGGATAACCAATGCTGACTCTACTACGTAGATATCGATATCATCACTGCGGAAGCCATGGCACTCGCTCAGCAGATGGCCACTGGAGAGAAGAAGTCTCATGATGTGGTTGATGATGGCTTTAACCGATTTGCTTTCCGCGATAGTGATGGTCTCCCCGAGTGGTTCCTTGACGACGAGAACAAGCACAGTGTCCAGAACCGTCCTATCACCAAGGCGGCCGCAGCCGCAATCAAGGAGAAGATGCGCGCCATCAACGCTCGGCCCATCAAGAAGGTTATGGAAGCCAAGGGCCGCAAGAAGATGAAGGCCGCCCAGCGACTGGAGAAGTTGCGCAAGAAGTCTGCACTTTTGGCCGATGACGAAGCTCTCAGCGAGCGTGATAAGTCGCAGGCCATTGCGAGGTTGATGAGCAGGGCTACCAAGAAGAAGCCCAAGCAGCAGGTGAAGTTGGTGGTTGCCAAGGGAAACAACAGGGGTATCTCTGGACGTCCTCGTGGTGTCAAGGGCAAGTACAAGATTGTGGATTCTCGTATGAAGAAGGATATCCGGGCTCAGAAGCGCCTTGCCAAGAAGAAGAAGAATTAGTGATGGGGCTTAGTTGTGGAACTCGAAGCGATCTTTTTCATCATTGTCCATGTATATACCCGGTTAACATTATAGATCTCTGTATCATATCCATGGTGAAAGGGGTACTACCTGTTATGGCAGACTGTAATGCGTTTCGATGGCCCGATGTAGTGCGGGATGGGTGGCCCTGGAGTCCTCTCTAGTCCCCTAGATGAAGGTATGGCTTAGGACATGGATCTGTTTCTCATTCAGGAAGCATATCAGCTTATGGCAACGCCGATCACACTCGCCAAATTTCCGCTTATGACTATAGTAGTAGTACTATTCGCCTCTAACTTATGATATAGTACAGATGGAAGGATAATTGTGAGATGATAGAACATAGTAGATAATGGCATTTCTTGAGAATCATAGCTTCTGCTCGTGTGCCTCTGACAGACACAGCATCATTTGGATATAATATGTATTCTACGAAAGTCTTATATATCGTTAGGCCATCCCGTACCAGGCGGGGGAAATCACGGTCCTGTCGGTTCGTCGTGTAGCCGTCTCTATGAGAACTCAGAGGCAGCGTTCATGGCTTCTGCTTCCCTACCCATTCTAGCCATCCAGCGATCAACGAGATCTTGGTTCTCTTTCTGCAGTCGGGATGACCGTTCTTCAGCCATATTCAGTTGAAGATTCAACGATGCCAGCTCGTCTTGGAAATCCTAAAGTGGTGTCAGCAACAGCAGAAGGGGTCACAGAAGGAGGGAACGGAGCAGCATACCTCCAGTAGCTTTGCCTTCCCACGCAACTCTTCATCTCGATCCTTCAAACGTAGTTGAAGATGAGCAATCTCGGTTTCGAATAAGCGGATCCGTCTGCTATCCTGAGTGCTTCTCTTCCGCAGCTTCTCTAAGTCTGTGGTCATGCGTGTGAGCTGGTCCTGCAGTTCGGAGCGTGACCGCTGTGCCTCTGCCAGATCGGCACGTGTTGCTAGGAGAGTCTCTTGTAAAGATGGGTCTTGTGCGCCTGCTCCTGTCGGCGCTTTGCTGGAGCGGGATGCTGAAGTGTCGGATGGCACATGCTGCGCTTCAACCGGATCTGATCTCTGTGGGTTGCTAGCCGTTGCTCCTATGTGAACCGTGCGATCGGCCAGTTGGGTATCTAATGATTTTGGTCATGATAGTCAGAGAAGGGTCAGAATACTTCCGGGAATGTGAACTACCCCAGAAAGTGAGGGTGATCGACATACAAGCATCGTAGATAGCTATGCTGGCTTTCTCTCGTCGATCACGAGCCGCCAGCGCGGCGGAGTACTCCTCTTTCCAGTGGGCCATTTGATAGCAGTGATGATAAGGTGAGTCTATCTAGCGGACGGACGGCGGACCCCTCATATCATGGAGCCATGGTGACGCTCAGAGTCGCCGAGGTAGAGACGTATGGTTTAATGACACAAAAGCCCGCTATGTTTCTAAGGGACCAAACAAGTTATACCACGGCGACATCAACCACCTGCACGCCATTGAAAGCGTGAGGGGAGCATGGGCTGCTTGTCACTGGCGGGTGGATGGGGCGCTGACCGCCATCTCCACCGCCCACGTCCGCGTGCATCATCGAAAGCCGCCGTCGCCGTTAGCTCGGCTCAGTTCACCGTCCAGGCCCAACCATCACTCTTCCTGTTTTGTTACTTGACAACAACTACCCGACTCGCTCGGTGTCTCTGCCAACAGACTGCATCCCTCGCTGTGCTGACGGGATTATATCGACCATCTCTTTGCTTTTCCCCCTCCTATAGACGTAGCTCGACTTGTCAATATACTCACAGCCCCCTCATATCTCCACCATGTCGTCACGGAAGAAGGTCTTGTTGAAGGTACCTCACCTCCCCGGTTCATGCAGGCCAAGCCGCTCTGAAGAATGCTTCAATTACTCACATAGATTTCCGTATCTCTTAGGTTATCATTCTGGGTGATAGCGGCGTCGGTAAGACGAGTTTGATGAATCAATATGTCGGTGGCCTTATCTCCCAGCGATTCCTCGGATCCCCACTCACCCTCATCTCGCTCAACAGGTCAACAAAAAGTTCAGCGCAAGCTACAAGGCCACAATCGGAGCCGACTTTCTCACCAAGGAGGTTCTAGTTGATGATCGGCTGGTGACAATGCAGGCATGTTCTCACCCGCTTGCGCAGATGAACCGAGCGACTTTGGGAATTGGGAGTTAACCGGTTGTAAACAGATTTGGGACACTGCCGGACAAGAGCGATTCCAGTCCCTGGGCGTTGCATTCTACCGTGGTGCCGACTGCTGCGTTCTAGTCTACGATGTCAACAATTCCAAGAGTTTCGAGGCCCTTGACAGCTGGCGCGACGAGTTCCTAATCCAGGCGAGCCCTCGGGATCCTGAGAGCTTCCCTTTTGTAAGAGATTTTCTTTCTTTCAATTTAATCTGGCTTGGGCGCATGAGGTCTTAGGCTAGTAGACACGAGTACTGACTAGAGTTTAGGTTGTGATTGGTAACAAGATCGATGTGGAAGAGAGCAAGCGGATGATCTCTTCGAAACGGGCTATGACGTTCTGCCAGTCGAAGGGCAACATCCCATACTTCGAAACAAGTGCCAAGGAAGCCGTCAACGTTGAGCAGGCTTTTGAAGGTTGGTTACTTATCCTGTCTACTCGATACAAATGCATAGCTAATCTCGCGACTCAGTCATCGCCCGGAGCGCTCTGGCACAAGAAGAGGCAGAAGAATTCAGTGGGGAGTTCAGCGACCCGATCAACATCCACCTTGATGGTGAGCGTGACGGGTGCGCTTGTTAATGACCCTCTTACTAGACATGCCTTGCGAACGATTCATATTTCTGCTTTAAGCCCGCTCCATTTTCACTGTACCCGCCTCCGAACGCTCCCAATTTTTGCTTGTCAGAGCACGTCAATGCCTCGTACGAACTTTTGAGCTTGGAAGAGCGTAGCGGTTCTCTTGGGAACACCTACACTTATACAGTTATGGAGCTCCTCATGTGTTACGCTCCTTGTCTTATGTTTGCCTGCCAATTCGCATGGGATATCCGTTGATGGTCTTGATTCTGCTTAATATTTTCCTCTTGCTTTTCTGGTACGAAGGTACTGTCATGTTCTGTAGGAGTCTGGAATACTACTGCTTATCTGCTGAAAGCTTGTACAGTATAGCCGACTAAGTAGGCAATTACCACACATCTAGTGTTGTATTACGCAAGACCTACATGCTTCATAGTCCAAATTCCCAATTAGAACCTGAGAAGCAAGGAGGACCTCGTTGGTCAAAGAACAAGTGGTATGGTGGAGAAGATCAGGATCGGCTAAGCGTCGCGTGCTTATCTCGGCGCATCTCGTGATGCTCGGCGTTATCAGCTCGGGTTACACCGCAGAGTCACTCCGCTCCCGGTTTCCCTCTCTCTTCCCCGGTGAATTCCCCCGACCTTGCTCCGTCCACGCCCCATTCTCTATCGCCTGCTGGAACAGGTGGTGCTTCCAACTTATACGGCCTTTTGTTTGCCCCCATGATCTACGACAGATCACTCGCGGTCCGGGGGGTCTAATATACCTCGCATCGCGTGCGCCGGCGGGGAGATCTATAGAGCCTCGACTGACAGCGAGTTCATTCTCTTATCGCCCACTACTGACGGCCAGAGAAGGTACGTGGAAAGGTCTCGCAGCCATGGAAGCACCCGAGACCACGGAAGGCTCGGTTTTAGTCGGCGCCGCAAGACGAACATTGGGAATTTGCCTGTTGCTTGTCGTGGTATTTTTATGGACGGCCTCGAATTTCCTCGCCAGTGTATGTGCTTTGCTTCTCTCGACTCTTCACTCTATAATACATCCGGCACGGTGCTAATCTATTCTCTTTCTATGTACCACAGACGATATTCGCCGACGATACATACTCGAAGCCGTTTTTCGTGACGTACATCAACACCTCGATCTTCATCCTTCCCCTCTTCACAATCCTCTTCCGTCGGCTCTTGAAATTATGGCGCGCAGGGAAACTCTACCGAATTCGCTCATTCAAAAGCTTATTGGAGCATCTTGATTCTCACGATACGAACGTCGAGGCACGGGGAATACTTAGTCACGATGCAAGTGGGGAGCATTGGCGCAGCGAAGACGAAGACCCTGAAACATGGGCTGCTGCTAGGTTCGATGCCGCGTCCAGAGGCCAGCAATCTAAGCTGGGATTAAAGGCGACAGCTAAATTGAGCTTCGAGTTCTGTCTGTTATGGGTAAGCATACGTCAACACTGAGTATCCATTCCGTATAAAATCTCAGAAAGCTAACGAGCACCAGTTCTCCGTAAGTACCAGCGATTAATAAAGCTAGCCCTCCTTCTGCGGGGACCGGAAACTGAACCAACTAGGCAAACTACTTTGCAATGGCCTGTCTCCAATACACAACAGTAGGAAGCACCACAATCCTGACCTCAACAAGCGGTACGTTCGCCACCATCCCACCCTGCATCACCATTTCACCACCCAACACTAACCCCCAAAACCAGGAGTCTGGACCCTCATCTTCGGCGCCCTAATCGGCGTCGAGCGCTTTACCATTCGAAAGCTCATGGGAGTCATTGCCTCTCTAATCGGCATAATCCTCATCTCCCGCGTCGACATGTCAACCCCCGACAACCCCAGCAACAACAACAACAGTAGCAGTAGCAGCGGAAGCGGAAGTACCTTCCCCTCCAAAACCCCAGGCGAGATCGCCCTCGGCGACGCAATGGCCGCATTCAGCGCCATCCTATACGGTGTTTACACCATCGTGCTGAAAAAGCAAGTGGGGGACGAATCCCGCGTCAACATGCAACTATTCTTCGGATTAGTAGGATTATTCAACACGGTCCTCCTCTGGCCGGGCTTCATCATTCTTCACATTCTCGGTATAGAAACTGTAGGAATGCCTGATACGGGAAGAGTCTGGACGATTATCTTGGTACGGTTTCTCCAACCGCCAACCCCCCCACACACTAAACCCTTTCTCACACCAACAATCCAATACCCTACCCAATAACTAATACCAACGCTAATGCAGGTAAACGCCCTCGCCTCCCTCGCCTCCGACATCGCCTGGGCCTACGCAATGCTTCTCACCACGCCACTAGTGGTAACAGTGGGACTAAGCTTGACGATCCCGCTCTCGCTGGTAGGCCAGATCGTGCTTCAGGGACAGTACGCGAGCGCGTTGTACTGGGCTGGGGCTACGGTGGTGTTCTTGTCGTTTTTGGTGGTCAATCAGGAGAGTCGGGAGGTGGATGGGGAGGGGCCTGTGGTGGTTGGGAGAGGAGGGGCTGGTAGTGGGTATGAGGCTATTCCGGGGGATCGTGGTAATGCTTATGGAAGGGATAGATGATAAGTACTCCTTACCTACTATGGAGGTGTTAGTTCGTTAGAGAGGTAGTAGGTGAGGGACTTGCTTTACTATTATTTTCTACTGGGGGGTGTGTTTTGTGTGATGGTTGGGATGTGAAAAACATCTAGCTAGAATGGGACTAAATAAGAAAGATAAGATGAGAATGTTATCATTCTGATACTTAAACTAGAAATGACAAAATGTGCTGGTGCTTGAAGCACGTAGAGCATTATTGGTACTAAATAGAATTACATGACCACAGCGACACAAGGAGTGCCGTGTGGGACGAATGGAAGTGAGCAGAAATACATGAAGAACAAGGCTGGAAAATCCGCACCACTTCTCATGTCATCCAGGACAATTGAGCAATACGCGAGACTAACCCAACTCGTAACATGCCTTACTCGCTCGGGTCTCAACATCTCGTACAACCAGTTAAAGAAAATCACAAGACATTAAGACAGTATCATGAAGAACATTGGGTATGTATCATCAAACAAGCGCAAGTGTGAAATAATAGAATACCTGCAAGTATGGAAACAACAAAGGAGAGTAGTCGGGTAAGAAGTGAAGTAGACTAGCCAGAATCCAAGTGAAATCAAGAAAACTTCAAGGAGTGTATAAAAGGGGCGGAATCCGAAAGGCTCCGGGATATGTTATACAGTGGATATCTTTTAACGGAGGCCTGCTGCTCCGGGCGCAGGCTCCAGTTTCTTGCGGGCGACGAGAATACTCTTCAAAGCACCTAGCCACTTTGCAAGAGATTCTTCATCCGGCGCACATAGTCGATACGACTTCTCTTCTGCGATGATTTGGAGACAGAAATGTTTTGAACGTGACATAGGATCGACTTCAGCAGCGTCAATCACCTGTGCCATGGGAATGACTTTGACGGCAGAGTATTCCTTGAGGATCGGATGGTCAGTCATGCAAGCTTGCCCAAAGGGTATAGATAGAATGGGATGCTAGGGAATAGCACAATAACAAAAGCCATACCTGTTCATCTTTGTAGAAACCAAGGCTTTTCGGGCGCAACACAACCCACAGTCGCTTCCATTGGCGCATAGATCCCTTGATTTTGAGGCACTGAAGATACCCATTACATACAACTCTCTCCGGGTCACGAAGGACTGCGGACTCGTTGCGCGGTATTGAGGAATGCCCGTCGCTGTGAACTGATGCAGGTTGGTTCTGAATGGAAGGCGAAGTCATGCGAACGCCGTTGTTGCTCCCAGGCCCATCGGACCATTCCGAATATGACGTGATGTCATTGCCCGAGTGATCATGAGGCGAGGCAAAACGCCTCGAATGGTAAGTAGGTGACAATGAATCCCCGACTTCCGGCGAGCTTGGTCTTCCGCGCTGATCAAAATCGGAGTGATCAGTGGTGTCATAGATGCGGCGCTTGTTGTTCCCGACGGTGTCGCTATTCTTTGATAAGGCGAGGAAGGCCTCTTCGTCTTCATCCATGCGGGTTTCTGATCGGATATGTCTAATCCAGTCTTCGGCATCTTTTTCTGAAGACGACTGGAAACGATAATTCTTTGACGGAGAGAAAACGCCAAATACGTACTGCCGGTTGGATCGGGGCGACCTGACCGACGCAACTGCCGTGACCTCAGACAATGTGATAGAGGCTCGGAGCCTTGTAGCCTCCTCATCCTTGTATACCGACAAAAGATTGGGACGTAAAACGAGATACGCAGGTTTCCAGGAGGCCCTAAATGCCTAGTTCGACAGAGTTAGTTCTAGATCGGGCTTGGCTGAAGGCGCAAATGACTAACATGTTTGTGCTTCACGCGACGAAACACCTTCCCAGTCTTCAGGACCCGATCGAATTCAAAGCTCCCATTTTCATTGACGGGCGAGAAAGTGTCCAAGTTGACGTGACCGCTGCGATAGTGAGCGGATTGATTATTCGGGACTAGAAGCGCCGACGTCTGAACGGTGCCATCGGGTAGCTGGATCGCGGGAGCCTTGGGATTCCCTTCTGCAACCGGTGCGTATGATGTGGGAATTGGTTGACTCATGATTATAAGAAGGTCGTGCTAGTATCCAAGGTCTGTGTCGAAAATAACTGTCGTGTACAAGTGGAGTTCGAATGGCGCGCGAGCGGAGAGAAGGAGTGTATAGCGCTATCTATACCGGCTGGACGGCACACCGGGACGGCGGCCACTTTTGAGACACTGTAACGAAAATAGATCGATATATAGTGAGTGGTAGTAGTCGGCAAGATTAAAAAAAGGTAGGCAGAAATATTCGCCAAGTAGTATCTGGCTGCTGACGATTAGAGTCGGTCGCGGCCGACAGGGTCATGGAGGCTGTGCCGAAAGGAGTGGTGAGCGGGTGGGAAGCGACGACGGGGAGGAACGAGGGAATGCGATGAAGTAACGGAGCGTTCGCCGTGACGACAACCAGTAAGTAGGTTCACACAGAATAGAGAAGTAGCATGACTCTAGTAAAGGCGCGAATCCCTCACCAAACGGATCCCAAGGGTTGGAGCAGAAAAAGGGGATCCTTTCGGGGACGAAGAGAGATGAGGAGAGAGGGGGCGGAGGTAAGTTCTTTTTCTAATTTTCCCAATTCAACGGGACGCATGGACGTTTTTTTGTTTTGGAGATCATCTGGGTTTAGTCCCGTTGGAAGCTGGAACCTCGACCCTCGACCGGCTTTCTCCCCTGCCGTTTCACCTTCGCGCCTTCTGCCATCCTTTTCGTCACATTGACTGGTTTCTCCCCCCCTTCCTTGACTGCAAAACTCCCTTTATGAAACCCTTTGTTGATTCAGTTTGAAGGGAAGGGGGGAGGGGGAAGGGGAGGAACAACAATAATAATCGATGATATTGTCAACAGATGCGACTGAAACGGGCTCATACCTCGTGGGTAGTAGCCATGACCCAGAAACCCCCCCCCCCCATTTCACTTAATTATCATCTGCTCCTCCCGCACAACCACACCACCACGTTTTTTGAGTTTCAAGACATGTCTTCTTCCCCGACATTCTTCGGGTTCATCAACTACATAAATGAACGGATTTGATCTTCACAAATGTACACGGCAGATCCACGGATCTGATTGCCCACACGGGTCGCTAATAATAGGACGTAAGTACTGTAAGTTACTCTCCAGACCGAGAGCATCGAGTAGACAGATACATAAGTCCCTTGACCGCGCTGCAGATCATGACGGGCAATCCGTCCTACAGTACAAGCATAAATGCCTGAAGATGGCCGTGCATGAGATGAGTTATCATCCCGGCATGCATGTTGCGTGTACCTACATAAGTTGTAGAGAATATCAGTAGGTAAAATATCTACCGACCTACATGCTTTCACCGACGCATTGGATGTGACAGCTCAGCCGCGAAGCTCCGCACGATGCTTCTCTCGCCATGTAAAGACTGCATTTATCCCCCGGTAGTGATGTCATTCGTGAGATCCCGCGCTGGACAAGACCAAACTTACTCTATAAGCTCTGTCAAGCCAGTCACCATGCCCTGGGGAAACTCAAGCGGGAGTTCCTGTCAGAATCTGCAAAAGTGCACCCGTTCTATCCAGGATCCGGGATACAGACTGCCGTGTCCCAGCATGCCTTAAAAGGCCACCTTGACAGATCCCCCCTAAGGACCGGGGTCACGTGTGGGTCCCGATGGGATTTCAGGGTTCTGGATGCATAAATTACCGGCACGTAATACCACCAGGTACCAATGGCCCGCTCTTACCATACAATACACCTATTGCTCAGTCGGGCCGAATTCACCGGCTAGAACTAGGAGTATCTATTCACCTACTCAATCAACTAACGGTATGGAGTAGTTATCTCCTTGAACCCATGTAGCTAGGTTGCTAGAGTTAACTAATAGTGTGAAAAACTGGTAACTAATTTGCTACCATAGTGGGCTACGGATCTCCTATTCTCCTGCCATATGTGTAGGAGATTATTAGGCTCGATGTCATACAATGAATCAACATCAGCAGCACTTGCACCCAAAACCCGAGTCAGATCTCTGACCCGATTTGCAGGACAATGAATAGAGTCATGCGAACAGGCCCATGTATTACACGATGAACAAGGTCCATCTCCATTGGCTCATGTCTAAGTATGAAGATGAAGGTGAGACAGTGAAGGTGCCCTCGTTTCAAGATGATTATGGAAGCAGAGAGAACAGAATAACAGCTTGGAGCAAGCTATTGGCCCCTTTTAGGGAAAGTTGTCTTGCCTACTAAGACACACATGCGTGGTCAAGGGAGAGAGTGGTTGCGTCGCATCCGCGGTTACGAAGCGCGGCCACCAGAGATCTTAACCCTCTGGTGTCTGACGACGGTCGCGCCAAGCTAACGAACGAGAGGAACTGGTTCTGGAAAACACTAAACATAAATAGAAATCCAATGTGGCCTCTCAACTTCTGATTGCCCTTCAAGGTGGTTCGCATGCTGATCGTGAACTCAAAGGGCCCAGAAAATACTCTTTGACACTTGCTGACGACAGCCAGATTCCGCCCGGCCAAAATTAAGAATGATTGAAGGAGGACGTGTTTTGCAGGTTAAGCTTCAGGGTCTTTTGCATGCACCAACTCTACAAGTACCAAGGCTGGGTCGGTAAGGCCTGTATTCCTAGTTCTTACCGCCCATCAGGCCCAAATTTCTCTCGGTGGTGCTGTCTTGACTCGTTCCCTCTAATTTCCCCCAATAACCACAGTACAAGGGTTGTGTGGTTTCTATAGTGCCTTTTTAGACGTAATTTTGGCCTTTCTAGAGTGCCACCAATCTAACCGACCAAGTCAGCAATAATTTACCGCCAGTTGATTTGGTCTGGGAGAGGGATTTGGAGAGGGTAAAACGGAGAAAGGAACGAAAGGGAGAACCAGTTGGACTACCGCAAAAAGGCTAAGTGTAATACGTTACCAGAATACCAGTCTGGAAAGGAGAGCCGTGACTCCCGAGCTGGAGGGTAGGCTGTAAATTACCATCTGTGACCACGACCGCTTGCGCCTCCTTGGCCTTGGCGGAACTTCCACCCATCCCCATCCCCAAATAATCCTCTCTCGAGCCTTCATCTCATCGGTTGCCCTCCCGCAGCTCTCGGCTTCCATCCAGCCTCAGCCTGCCCCCCCCCCCTCTCTCATCGTGATTAATGACCTCGTCGACCACAATCGTGTCTTCGGCCTCATTGCTCCGGACACCAGTCCTTTGCGTTGCTGTCGACTTTCCCCCCGCCCACCTCTGCCTGGCCGACTGAGAGGGAAAAGTTGGCGAGAAAGGAGGCTTTCCTCCGGCCGCTCTTTATTTCGACTCTTCGCTTCGCCTCAACCGGGATCCTCCATCTCTTCTCGATTATAATTCTCTTTAATCGCTTTTCTGTGTCCTCGTCTTGCTCGGCTTTGGGAAGTGACATATAAGCCAGAGTCTCGCCTCGGCGCTCGCGTGCGGACGTACATCTCTTGTCATCGAGATTCCCTCTGGGATAATATCCGACAAGAGATATCTTGGTCTGAGAAGCTCCTTTGACTTGACTGCTGATACCTGATAACTATTGTGTGCCATCGCTGTTCAATCAGCCGTGTGGCCCATCTTCTGCACCCATGGGCCTCGTTCAACGGGTTACGAAATGGCTGCCCTCCACGCCGAGTCTGCCCCTAGATGACTCTTCGCGCGAGAAAGGCCGTAATCTGTCCAGATTCGCTTTCTTCAAACGGAGGATACGGTTAAAGGGCAACTCATCGATCTCGATACCCCTGGGATTTGTTTTACTATTTCCATGCCTTGTAATAGTCCTTATCCTACTACTTTTTGTTCGACATCCTTCTTCCCCTGGGGGTATCCTCATCCCTGCCGGTACTCCGCCTTCTATCAGGTTCGTTTCACTCGCCAGGCACGAGAATCAGAGTTTTCGATAGCTAACCACGCGCCGACTCGACAGGAAAATAAGCGAAAAGTACGACAAAGTCTTCGCTACTGGCTGTCTTCCCGTCGAGAAAACAGACGCCCCGCGCGCAAACGCCGCTTTCGTCGTCCTTGCCAGAAACAAGGAATTAGACGGAGTTATTCAGTCACTCAAGTCAATTGAAAGACACTTCAACCGCTGGTTCCACTACCCTTACGTCTTCCTGAACGATGGTGATTTCGATGACGCCTTTAAGGCGACGGTCAAGAACTACACCAGCGCCCCCGTTGAGTTTGGCAAGATCGATGAGTCTATGTGGGGTTACCCCGACTGGGTTGACCATGAAGTCGCCAAAGAAGGCGTCCGGAAACAGGGTGACGCCGCCATCATGTACGGAGGCATGGAGAGTTACCACCATATGTGCCGATTCTATTCCGGGTAAGTTTCCTAAACAAATTCACTCTGTCACTAATTCTGACCCTTAAACAGCCATTTCTACAAGCACCCTCTGCTCATGAAATACGAATGGTACTGGCGTCTCGAGCCTGAGATCAAGTACTTCTGTGATATTACATAGTACGACTCTCCCATGGATCCTTGCGTATCGGTAATATACTGACATCCTAATCAGTGATCCATTCATCAAGATGGCGGAAGCAAACAAGACCTACGGCTTCACGATCGCTGTCAAGGAGCTTCGAGAGACCGTTCCCAACATCTTCCGTTACGCATCTGCCTACAAGCGGAAACACAACCTGGAATCGAAGGGATTGTGGGAAATGTTCCTGGAGAAACCCGAGGAAGAGCCTAAGCCCGAGGAGGAAAAGCAAGAGAAACTCCCTGAGGAGATCCTTCAAAACGAGCCTGGTGAAAATACTGTTCCCGATGTTGACCCGGAGGCCATGGAAGGCGAGAAGTACAACATGTGCCACTTCTGGAGTAACTTTGAGATCGCGCGGTTGGACTTCTTCCGCAGCAAGGAATATGAGGAGTTCTTCGACATGATGGATAAGAGTGGGGGTTTCTGGATGGAGAGAGTATGTCCTTGTGTACCTGACTTCGCCTTCGATATAACTAACTAATTGTCTGATCTAGTGGGGTGATGCGCCTATCCATTCTCTGGCCGCCGGTATTCTCTTGTCCCCCAGCGACATCCACTACTTCCGTGACTTCGGCTATCGGCACACTACTATCCAGCATTGTCCTGCCAACGCTCCTGCACGGCAATTGCCCCGGATCCCCTGGCTGGAGACGACAACCGAGGACGAAAAGGAGCGCATCGAAGAGGACGAGTATTGGGCGAACCCTGATCCCGTCAAGGAGAACGGTGTCGGCTGCAGGTGCAGGTGTGACACCGACATCGTGGATGTTGAAGGCAAGCAGGGCAGTTGTCTCGCCGAATGGGTCGAAGTTGCTGGAGGATGGGCATCCCCATAGATTCGGATTGTTGCCCTTTAATGTTCGCTGTATAATCTTCGCCTCCTGGTTTCCGTACCTATTTGTTCGACTATGAGCATTACTCGGTTCGCCCTTGGAGTTATTTGCTTGAGCCTGCATGTTACGTTGGCTGTGGGTTTCTGGACGGCGTTATACGGATCTGACCTTTCTTACGTGGAAGACGGTGTGACCATTCTCATCAATATGGACAAATTCATCTAGCGTGCTTCGTATATCTCACCTGGTTTGCCCGCAATCACTCTAAAAAGAAAAGTGTATGCTCAGAAGGCCCTGCTGTTGGGAATCCAAGTCGACTACCAAATCATTCATCTTGGAGACGCTTGGACCACGTTTCTGCTCGGTTTACTCGAGCGACCGCAGGCCAGAAGCAATGTCGTCCCTCGTATTGAGCACGAACATACGTTGTGGGTTTGCGTGGCTGGATGCGTCTGCTTGCGATACCCAATGTCTGGTTGTCTGCATGCTTGGGTGGTTTCTCATTCGCCCTCATGGCTTTCCCCTGACATTGTCAGGCAGCAAACAGCAAATCTCCAGTTGGTATTGGGGGGTGTTGTATGAACAAGCGAAGGATCGCCGACGACAACGACCAGGTATTGCTGCAGGTCTCTTGGAGCCTATTACTTCCTACTGAATGGGCCATCTACACCGTAGCACCTATCAAATGTCTTTTTGTCCTTACTTACCACCATTGGCGCAAGCCTCATGTTCTCCTATTCTGCTGTTTTGACATCAATCTGCTGTTTCTGTTTCCCCCTTGAATATTCTTTTTTAGTTCGATGCCCCGTTCTTCCCATATCATGTCATGAAATGTACATATCTACTTTATATGCTTCTCTCTGTTCTCTCGTGCTGAAACGGGAAGGTTTTCTTTTCTTCAATCACACATCCACGCGCACCCATATATTGTCAAAGTCCCAATTTTTGAAGTTACTGTTTGTCCATAGTTGCATGGGATGTTCTAGTTATGTGAAGTACACCTGTACTTGGTTAAAATAATACTATCTATCTGGTCGGTAATTTCCAGTTCACGGGCAATGGTGAAGGCGTCGAAGGGAAGAATGGATGGAAGACTTGGGACCCTCTCAAGATGGGGGAGGGGCCTACTAGTCTAGATCGGGTGTAGTGGCCTGAAAGTAGCCTGATAACGGATGCCTTATCGGCGATACTTGGAGCTGGGGTCACTGGCTTCTCCTCCGGCCATGGTGGACAGCCAACAAACACATGATGAGATACGATCCTACTTACAGCTAAGCCTAAGCAACAGAAACCTTAACTCCCGCCTGACCCAGCCAGATAGAGGGCTGATCTAGAGTGACCTCCTCTCGCAAGGGAAAAGGGAAATCAGACTGCCGTGATAATCCCATGTCAGGTGCCCCGCGCAAGATAACCGTCACCATCTTCCGGTCCAGTCACTCCAGTCATCTCTATCTCCCTTGACCTTTCCCTTCCTTTGCTCCCTCTTCTCAACCCGCCCTCGGTCGGCTTCTGTTTGCAAGGCTTTCCCCTTCCACTTACCGCTAGTTTCCGAAACACGTTGATGAACTAAATCCACCTTGTCCTCGTGAGGCACCTGACCTAATCTTCCGCCCGGGCCGCGAGGAACAACAGCAGCATCAAGCGCCTCACCCCCACTTGCAATTCATCGTCCGCCTAGGCTGTCATCGGGCATCTGCCTATTAGGCTCGGACGATCCAGACAGACTCTCCCAGCCAGAGTTGCTCCTACAGTAGATAGCAAAATTTGCTCTGTGAAGTTAACGTATACTTCCGCTGACTCTTCTTCTATTCATTCCTGAGCTTATCCGTCGTCCACTGCTTCCGGTCAAAGCTCCACTCTGCAGCTCTTCACTTGCTCTTTCCCTCAAGAACCTTACTGATGACATTCACTCGCAAACACCATGGCTGACTCTTCAGAGCCTCACCCCAGGCCTTCCCAATACCCTTCAACCGCTTCGAGCTTACAGTATCCCACTCTTCCTCCGTTGAGTGCCTCTGTAGAGGAGTGGTTATCGCGATCGCGGCCTATCAGTATGACGTCAACTCCAATGGAACACCACCCCAAGTCCCTGAGTGAAAGCTGGGCGACGATGAGTGCTTCCGACGTGCACTCGGAAGATGGCACTCGCTCGGACCAGACGGATCTTGGGTCTTTGATCGACCAGACCGGCCCAGATGACGTAGCAAGTCTCGATGGGCGGTCCAGCAACAGCGACATGGATACAAATGACGAGGATGGGTTTGATGGTGATGACTACGATTCCAGGAGCAACGTTTCGGTGTCCCAGGAACTTTCATCCGCCTTCCCTCACATAAGAAACTCGATCGATGACAGTAACTTAACTACCAAGACTGCTTTACGGCAGTCGGTTGAGTCTATCGAGTTCATTGAACCTGAGAACTGGCCCGAGATTGAACGGGTAGAACTGAAGCATACCATCCGAGTGTTCGAAGGATCTGACACAGCAGAACTGGAGCAAGAGCTTCCTAACAGGTCAGAAGGCTCGACTGTCACGGCCACCGTGCAGCAGACCATGACTAGGAAGAGCCTTGACACCGACAAACCTTTCCATGTGGTATACATTGGCAGCCCTGAATTTCGAAACATCGTTCTCGATAAAATCGGGGATGTTTTGGTGTCGAGTACCTGTAGCGGTTTCGAGAGCAGCTCTGCAGAGTCGTCCAGATATCATGTCGTCCCAACGTCCTTTGGCGCAGGCGCAGTTCCCAATTTTGCCGAGCTCCTTCCCATTCATGTTCAGCTTATTGTGGACGAGTGCACCGAGGCTACCGCGGATCCCCATATGGACAAGCCCAGCACAATCACCCTCAAATTCAAGGGTCGGCCGCCATGCTCTTCAATGTGGTCAGGGACCGATTATTGTATTTCATCTTCGGTCCAATGGGCGCTACCTGATGTTGCCATCTTTTTTCTATCCGGCACTGATACCCCCGAAGATATTGAGACCCAAAAAATGGCCCGCATACTCATGGAACGGCACGGTATTCCGACTATGGTCATCTCGGAAAAGCCGCTTTGGACGATGTCTAGAGACCCTGTTCCTCTTAATCCCCATAGTCTCCACATGTGCCTGGAATTCCGCAATGCCCTGGACGGGAAGTCCAAGGTTCTCAGGAGGTATCCTATCGATCTGAAGACCTTTGAGAGTATTACGCCGGGGCAACTCAACAGAAACCTGGCGTCCCTAGCAACTATCTGTCCCAAGAAACCATGCCAAATGGCATTGGAGAACCCGGAGTCACCTCGCACCAATTCATTTTTTGGATGGTGCATGTCCATCCATAAAGACCTTTCTCGTCCTTATATCGGCGACTACGGAGTGTCGATGTCTGCGTACCGTTTCATTGCGTTCAGTATTCTATCTCTTGTATTCGTATTCTTAGGCCATACAGCCATGTTGGCCGCTAACTCGACCTTTTCTCGACAATCTGCTGACCATACACTAACCAAAGCTGTCACCCCTGTTTCGAGCAGTGTCCCAGCTACCAGCTTCTTACACACAGTGACATCACTTTCCGTGTTGCCTACATCGCTTGGCGACCCCGAGCTGCGAGGGGACCATGTGGGCAGCAACACCCGATTACATGACCTGATAGAAGGCGTACAGTATGTTTCCGAACGGCATGGATTGACGGACTCGTTTGAAATCCAGGTGGTCGGTGATTGTCATCTTGTAATTAAGCCGCCTCACAAACCTGGCAAAAAACAGCCAAAATTCAATGTCCAGGTCAGCCGAGATGGCAAGCCTCTCGAGTATGAACTCTCGATGTTATTCGACGGGGTGTACACGCTGAGACTAGATCGCGCGGATGCGTACGGTCAGGTGGATGTGACACTAACTACCATTACAACGAAACCTCACATACAGACAACATCTGTGGATTTCGGAACGCCATGGTTGAAAATCCAGAACTGGAAACGCGCAGCACATCTCATCACCTCCCAGCTTCTGAGAGAGTTCGCCACTGCTCAAACTGGACTGTCAGAGGTCTATGACCGGGTCTGCACCGATTTGCAAGTGCTCATGGGAGATGTTGTAAGAAGGGCTCACTTCCTACGGAAAGAGGCGGCTGCTTTGCGACCCGAGTCGGTACAGATTTCCCGCGAGACAAAGGACATGGTGGTGTCCCGCTCAGAGCAATTTACCCAAGTCGTTAAAAAAGGCGCCGTCCAGCCACTTCTAGCTGTCTCGTCTGCTCTGCAGGCTCAGACCCATAAAGTGCATACAGGAGCTAGAGAGATGATGAGTGGCACATGGGACAAGATCAGCTCTCATGCTCATGCGCTTGACCTTGGCGCAGTGAAAGAACGCTTCCGGGACGCGAGGAAATGCAAGGCTTTGGATACGGCGCAGCAGAGAGCCCGAAGTCTGGTGAGACGGAGGACTTGTCAGCAGTCAGGGTGTTCACAGTAGAGCTATTGTCGTGGTGCCTCATAATTGGAGGCCAACAAATCGACAGTAGTTTCTTTCAGAATACTATTCATTCCTTTTATGTAATTTCCTATGTTGATTCTTCTTGGGCTGTTTTATTGGGGTTGCTCGCAGGCGAAAGGATGGGTCAGATATCAGGGTCGGACTGAATCATGGGATAAATTCCTGGAATACATGCTGGATTATGTATCAGTGGAGTATGTTGAGACTTGCCACGTGCATGTCCTTTTCGAATTTTCTCAAGAGTGAATTTGGTCTAGATGTCTCTCTGTAAAGAGTAGTGAAAGCTTATAGTTACTGCGGATCGCCCGCCGGCGTATGAAGCAAAGCCAGACTTGCAGGGCGGTGGCGCTAGTGCGGCCTTAGGCGCTTAGGCAATGAACCTACCCACCTCAAAACAACCCCGTCCATATTTTCCCACCCCTCCTCAGTGACTCCCACTTCCCCAGTACATTTCTTTCCTTCCTCCTTCTTACCAGGTACATCCCCAGAAACATCTATATCTATCGGACCTTTCTCACTTATAAATTTGACAGCCAACGCAATCCACCCACCATGTCTGACGTCGCTGAGACCAAGCCCGACCCCACCACCAACGCTCCTGAGGGCGCTGAGAAGCCCGAGGAGACGACCACCACCGCCACCGAAGAGACTAAGACTGAGGAGAAGCCCGAGGAGTCCAAGTCGGTGACCGAGTCCGCTGCCGAGGCCGTCAAGGACACTGCCACCAAGACCACCGACAGCGTCTTCTCCATGTTCGGCGGTGGCCCCAAGAAGGAGAAGCAGGAGGAGCCTGAGGATGCTAAGGACGAGCCCTCCGGCTCTTCCAAGGCCCAGAAGGGTGAAGATGAGGTATGCATTCGATTTGCGCCATGTCGGTGTCGATGGTCCCCTTACGCCAGTTTAACCGTTACCCCGCTTTCCCCTCCATCGATGCCCTCTTTTTCCTCTTACCCCTGATTCTTTGTCCGCATTTTGTTGGCTCCTGCAAAGTATCACGACAGCCCAGTTATATTGGCTACTAGTGGCTAACCATGTCATCACAATTAATAGGACGAGGCCCCCGAGTCCCCTGAGGTTCACTTCGAGCCTGTCATCCGCTTGACCGAGAAGGTGGAGACCAAGACCAACGAGGAGCTGGAGGAGCAGACCTTCAAGATGCGTGCCAAGCTTTTCAAATTCGATCGTGACAGCAAGGAGTGGAAGGAGCGTGGTACCGGTGACGTCCGCCTGCTCAAGCACAAGGAGAACCAGAAGACCCGCCTCGTGATGCGCCGCGACAAGACCCTCAAGGTCTGCGCTAACCACTACAGTGAGTGCTGCCGTTTATCATTTGGTGTGGATTTGGGTCGCTAATCGATCTTCCAGTCGTTCCCGATATGAAGTTGAGCCCCAACGTTGGCAGTGACCGCAGCTGGGTTTGGAACGCTACCGCCGATGTCAGTGAGGGTGAGCCCGAGGCGCAGACCCTGGCCATCCGTTTTGCCAACAGTGACAGTAAGTGGACATTGAAATACAGCCAGGGTGAAGGTTCATTTTGCTAACGCCGAATCTTAGACGCCAACCTCTTCAAGGAGGCTTTCGAGAAGGCCCAGAAAGAGAACGAGAAGCTGCTTAACCTGCAGTAAGCAGGTTCCTAGCCTCGGATTTTCTCGGTCATCAGTGATATAGAGGGCTATTGTTAATGAACATTTTGATTCCCTTTCCCAGCATAACGAGTCTGATGTGGACTGCTCATGAAAGACCTATTTCACCTTCATCCCGACTTATCTTTGTTTCCCCTTTCTTTTCTCACAAGCATCAAGTTTCTTACCATTTTCACTGCCCCTGCTTGAGAAAACAGAATTAATGACGCCGGTCATGGCGAGACCATGAGTCGACGCATGCATGGGTCCTTGGTTTTGGCCATGTGGTCCCTTGCATGTCGTGCGACGACTTGGTACATAGTAGATAGACACCACATGCCCCCAAAATATACGTATGAAATTCACGAAGTCTCTGCCTGCACCTATTGTACCTATATTCTCGATCGATAGACTTTGACTTGGCTCTCCCTCTGATGATAATGGTAGTGGAGGGATTTCCCTTTCTTTCCAATTTCGATATGTGGATTATAGAGCGGTCACATCTGAAAACAAGAGTAAATTCCCGAGCGCAAAAACACCCCTCCCTTGAAAGCTAGTAATGCGATGTATTTCGAATGTGGGTGGCTGTACCTTCTGGACGCTGGCGGTTACTTACCCTGGGGCGACGTCGCGCCGCCGCGTCGAAGAAAGAGGCCGTCCGGCAGTCAATAACCACTTCCAATCCCCCACCCGGCTTTCAGCCCGCGGAAAGCTTCACTCTCGCTCACTCCTCCTCCCTCTCTTGTTTCTACGTCTACCCATCCCTCGCTGGTCGGACACCATTCGAACTGCACCCTTCCCCCCGCTAACAACCATTCACTCCGATCCGAATCTGCAGGATTCCCGACAGGAACTCCCGCCAAACATCCGACTTCGCCTCACCTGGGCATCGCGCGACCTCTACATCCAATAGCTCCTGTATCCCATTAAGACTCTCGCGGGAAGGGTCTCTGGGAAGAAAACCTCTAGTTCTTCCCTTCTAAATTTTACGAGCGATTGATCCAGACACCTCTTTCAAAATGCCTGACGTGAGTTCCGCCTCCCTCTCCAGGTTCAGCAATGGCACCCTCTCCCACTGGCGCTCGACGCGAACAAATTCGGTCTTCTTTCACTCGATCGCATGACGCTGACGTGACGCTTTTTCTCTACTTCTACAGGTTAAGAGAAATGTCAGATTGGTGACCGAGCAGCACATCGTGTACGTTGTATCCTACTAATACTCCCGGTTCCCGAGTCATTCCTGAATGAATCACCGCCGCTTCTCTTCCTCGTCATCGCTGCCTATCCTTCTCCAACTTCTTCTCGCATCCGTCGTTGGTCATCGCGCGATGGTTGTTCGCTGTGCGCTTGGGCTCCCAACACGGTTACCTCTGCAGAGAATGGCACAAGGGCAGAAGCTTGGAATGAGAAAGTCCTCCTTGCTGACCTAGTGCGCGTCTTCGCGTCTACAGGAACAAAGACTCCGGCGTTGAAGGATTCCCCCTCCGATCATGGTCAATTGAGATCTACGTTGTCAATGAGCACGGCGAGCAGGTGCCTGCGAATGTCTTCGATAAAGTGACATACACGCTGCACCCTAGTTTCGGCGACAGGGCCATTCAGAGTACGTCACACCCTCTGCTCTTCGCACACCCCCGATCAGCGTGCGGCCATTGGGAACCGGACGACAGAGACGGTCGACTTTACAAGGGATAGGTGGAAATGGGTCACTAGCAGCTGCTGACCTCAGAATAGCCTTCAAGAATCCCCCCTTCAGAATCTCAGAGGAAGGATGGGGTGAGTTCGATATGCAAATAGGACTCACTGCTGCCGACAAGGAGCATTTCGTTACGCACGACCTGAACTTTGCTCAGCCCCGTTACGAATCCAAGCACGTCATTGTGAGTAAATGGCCCTCGGTGGAACACCATTGATTGTGCTAATTTTCTCTCTCCCGTATAGACGTTCAAGAACCCCAAGCCCGCCCTACTAGCCCTCCTCCGCGAATCCGGACCCGTCCCAGGAGACGAAAATGGCGTGAAGTCGAAACGCGCCGCAGCCGGAGAGGAGGGATCCAAGAAGAAGAAGCGCACAGAGAAGAGTGTAAGCGACGACTCATTCTCCTCAGAGAAGAAGAAAATAACAATAGAAACACATCTGACATAATCACTATCCCAGGTTGACATGGACAAGCTGGCCGACGGTCTGCAGCGACTCGGCGAAGATGACCTCCTCCAGGTAGTACAGATGGTGCACGACAACAAAGCCCCAGACTCGTATACCAAGAACGATGTTGAGCGTAAGCTACCACCACCACCCCCCCTCGAAATTCACATCCCACTGACCAATTCAATCCATAACAGAGGGAGAATTCCACGTCGACCTATATACGCTTCCAGACACCCTAATCAAGATGCTGTGGGATTTCACGCAGGAGAAAGGCGCTTTGTGAAAAAAACAACTACTAGTTACCCCATACTTTTCCTTTTCAAACCTCCTTTTGGGCGAAACAATTGCTATTTTGTTGTATCTCTCTCTGGCTTGTCTTTTTTTTCCTCCCTCCAACCCACCCCTTATTCCACTCAAAGTTTCTAACTACTTACTACGGAGTCCTTTACCTACTTTACTACATTTTGCATCTATGAACACTAGGAATTGTGTCTATCTTTGCTTACTAGTTACTTTACTCTCCTTACTGCTTACTTTTCTACCTACTTGTTTATCTGTCTATTAATCTCTCTACTAGCATCACCCGCGTTGTATCTTTTATTGGATGTGTGCTTTTCCATGAAAAGAAAACAGGAAGAAAGAACAAGAATTGGATAGGTTAATGGACGGATATGGGTAATAATGATCGTGCGATAAGTAGCGCGGAACAGAGAGAGAGAAAAAGAGAAGGGGGTGGGAAAGGGTAGTATCAAACTGAAAACCATTTTGCATTGTATTGTGAGTAAAGACGATAATGAAATTTTGAAGCATTGCACTTGATTACTTTACTGCCTTGACCTAGATCAATACTTACTATTTACTACTTAGTAGCTGGGGGAGGTGGTTGTTTCGCTACTAGAACGTTTGATATTTCTATGGATGTATGTATTTGTATGGTATCGAAGAGCTTGTTGGTTTGGTTGCGACAGTTTGTTTGGGATGTGCTTATAAGATACGATGTTATAATGCCCGGTGGCATGATGGGTATTTGTGTTACGTGGGTAAGTACTAAGTAGGATATCGGTAGGATGGGTCCGAGCAGTAGATGAATTAGTACATAGATAGATAGTTGGTCTCGGATAATAACACATCACGGCATCTAAAAGAAAACGAAGAGAAAAACCAAGAACCATGTTGGATATCTCAAGCTCAAGGTCAAACGAGAACACAAGCAAACAATCAATGAACCAAGTAAGATCAAAGGCCCAGCCTTGCCTGCCTGAACACCAGTAGTACTGTCACGTCTGTACTGTAGATCCGTCTATATGCATGCATGTACCCGAACAAATGAAAAGGGAAACAAGGAAAACAGCAAACAACCAAGACACACTGCCGGCCAATCGACGATGCAAAGTAGAGTCGGTAAACATTCAAGAACGAAAAGATGATGGAGATGACCTGGACGCCCGCTTTGCTGTATTTTGAAGTGTTCGTGCAGAGAACATTATGTTGTCATATGAACGTGAAGAGGAGAGGAATAATCTGCGTTTCAAGAGTGCTTGTTCGTTTACAAGATACGGTATCTGTTTGGTTGGTTAGTGGGTTGATCATTGGTCAGAAAGATATACAGGGATATAACATACGATCTGAGCAGGTCTTCAAGACTGTCTGCGCTGCAGCTCCGACCCTTCGGGATCTGTCTCAGGATCTCGACGATTGTAGCAAAAACATCGCCGTCCTTGTATGCTAGCAGGGCGGGCGCTTCGATGTGATCCATCTCTGCGATCTCGTGGTGGAGCTTGACGAAGTGGACAGTGGGTTGACGACGAGCAATGGTGTTGAGACAGTCATCAACAATGCTGCTGGTTGTGGACTATAGAAGCGTCGGGTCAGCGACAACTAGCCTTGACAAGTAGTACACAATTGGGTATAACAAACCTCTGGGTCATAAACGCAGACTACTACTACTGTGCCGGATGTGACCTTCTCAATAGCATCCAAGTATCCCACCGCATCGACAATATCCACGGAGCCGTACAACTTGCGACGGGGGCTAGGCTTCCTCAGGCTGCGAGCCTGCATTTCCTGCATGCGGGCAGTGCGCCATTGGTGAAGGAACCGCTCCTCATCATCGCTAGCGGAAGATCCATCGGGTGGGGAGGAGTTCTGGAGGAGTGTAGCGTCATCGTTGATGGATTTGTTGTAGTGGGAGCGATCGAGACCAGCGACGCCGAGAAGGGTTCTGCGGAAGGAGCTCTTGCGAGCACGCTCGAAGGCCTGAGCATCGGCGATGACACCCTTGGGGCCAGTGTTGGCGTCGTAGACGGTGTTGGGGACGCGATAGCTGCTGGGGTTGCGGGAGTGCATGGCAGAGGGAGTGTCTTCGGCGTCGGAGAATTGGGGTTCGTCGTGGTCAGAGGATTCGTCAGAGGAGTGAACAGAGTCGTTGTCACGGTCCTCAGGATGAGAAGAGAATTTCTCCCGATTGTTGTTTATGAGTTGGTTGAACTCGTCTTGAGCAGATGACATCGTGAAGGAGGAAGCGGGGGGGTTCCGGGCTTTAAAACAAGGTCGAAGACGATGACAATGTCAATGATATTCTTAGAGCTTGGCTGCGCCTTGATCTGCGTCAACGATGGGGTGCCGCAAGTGCCTAGTTTAATTCTTTTTTGAAATCAAAAAATTTTTGCCTGGTAAGGAGCAGCAGCTGGCGGGGGGGGGGGCGCAGAGCGAATGAAACGAGAAAAAGAAGCGAAACCAATGACGAAGGGTCGTATCCAACACAAAAAAAGGGGGGAAAGAGGAGCGTGTCCCAGAGAGTGTTAGTACACGTTTCAGAATATTTTTATAGTTTTCCTTTCGGTGCTTTTCCTAAGAGAGTGGGAGAGCTAGAGAGTCGATCCAAGGGAAGGTAAAAGGCAAGAGAGGGAGGAAGAGAAGAGAGGCTGAGGGGGGTGGGAGGAGAGAATGGAAGGAAGTGGCGGGAGATGAAACAATCGAGGCCCGAAGGATGGACGAGGGACGGGCTGCCCGAATGCGAAGATCAGCCAGTAGGAAAAGGGGCGGTGTTTCAGAAATCGGAGATCAGCCCCCGGGGAAAAGAAGCCGCGAAGAACCTTCCATTTCATCATTTTGTTGCCCGGGTGCCATGGTTGACTCCCCAATGGCTGAGGCCATGGTGCGGCTGACTATCTAGTAAGTAAGTAATTATTTTAATTATGTACTGTTTACAAGATCTCAATATCAATGGACAAGGGCTGGAATCAAAGCGAATGGCTAGCTCAACTGTGACTTGGAGTTAGTACATGTGAAAATCGTACCATAGAGTCAACAAAATCCGACACTCTAATTCACCCCACAACGACGTGGGATCAATGTCTTTGCTCTTCCATACTTTTTCTGTTCCTCCTTGTCTCCCTCCCCCCCCCCCCCCCCCCCCCAACCTTCAATTACATCGCGTGATTACATCCTACTCAAAGTTTACCCAACTGATGACGTGGAGTGATGGAGGACACGAAGGATGGAGTCTGCGCAAAGATAGGGCCAATTGCTAGGATGGATTTTCCCAATGGAAATCAGGATCCTCTTGCTCAGACAACTGGCAGCTCCCCAGTGGATCTTGGAGCATCAGAAGTGTTTCATCGCCATCAACGGAGAAAAAAATCCTGTCGCTCCTCTCCCCCCCAACAAGGACCGCGACACCGCTTCTGGTAAATCTTGCGTTCGACGTGTTCACCTCGGATGCTAACGGTTTGCGCATCGCCCGCGCTGGCCGCCCTTGTGGAGACAGCGAGTGACACATCTTTTGGATAGGGCCCCCAGATCCAGTGGCTCCGCCGTCGGGCGAGATCCGGACAACGGCTTCCAAGTTCTGGCCTTCCAGTGAAGACTCGCCCAGCCCTTCCGGTTCACAGCGTCATCCTGAACCGATTGACCTGGCCCCATCCCAGGTGGAGTCCGGAGTCGTTGCCTTGCCTGTTCGACAATTCATTTCCGCGGGCAGATCCTCATCCTGAGAACGGTACGTAAGTAGGTATAGGGCGATAGGTCAGCCGACCCCACGCGTGTGGGAACTATTAATAACTTGGGATATCCCGCATACGCTGGTCCGCTGCCTGGAGGAGTGACCTTTCGGCCACTGCAAGCTGATCCCAGCGCCCTTTATCTATCGCGTGCATCCTTCCCGGTTTCCTCCAATTGCTATTCCCAGTTCTATCCCAGCTGCCCCAAACCCAAGCAGGGTGGACCAGCAGGAGCAGTGACACAAAGCAGGGTCTTTCAAAGAGAGTATTGAGCTTTTCCAAAAAAGTATTGCCTGTCATTTGTACTAGTGGCTGCCTAACAACTCTCTGCCACGCCTTGGCTGACCACCAGGTCGGGACATAAGAGTGTTGCGGAACATGACATCGTGGGGCGAAACCCCCGAGGGATAAAGGAAAGATTTGCTGGAAACATGGTCGATTTCAACACAAAAAAAAAAAAAAAAAAAAAAAAAAAAAAAAAAAAAAAAAAAAAAAAAAAAAAAAAAAAAAAAAAAAAAAAAAAAAAAAAAAAAAAAAAGCCCGCTTGAAAACACTCAAATGACACAACCGACACTTTCAAGACGTAGGCTGATGATTAGTAACAGAAGGGGATCGCAGTAAGAGTCAAAAGAAAAACGTCATGGCCTATCCGGAAACATTCCCTCCCTTTCCATCCATCACCCGCAGAAAAGTACAGAAGATAGTGAGTAAGAAAGGTCAGAGAAGAAAAGAGGGGGCAAGAGAAGGAAACAATGAAAAGTGAACAAAAGAATACTCGATCATGGTAGTAATCGAGGTAAGAAATTGAAGAAAAAGAACAAGACATCGAAGGAGGGGGGGATGGGGTTAGTAAGGGTGAAGGGTAAAGCGAGATCGAAAAGAACATAAGTAGAAAGTCAAGCCCGCGAATACATAAGAACAGGGGCCTGCAAATATTCGAAGCTCAAAAGATGACATGTGAGATGCGCTGCCTCTTGCCCAGCAACGCACTGATATCCGTGCAACGATCCCGAGGTCTCAAACATCAATAGCATTATTACAACCCACCGCACCAGTAGTCGAGCATTGTCGGTTCTTGTTGGCATTCTGCTCTTTTCTTGGCTTATTCTTTCTCGTCACACCCAGCTGGGAAAGGCGGCAGAATCCCCAACCCCGACATGTCTAGGCACCCTGACTGCCCCGTGATTTTTTTCGTTTCGTGGTAACTTTGCCGGTACTCCGAGATAGTACATTATGGAGCAAGGGCGACAAGATTTGCTCCCGGTGAAAAAAGATTATCGTACAATGGCGGACATTTAGCCTAGTGGCGCAGAAAAAGGAAAAAAAGAGAAACTTGGAATGAGGACGTCGCAAAAGACTGAGACAGGGTATCTTTGCTGTTTTTGTTCGTTTTGCTTTTTTACCAAGCCCAGACCTTGAGCTGTAAGACGGAAGACGATTAGTATGCTGCACAGCCCAGTCAACAAAAGTGATGCTCTCGCTAAGCTTACCAGAGAATCCCAGGATCCAGTGCACAAGCTGATGCCATCGTTGCTGACTCCCAGGCAGCTTACGCGGTTCTCGTGACCACTCAGGGATCCAACCTTGTCTCCGCGCAGAACATCCCAGACCTGCAAGTAAAACAAAATCAGCCGGTTGGCCTATGATACGGCGACTTTGGATAATTTCAGGTCTTACCTTGCACTCGAAGTCATCGTAACCAGCAAAAAGCAATCTGCCAGAGACGGAGAAGGCAACGGAGGTGATACCGCACAGTATTTGGTCGCTCTGGAAACATCATTCGTCAGCCACAGATGGATTCGCCATATAGATTGCCAGCATTACCTGGTAGGTGTTGAGTTCGCGATCCGCACGGATGTCAAACAGACGGCAGGAGGTGTCGTCGGAACCCGTTCCGAAAGCGTTTCCGTCGGGGAAGAACTGGATGGCGTTGATGTCGGATTCGTGTCCAGCGAAAGTTTGCACCGCCTTTCCGGTACGAATGTCCCACAGCTTGGCGAAGGCATCACAGGCGCCCGAAACGAAAACGTTCTGGTTTGTCGGGTTGATGCTGATTGACATCACGTCGCCAAGGTGATCAGCGAATTCAGTAACTTTCGAGCCCGATTCGATATCCCACAGCATGCAAGTCATGTCGCCGGAAGACGTGATGATTCTGCGATCGTTGATGAACCGGCAGCAAGAGAGGTAGCCAGAGTGTCCGGAGAGCTCACGCGCGACACGGGTCGGACCCTCGCGAGAGGAGAGGTTGTAGATCGAGCAAATGTTGTCGAGACCACCGCAGGCGACGTAGTTTCCACTCGGGGCATAGGCACAGGTCATGACCCATGATGACCTCAGCGGGATCGCATGGACCTTGTTCGTGGTGTAGGCGTCCCAGATGATGAGCTTTCCGTCCTGAGAGGCTGAGACGAGATGACGGCGGTCGGTCGACCAATGCATGGCGTAGATCTTGGCCAAATGTCCCTTGAGCGTCCGCCGGGGCTTCATACCAATACGAGGCAAGGTTTCAGTTTGGTTCTGCGCGACTTGACGGACTGTTGAGGGGGAAAGAAGGAACCAGAGTCAGCAAATCGAAACACACGACCAATCACGAGTACAACGACGGCTGTTGTCTCTCCATTGCGAGAGGAGAGGCCATGAGGTGCGAAAGGGAAGAGGGAAGCGTACGAGTCGTATCGGCCAACTCATCCTTTCTGCGCTTGATCTTGTCCTTCAGGCCTTCGGCTTCGCGCCTAGCCGCGGTAATCTTAGCCTGCATCTGTTCGCCGGACATGTCGGCCATCTTGACGGAACAAGCCCCTGGAGAGGGAAGATGTCAATTGTGAAACGGAGGACGGGCCTGAGGGGGAGAAATTGAGTTGACGGCGGGCGGCGGCGTCGTGAGATCCAGGGGACTGAAAGAACCGCGAGAGGGGAGTGCGGGAAGAGGGCGGTAGGGGGAGAGGAATGGAATAGAGAGAGGGAAGGAGAAGGAGTGAGAGAGAGGGAACGAGGAGGGGGGTTGATTGGGTGTGGAGCGAGAGCACGGCGGAAGCGACCGAGCGAGAGCAAAGAAAGTTTCGACCCGGGGCAATGGTGAGGTGGTTCGGGCGTTTAAGTCAGCAGGGGGGGGAAGAAGTGTAGTAGTTTAGTTAGTAGTAGTAAGTGTGGGAAGGAGGGGGTGGGTTTGGTTGTAAGTAAAGTGAGTGAGTGAGCAAGAAAGCAAGCAAGCAATCAACTGCTGAAGCAGAGAGAGCACGAGGTGGTGGTGATCGGGATGGGATAGGATACGATCTTGGTAAGAGAAAAAAAAAAATTAAATTACGATAGAAAAAACAGAGGGAAAGGGGGAAAGAGGGAAGAGAGAGGAGGAGCCTGACGGACGGAAGGGCCAGAGAGGGTAAAGACAGGGAAAAATCCAGTTGATGACAAGCAGTTAAGATGGGAGGTGGTCGTAGTAACTCCGTCGTAGCGCCAATAATAATGATGTATGGCCTCACCAGACTAAAGTCGTGCCTTTACCTATCGGGGCTCTGATGGCTGCTACTAGGCGCGGCTGTACGGACGACGACCGCGGACTACTCCTACGCCAACAATACACACAAGACCACAGGGACCAGAGTTCAGGATGGGAGGGGATGAGATGAGATGAGATTGCATTGATGTTACTCTATTGCGGCGGTGGTGGGCGGCGATAATATGGGTTGGTGATCCTGGCTGCGAGACAATACCAATTATTCAAGAACACTGCCACCGAATCGGTTCACAACAATAAGACTGTGTGCCAGGCGCAGCAGCAGCAGCAGCAGCAGCAGCAGATGATGATTATCGGAGAACCGGTTAGTGAATTAGTTAGGGGGAGCTCCTCTCTCTCTCTCTCTCCAGGAGGATCGGGGAAAGAGACAGACAGAGAAAGAGAAGAGGAGCCTTAGCCCGGAGCCTCCTGATGAAAAAGCCAAATCCGGTGGAGGTTTAGGTTACCTACTTGTGACAATACGAAACCTTACCCGGCCGGCCCTTCATTCACCAGAAAGGGAACGTGCCATCCCTGATTGGCCAGACCAGCAGAAGAATTGGTCGAGTCAATTTCAGCCGGTCCATCTTGTTCTCTTCGTTACATTACCCAGGGGTAACTTATCTCCTCGTTGGGTTTTAAGGGGAAAATCAGCAGGAGAAAGGCACTACCACGACCGCTAAGTTAGTAGGCTAGCTCCAAGTACGAAGTGCCCAGGTAGGTAGGTACTCCGCCAAATGGTCCCAGGTCTCCATAAAGGCCACTAAGGGGGAAAAGTGGTCTACACCCTGGTCAACCTGGTGGAGAATTTCTGCTGCTATTCCCCTCTGGTTGGCCAGATCGTCGACAAGTGGAGGTGCTCGGGACGCGAAAACCACAGGGGAATTTCTGAAAGGGGGGCCATTTCATCGAATTAGTTGGGATTATTCTTCCGGGTCTTCCTTCAGACTGAAATAGGGGACTCTCATAGTCCGTGGTAGAGTAGATATCCATCTACTAGTAATCTCCAGCAGTTGAAGGAATCTTCATGGAAGGTTTTTGTTGTAGGACAGGGTTCACTAGACACTACATAGTACATAATCTCTACCGTTGACACTTGACATCTGCCGATGCTCAACTCCTTGCCCACGGGGCAAAGTCCGACAATGCATGAATCGCAGTTAGCTCAGGTTGGATATCCACAAGGATTGGTACCAAAAATACGCGAATTGCTCTGCATGCCGAATGGCGGTCCATCTAAGCCTTGCACGAGTCGTCCCCCCTTTCCCAATACTACTTTAACCGGTAGCAAAGAGGAGAATGCTCTGCTTGCAGATCATGGTCATAGCTAGATAACGTCTACTTTACGGTTCACCTTGCCTGCCTCCTGCAGAATCGAGTATCGAATCCAGGATGAATTGGGACTCCGACGGAATTCAAGGTTCATTCCACATTTACTCCGTACTGCATGTTGCTTCTGTCAACTAATACAGTCTATTTTGAGACTCACCATTTTTCATGGGCCTTGGAGGCATAGATCTTATGTTTTATTGTTCCAGGTTGTCAAATCTTTCCGATATGGCCTTGCAAAAAAGAGATCGGTATAGGTGATGACGAATATCTAGTGGATTAGTTACCCGCTGCATCCTTCGAGACTATTAGAGCCGTATCGGTTTTCAACCGGTCTCGCAAGATATGCATTATGAGATGTAAGCTGAAGCTCCAGCTTCAAGCTGTGCATACCATGCAGCAATAATCCCTTGTGCAGATTTGATAGGCGTTGAGCCGAAAGCCAAGCGGGGATGGATTATTGCGATGGCTGGGGCAAATGCAAGTCAGAGGTTATTCTCCATTCCGCTTGTTGGCCAAACATCGGAATTTACTGAGTGCTTAGTAACCCGCTCAGACATTGGGTTAGTAGTAGACCATAAATCCTGCTATTATCCGCATTGAACAATACTCTTGTTTTATTTTTCACTTGCTTTAGCTTCTGTAGTTTGACCTGTCTGCTGAGGGATGTGCCGGACCGGGTAGTATCTTGCACCTTAGATTTCTCGAATTCATTGTGCGGCAGCGAGCCAACTCTTGTCCGCAAAGCGGAGGCGCCTACTGGTCATTTAATCTATAGCGTTGGAGACGGTAATATCCACCTACGTCAGGTTCCCGAATCTTATTGCCGACTGCAGCTGCATGACCTCTTCATTTATCACGGCATAAGTTCGGCATGCTCATCCTGAGTGATATATCACAATTACGATCCAAGGGTACCCCGGTGAATCATTTCCGACTGTCTTTTGTAGGGTGTCTCAAAAGACAAAAGTTCCAAAAGACAGGAGTTGCACCGAATGACTCGTGAGATTCGCAGGAAGATGGATAGGTATGGTCAGTGTGCGTTGAGGCGGGTCTACCTTCGGAAGGGAAATTGGTCACCACTTGTTGTCTAATTAGATGCCTATCGACTATCGACAGGAGGTCCAATACCAAGGCAGATATGGGGCGGGTATTGCTGTGTACGGCTTGTCCACCTGGAGAAAGGCGCTCCACTGGAGGGAGGATCGCTCAACCTGTGCCTGACTAGCCCATCCGATGCCCCTCCGCGGAAGGTCTTCATTTATCGGAATTATTAATGATACTGTCTAGTCGCATTCGTAATGAAACTGCTGCTGCTTATTAATACCTGGCCATGGCATTTGTCCCCTGATGCCTTGCCATCCACAGCAATTGTTTGTTCCCCCAAATTTGCTTTGACGGCTTGGGCAGGTAAGATGTACCATGCAACTCTAAGCCCTTTATTGTTTCTGCCTACAATACATTCAAGTGGGTCTTTTAAATTTGCTTTCATGTTCTGAGTTCTGACCTTCCTGGGTAGATCGAGCTTCTCGTAATCATACACACAGAAGATATAGTTTCCATAATAACATTGCTCTGTGGGCGCTGGTATCATGAATTTAGTTGCTCCTAACTTACTTGTCAGTGCACTACTGTTCATTGGTTCTATGGGTGTAGTTCAGATCGTGACGACCCACTGCATTATGATTTATAAATCTCATGCAGAGTACCCTCTTCATGCAGATTACTACTACCTGCATGCTAATAAAGCAATACATCATTCCCTTTGCAGGAATATACATTGAATTGCTGCCCGGTGCAGCGCCTCATGCCGGGGCCGAGGCCATGTCAAATCGACTAGTACCCAGTATGTACTGCAATATAAAAGTCCGCCTTACGGAGGACACCTTGTGCTACTGCGGTGTACCAAGTTCGCACAGCGGAGTTAGATGTCCGAGAAAGCGCCAAGGCACAGATAGTAGAGCAATCTAGACAAGGCTAGTTAGCGATCCTGATTTCAAATATAGAAAAGAAGGTGACGGAACGGCTGTCTCTAGTCCCCCGGAGATACCAGGGCGGTTCGATTTCTGACACTACAGATCTCGAACACATAGGCGAATTACTAGCCGCTTGTGTCAATTATAGATATAGGCTCAACGCGACGACCGAGCGAAACATGCATGTCAGCCCATGTTGATGTCGGCAACTAAGCAATCACATCATGATACAGGCTTTCCAGCGAAAGTCTCCTTCCAGAAGCACCCAGCGCTAACTAAAGCTGTTCTATATATAGCCAAGGCTGACTCTCCCATCAATCACAGACTCAAACTCAAGAACGATGAAACTAAACCCTTCACACTATCTGGGGGATAAGCAAGCTAGTTCGCAGCATCTTCAGCCCGCTCGATGCATGTGGGTGTATCTGGAAGCTCCATGATCGTGCGTGATTCGTCCGGACCGGCATTGGCTTCTTCGTGGGCGGTTAATGCTGGGTATCTTGTCCGCAGCGGTTCGCGCCTAGATGTGTCTGTGTTTCTAATCATAGAATGTGACGGACTGTCTGTGCGCTTTGTGATAGAGGGGTAAGGGGAGGCTTTGATTGTTGATTGCTTGCCAGATTTTCCAGGACAATGATGACTGATTGATTTGACCCGTGCCTCTTGTGAGGATGGCCTTGATTTCTTCACAAGGACTGGTTGATTAGCCTTAGGACTCTAGCAGGGGTGTCTACCAACGACATCTACTAAAAACACTGAGTATTCTGCAGATCTAAATATATCATCCGCCAGAGTAATAACACAGGAGATTAAGTTGAATTTGATGATTGCTCAGTCTTTCTCTTTACTACTATCTCGATATCCCTATCCATATCTATCCGCGGGTAAAAAACTATCTCATGCGAAAACCAGGAGATAAATGACACATAATAGGGGATAGAGATCGCGGAAAGATAGCCAAATCGGATATTACCAAATTATCAATAATGACTGAAAATCAGAAACACATTATTCCTATGAAAGGGATACCAATCATGTCGCACGGTCCCATACAATAAGATAAACACACCCTTCTGCCCCCTGGGATGATAGCCCCTAAAGGGTCATGACGACCGGTGTACCTGGGGGACTTAGCGTTGTAGTCGTACCACCAGCGACATGAAGGGGGGGTGAACTCGTGACCAAGGCCGAGAAAGAGACTATAAGATGAGTATTCCAATGTTCTTAACCACTTCAGTCATATGCAGGACCACCGGTGGGTGCTCGGGCTGGTCATTGCTCCTGGATCTACGCAGGACTCCGCTTATTCTGGTAAATGGGGACCGTTCGAGAAGATGGATTATGCGCGCGACCTTGGGGACACTGTCCGAAAAGCGACATCGTGCTATTACTGTAGATGTGAAGTTTGGTTGACCAAGGGAAAATACCACTGGGGAAGTCTAGGACTGTGTAGCAAAGAAAGTCACCAGGTAGATCTTCAGTCAGAAGGGGGTCAGGTTGTCGGATGCTGAATTCGGTGGCAAACCCCGAGAGGCAGAGGAAGAACGCCGAAGGAAATTGGTCATCACGGTGGTAAGGGCGCAAAGACGCGGCACAATATCGCTCATACTTGTCAGTTCCGCGATAGTCCAAGTTGATAGATATAATTTCCGGGCGAGAGAGGACCTGGAGAAGATCCCTGTTTTTTTAGTAAATCCGAAGGAGGGAGAAGGACACAGGGAGAGCGAAAAGAGAGGCAAAAGGGTGGCGGGCCAAAAAGCCTGGAGGACGAAACCGCCTGACACGGCCAGCGTTGGTCTCTCCGCTTTCGCTTTTCCAGTCCGACCTTCTCTCCTCCTCCTCTCCTCCTTTCGATCTCAACTTCCCCCTCGGTCGCCATTTTCATTCACCCTTCGCCTTAACCCCAAGTGCCTTTTCGCGGCATCATCCAATTTAACTTGGCCTATTTCCGCAGTCTTTCCCTAGCCTAATCTCAGTCCCTGCGTCTCGCTTCCCCCCGTCTTCGTCGACGCCTACTCTCCTTCCGTGATTCATCGTGGCCGCCAGGCTCTGACGGACCGGGTCTTGGCCTGAACAATCCTCTCTCCCCTTTCACGCCGCTCGTCTATCGTTCTACGATCTCCTGTCCCATCCTCCCGTCCATAAGCCTGCTCAACAGCACCCTCTCATTGTTCACTATTGTACATCTGACTCAGACTTGATGACGGGAATATAATCGATACGGATTTCGCCTCAGACTCAATTCTCCTTTCCTCGTTTCTTCGCCCGGTCACGTTCCTACCGTCGATCTTCCCATCTCACCATAGGGGCTGGAGTACATCACCCTTGATCGAGACATCACTTCCTCCTCTTCAACCGACCGGTCTTCATCCCGTGTCAGATATCCATCCTCTCGCCCACCATGCGGGAGGTCAACTTCAGCATCCCAAATGTCAACAAGGCCTCTGTAAATATCACAACCACCCTCTACGACCGGCGTGCCTTGGATTGTACATCAACGCTACCACTCATTAACTCACTCAATCATTTGGCCTACCTCACCACATCATCAGCCCGAATCCGCGATATTCTGACCGTCGATGGCGGCATTGAACGGCTGGTATGTATCCTTAAGGAGGGCCGGAGTCGGGATTTGATGGAGATGTGGAAGTGGAGCCTCGCCTTCCAATGTGTTGTCAATATTGGTGTGCGGGGCTCGGAGAGTGTGAGGACTCGAGTAGTCGAAGCCGATATGGTGCCAGTGATTGCCACCATACTTGATAACTATATCAAAGTGGTCGAGAAAGCCCGCGCACGGGCGGATTCAGAAAGTCAGAGACATTCGTCACGACACCACTCCAAGGCTGCACCCATCAGCAGCGACGCCCCTTCCCGTCCAGTGTACGTGGACCAATCGACAAACACCGAGCAACGTCCTTCTCGCCGCCAGGCGCCACCGCCTCACATTGAAATTCCCCCTTTCTACCAAGACAGCCATGCCTCGGACTCGAACGCCATGGACATCACCTCGTCCCCCCGGGTGTCTGTGACCTCCCCCCCGGAACGGAGCACCTTTGGACAGGATGCCCATAACCTTAGATCCAATGATACCCGCTATGCCCATGCTGCTCACCGCTACCGGGTGATGCAGCCCCTTGCCACTGCCCTTCCTCCCATGGATGCAGCCGATGGCTTTGGCTTGCGCCCCGTGCGCGACACAGAGAGGCTGCCCAGCATGCTTCCTGGCTTCCAGAACGGCCTTGCGTCTCAGCCCGACTCCCCAACCACTCCCAGCGGTCCTGCGCAGCTGCGCAGCAACACACAAGTCCCTCCCGCCCGACCACGGCCTACCCTGAGGCAACAGCAATCAGCCTCTGGTGAGTCGGATGATGGAAATGGCGAGGGCTCGACTCTGGGTGACGACCCGGGTTCTGGAGAGACAGCTGAGCCAATCGTTGGCATCCAAAATCGTATGGAGATCGACGATGACGGCGACAGGCAAACTGTGCTGGAAGGTGTTTCCAACACGCACGACTTGACTGTTAATGATACTTCCGAAAGCCAGGAAGCCGAGACATTCAACATCACCCACCGTTCTACTGTGGATGGCAGCATGATTAACAACGACGCAACGCGCACGAATGGGGCTTTGGGCCTTTCACCCACGCAAGCCCCTAATACTGCCAACTCGCCTGCTGTTGTTCCCAGCCCATACTCACTGTATGTCCGTGACCGATCAACCACAGCCGTCCAAGGCGTCTTGACGACGATGCCTAAGGATGAAGATGTCCTCATGTCGCTTCAGCTCCTTGCCTATGTGTCCAAGTACTGCAACCTGCGGTCTTACTTCCAGCACTCCCACCTCGTCCCTAAGCTCAAGGTTGACCGTGAGCTCCAAATGTTGGAGGATGGCGTATCACCCATCGAACCTGCAGAGGAGGAAGATGAATACCTGCTTCCGGACGATGTCAACATCTTCCCCTTGGTGGAGAAATTCACGGTTCGCCACCACTCCAAGGACATGCAATACTGGGCATGTGTGGTGATGCGGAATCTCTGCCGCAAGGACGAGTCGAGAGGCGGCATCCGGCAGTGTGCATACTATAAGTGTGGAAAGTGGGAGGAATTCCAGCGACAATTTGCAAAGTGCCGGCGCTGCCGCCGCACCAAGTACTGCAGCAAAGACTGCCAGAAGGCAGCGTGGGTGTACCACCGTCACTGGTGCCACACCACGCCATGATATGAACGCATGAAACTGTTTAATACCTCTAATGCATACCGGCTTGCATAGCGTCGTATCTGTCATCTGTTACCATTTCGTCATTCCGTTTCGTTTCCGAGGGTTTCACGTCTACCCGTGCATGGCATTTCAAAACCTGGCGGCGTTGCTCTTCATCCCAAAGATACCTCTTGTATGTCGTCGAATTTTATTCATCACATTTCGATTTTTTTTCACCTGTTTGATTAACGCGGGGCATAAAGCCTGATTCCCGGTCATATGGATTGATACTAGCGGTCATGAATGCGTGCACCTTTTTACTTATCTTGCTTGGATTGTTGTTCTGTCTCCTATTTCATCTTCCTCTCCGTCATTGTTCGAGCCCCTAGTTCCTCTCCGTCCTGACGCCCAACGATTTTCTTTTGTGAGTAGCCCGATCTATCTAGCATTGTGAACCAGCTCTCCCCCACAATCTTTCTGGAGCGATTTCTTTGGGCATTGTGATTACCTCTTTTGCTTGTTGTTGCGAAGATGAGGCTGGGCCGGAGCAGGGGCTATGAGCCCGGGTCCGACTTAGCCAGTTGGGTTGTGCATCATTGGAACCTGTGCATACACGAGCGGCCTCGTATGAATTGGACGGTGGCTATTGAATATCTAGTACTTATTCACTTGACACTTTCTCTCCCACCAGCCACCTTAACCTAAGTAAATTCAAGCTTCCCCTTCTTTCTCCCTCCGAAACCCATACGTAGCATCCAACCTGGCCATCAAATGTTCCTGCGCCGTCAACGCCCTCTTCCCCTCCTCCAACATCCCCGCCCCACCTCCAAACCCAACCCTGACTCCCCCATCTCCCCCCTCCTTACTCTTACCCCTCCTAAACTCCTCCACAACATTACTTGGCACGGGCACCAACTCCGTCCGATCCAACGGATGACAGAAATACACAATACTATACCGATCCTGCGCGTTGGGCCTCTGCTGCTCCGACACGGGGAATACCACCCTGTGCACCGTACTCTTCAGTAATCCGTCCGTCCAGTAACTGAGTAAGTCGCCGATGTTGACGAGGATAGGCGGGAACGGGTATTCGCTCCCTTCTAAGCTTGTAGAAGAAGACCTAGGGATTACAGGAACAGGCGCCCACCCTGCCCCATCTGGAGTGAGGATCTCCAATCCTGGCTGCCCCGGGCGCTGGAACAACAGCGTGATGGAGCCGTAGTCGCTGTGGGCGCCAGCTCGGACGTCGGTTTTGTGTGAGTAGGTTGAGGTCAATGGGGAGGTTATGCTGGGATAGAAGAGGTAGCGCAGGATACTGCCTGTTGGGCCTGTGGTGGGGTCGTGGCGGGTGGTGAAGAAGGTGGGGGGGATCTGTATTTATCGTTAGTTTGTGATTTATTGATATTGTATGGGGCTGGCTGCTTACGCCGAGTCCCAGCGCCAGGAGGGTTAGGATCCGAGTGCAGGTTTTGTTGCAGAGGGAGGCGAATTGGGCGATTTCGGTTTCGTGGGGGATTAGGGATGCCGGGAGGGGTTGTTGGGCTTTGTTGTTGTTGGTGAATTCGCCGAAGTTGAAGGCTCTATTGATTATTTAGTGTTAGTGGGTGGTGATGGGTGTGGTGGTGGGTGTAGATGGATGGTATACTCTTTGAAATCGCCGGTCTGTGGGGGTGTGGTTAGTGATTGGTATACTATGTTGATAGATGGTGAATGTATGCTTACTCGCTGGTGCTCCGGGTCCAGGGTCTCGGAGTGCATGCCGGACCAGCCGCGGTTCTGAGGAGGATTAGATGTTGATTTCTACGGCATTGTAGATAGTTGGGTGGAGGTATCACGCACGTTGGGTTCAATGCGACAAGCGGCCTTTTCTTCTACCGGGGAGGCGAAGAATTTCTTGGACTGTAATACACTATATTAGTATACGATGTTTGAAGTTATGGCAAAGGACATACCAGTTCAAATGCACGATCCACCTCCGCGGTCGTAAAGTCGGTCCCCCGGCTGTCGACATACAAAAAGCCATACTTGGTGGCAGCTGCCAGAAGGGCCTTCCCCGCCTCCGGATCGAGGGGGTTGGAGATGTCCAGCACGGGGAGCTCGATGGGAGGGCCAACGTCAGACATGTTACTGTTGCCTCAGATGTATGTGGAGGAATATTAAAACAAGGATAGAAACAGATTTCGTAGAAGTGGAGATGAGCACGACTTATATAAGGAAATGCGACGTTATCGGACAGCTAGAATACTACTACTTACTTGTATCAGTGACACTCAATGCGGGTCGAGCCGATGAGCCAGCCATTGGCCCACCAAACCCTCAGGCTTCGGGTCCGCGGCCGTGGCTATCGGCTATCGATCGAATCGGGTCAAATGGCATGATTAAACGCCGGTGATTCTATTTGAAATGCGAATTCGGCTGGTGGGTTGCTGTTGTCTGTAATGCTCTTGCCGAGGATGAGTATCTGCAGTCATGCAGGGTATCTACTTTATATTAACGGACATTCGCCAGTGCCATTACCTTTTCACAACTGCTTGACTGCAGACACCATAGCTTATAAATTTCCAGTGAGTACTGACCAGTACTATTTAGATAAGGTGTTCAGTTCTATCTACTCTGATACAAAGTAAGTGAGTGCAGTGAGAGGGTCTGAGATATGACTCAATGAAGAGGGTAAGCCCCACTGCCTGTCTTGCAATTGCCATAGCTACCATTCGGTTGTGTAGACATGATGGGTACATAATATAGCAATAGAGGTTCATCTATCAGTGCTTACATCTGCCAATTACATAAATCATCTAATCCTCGTAACTAAGGCATTATACGAACGCCAATTGATGGTGTGCAGCAGTATCTTGTCGGCAGGAGGCCGTTCCTTTCGCACATAAATGTGCAAGTATTCAGCATCGATGGTGACAATAAAGCGCATGTATCATGCACAGAAGTCATACTATGTAAGCCATGCGGATAGGAATAACGCGTGCAATATATATACAAATCCGCCACAAAGAAATATACTTACTTTCGTCAACTATAATTGAAGAATGACACAGAAAAGTGCTACCACGGTAGTAGATAGATAGTTATACGTGTAGAAACTACTGATATATCATACTCATTTACTTAACTCAAGTTCATGGCAAGAACAAAGTGTTGGTGGAAACAAAACAAGTACCAGCATGCATCTGCTCAATGCATTCCGCGGGACGTTGACACATTTATACTTCAGAGACAATGCATTCATCGCAGACCGTTCCAAGGTGACAGTACAACCAAACAATCGATTTTCTATCACTACTACTTCCATACTCCCACATAATAGCAGCAACAAGTATAATGTAACAATTTCCATAACTAACCAACAATCTATACAACCATCTACAACCACAATCACAACCACTGCCTCAGGCAGCACACCTTCCAACCCAACGCCAAGACCCGATCCCCGTAAACGCATGGCACCAAACCCAAAGCGGCATACAGCATGGCCATCCATCTTATATCACCATCATTAAACTTACCTACTAATCGCCCTCCTATACTCCATACTCCCTTACTACCTCACATACAACAACAATCACCCTCACAAAACACTCCCCTCACAGACACCTAATACAAATACTCCATATCCACCTCATCCAACCCAAGAAATCACCAAACCAAAATGTCCGAATCCACCGCCGAAGCCGTCCCTCCCCCACCAACAACCTCAACTCAAGTACGTCCCATCCCTGCTACTTAGTACCCGTCGAAAAAAGATACCCACGAACGAAACAGCGCAGCTAACAGCCCTACCTTGGTGTTAGAACTCCGACGCGCAAGGCCAATTCTCCGCCGCAGTGGACGATCTTCTCGACCAGCTACAACATAAATTCGATGGTGTTTCGCGGGAGATGTTTGGGAAGTGTACGTCTTGTCCTTCCTTCTTATACTTGTTGATCTGAGAGAAGTGAGCGCTGATATTTATGGGTATCTGGACAGTGGACGATATGGCGAGACGGTTGGATGAGTTAGAGGCTTCGTTTACGGTTGTGGATGGTACGACGACGTCCGGGGGTGGTGGTGGTGGTGCTGCTGCGTCGCAGACGGGGACGGGGTCGGTGGTGGGGAGTGTGGCTGGGAGTGGGAGTCCTGAGAAGTGATTGATCAAATGATTGAGAGTTAATCTTGTGGGATTTGCTTGGGGTTATGGTGTTATCGGACTTGGGTTTCTGTTCATATTGGGGGTGGATTTACTCTTTCGTTTTCTATGAATTAGGGGGTGATGGTGATATATACTGCTGGGTTGTGGTGATTTGAGGTGGAATGTGAAGATACCCTTTTTACTGTCAATTTACATCTACTATATACTCTTATGTTCTTGTGTATACATACATGGGAATGGGAAATGGATGGTTTACTGTTCGCATCGATAGCATTCTCATAACTGCCTCTTGATATCATACAGAGTAACAGAAACTAGGTGCCTATACCCTAGCTAAACAAGTCATAATCCATACAATATCTACAGCTCATCCTTGGCCTCCTTCTCCTCACCAACAAACTTGCGAAGGATGTTGCTGCGGGAGATAAGGTCATCCACCTTCTCAAGGGCCGATCCACCCTTGGCCAGGATCTTCTCCAGACGAGCAAGCTCCTTAGCGGCATACTCGGCGTTCTGGCTCAGCTTGTCCGCAACCTTGACGTAGTACTGAGCGTACTTGTCTTTAAGCTCCGTAGCAGCCTTCTTGACCGCGGCGGCCAGGTCAGCAGCAGAAGTGCTGGCAATCAGCTCGTCCAGGCTAGCAATGGTGCCGGCCTTGGTGTCGAGTCCGCCGCCAACGGTACGGTGGGTGCCGGTCTTCTCGTTGAGGAAGTCAATGAAGGCCTGCTCAGAGCGGGCACCCTCATAGGGAACAGATTCCGTAGAGCCCTTGGGGAAGAACTTGATGGTGGGGTATCCGGACACGCCCTGCTCTCTGGCGGTGGCCTTGCCGTTCTCAGCGTCGGCGTCGACTTTGGCGATCACAACGTTGGGCTCGAGGACGAAGTCGTTGGCCAGGGCTTCCCAGGTAGGAGCGAGGTTCTTGCAGTCTGTTTTAAGATGCTGTAGTTAGTGATTTGCTTCTAGAGCGGGAGCGATGAAACGAGGATACTCACGTCCACACCACGGCGCGGTGAACGCAACCAGAACATCATTATCACCACCAACAGCGCCCTTGAAAGTCGCGTCGTTCAGCATCTCCACCTTGCTGGGCTCCTTCTTAGGACCACGGGGCTTGACGCCCGTCTTCTCAGAGATGAACGAAGACAGACTCTCCAAATCACGACCACCCTTGTAATCCTCCGGCTCGTCACTCTTTCCGTCGAACCACTTCAGCGTGGGGAATCCCTGGACACCGAACTTGCGGCCCAAGTCGCGGTGCTCGTCCGCATCAACCTTGCCGACGGTGACCTTGTCGGAGGCATGGGCGAATGCCTGGCCCAGCTCTTCATACACGGGCGCGAGGTTCTTGCAGTGGCCGCACCAGGGAGCGAAGAATTCAACCAGAGCGGGCTTGCCGGACTTGAGGACGACGTCGTCGAAGTTCTTGGGGACGAGATCGACCACTGCTGCGGTGACCGCGGAGGCCAGGCCGAGGCAGCTCACGAGATTGCTGAGACGGACCATGATGGATGGTGTGGTTTTGGTTTAGGGAGAAGTAGAAGCAGGGCAATTGACAATGTTACTTGTCAATAGCAAATGGTCCTGTCCGTTCAGCGAGGGAAGGGGTTGTTGCTGGGCGGAGTGTAGATATAGTCGTATGAGCTCCCGGCGTGGAAGGCGGAAGCGCTGCGGAGACCGAGCGGGTCAAAGAGGACACTTGGTAAGTTAAGCATCACTAATCAACTTCAGCTTGATCAGCGGCTTTACGGCTAAATATAATCCTGTATTTGCCACTACGCTCCCTTTTCATGGGTTCTGGCTATGATGGGGGGATGATGTTACTTCATGTAGCGCCTGTCAGCCCCTTTGATTCCTAATTATACAACGTGGCTGGAGTAGAATCGGGCGAAGCTTTCAGGTGGTTCTGGACCACCCCAGTAGACACGACTGCCATGGTTCGTCAAGTCGTGGTCATAAGTGCTGTTTCCTCTGGTCCTTCTAGGAGGATACTCTACACCAGTCCCTTACCGCCGCTCGGCCAACCAGCGGTTTGCATCTTCCCATTGCTTGCCCTCCTTAAGTTCCTTGCCCGCGCTCTGCGTACCGCGGTATACCTAGGAAGCAAATGAGTGAGAGGCCGGAGAAAAGATTGCTGGGTAGTACTCACCGCATCCCACAGCTTGAATGCCATGTCCAGATTGCCCGTAAAGCTGTCACTATGCTGGAACCATTCCTTGCCCTTCGATTTCACTTCTGCCCGCGCCTCTGGCGATGTGGGATCCGCTTGCAAGGGCAGATCATCAAGGTAGGTACGGACAGCAATTCCAAGCCCACAGTCGTTGTCGTCGATGATGGGGAGCCTATATTGCGTCAGATCACGTCGCATTGGCGCACCATGTCCACATGTTCACTTACTTGATGCTCATTTCGCCCCAATCGTTTCGGTCCCGGTCAGCATCACCGCTCAGGAGCAGACTGGCCAGGACAACCTCAATGAGCGTCCGTAGCGTAGAACGAACCTCGGAGATCAGGGATCGGTAGCAGAGCAGTTGCCGGCTTAGTGGGCCAGAATAACCGATGCTCTTGTGCTGGAGTTTGGCGATGCAAGCAAGGCGGGAAACAAGCATGTTAAGGCTTTTATCCTCGTCTGGGGTGGACTAGATCAGCATTGTTTTATGGCCACATAAACCTGCAATCTTACCTGATCCTCTCATGGGACCCCCGGAAACATGGGAGAACCACTGCTTGGAGTTGAGCAGGCCAAACCTGATCATCTCAATGGCAAGGAACGTTGGCTCCTCAAGCGCATCGGCTGGATCAAGTCCCGACAATGCTTGCTCAAGGCATACTCCCCACTGGGTAAGCTGATGTTTCTCATCAATATATCCACGAAGCTGTAGGAAGCGCCAGAAGACATTGGCAAGCAGCTCATCTTGTGACGATAATTGCTAGCATGTGTCAGCTCACTCGCTTGCGACCTGGGGCAGGGGACGCCTACCTTGCTGTCTTTCGTAGCCACGGACTTCGCGACAAAGTCACTATTTTTCAAGCTCTGGACAGCAAATTGGAAACGTCCACATGAGCCCTAATCTCTGGTTAGCAGCGCTTACAATAAAAAGCGAAGAATTAACTTGCCTGCAGTTTCTGCAGACTCTCTGGAAGCTGCTCTGTGGAAATCTTCCAAGACTGGATCGAATCCTTAACTGAAGGAAGGTCTCGGAGGTTAATGGTCGAGGGTGATTTCTCATCAAACCACGTCCGCACATTAATGACCTTGGTTTGATAGAACCGGTGGAGGGAATTCGACAGCAGGCAAATCGACTGAGTCCTGATGGGTGTGAGGGTGCTGCCGGCGACTTGGCGGTAGATTTCCGTGTCCTCAACGCCCAACGGCAACGAGATGAGGACTTCACCCGACGTCAAATATTTGGGCACATCGGGACCCAGAATTCCCTTGGACAGGTAGAAGTAGAGCTCCTCTGGGAGGCGAAGGCCGATCACTGCGTGCATATCGGACGAAGCATTCTCCTGGTCCATGGGACCTACTCTGCCGTCAACATCGATATAAACATGGTGTTTCACAGTCATGCATGCGCGCTTGTAACGATCCGTGTATTCGAGCTCCTGCATTCGGCGATCCTCTTCGAATTGAGCACAGAGGGCGAGAGCGCTTCGTCCTGCCGCGTTGAACATTGGCAGAGCATCCCGGACGGTAGGGTTCTTTCCGGGGAAAACATGGGTTTCGAAACCAGGGAAGGGCTGAAGGAAGGAAGAGCCTAGAAGAAGGCAAAAGTCCAAAAACTGATCATTTGATAGGCGGCCTAGTTCTTCCAGACATGTCTGTTTGTTGATCCAGAAAAATTGCGCCGGGTCAATCTCAATGCGGGTGATCAGTTTATCCACGTCGAACATCAACACTTCGGAGGGACCGCAAATGGCATCGATCAGCGGGTTCGGACCCTTGGCCAGGTAGGAGAGCTATAGAACACAAAAGTCAGAATGGCGCAAAATGGAGCCAACAGAGGCAGCGGCATTCGTACCTGAGCTGCAGCACTGTAGGGAGCAACGATGTAATCCACGCCATGTTGAAGAAGAATGCGCTGCAAGAACCGGTATAGCGACTCGGGTCGAGGGGTGCCTAGGGCAGACGACAGTCAGGGACAGACGCTCCAGAAGGTCAGGATTCCACCATTAACATACCGGCGCTGCTGAACGCATCCACCACTTGATCCGCCTGCTGTTGATCGTAAAGATCCCAGGCCTGCTCGAATGCCCGGACCGACTCCTGCTGCACGTGGGGTCGTTGATCCTTTTTGCCAAAGTCGAGACCGTTGAACACGAAAATACATGCCACGCCCAGATCCTTGTACGCTTTCAATTCTCTTTCAATATTGCTCTTCAGTGCGAATGGAAAGCCGCCGAGGGCGACCAGAAGGGGCTCGCGCGTGGACGGTTGGAGGAGGTGTTGAGAAATGTAGTGCGACGCATCGATACCGACAACCGCCCCTTTGAGAGCTGAGAGGGGGAGGGACTGGGTGCGGGTCGCGGCCCATTCATCGAGCGGACGGACTGTTGCAACGGAGAGACTCTATTAGCTTGAAAGAAGACGAGGCACAGGAGCTCCGCGGGAGCCACGACCATAGCAGACTCACTTGGCATGGTTTTAGCTGTAGCTGTGTCGCGGAGATAGACGCCGGAGCGGACACCAGGCGTGGAGAGCCCAGGTGGGGAATGAGGGAGAGGAGGATATATGAAGAGTAGGGACGAGGATGATGAGGAAATGAAGAGAGCGAAAGAAATTGAGGAGAGGGGAGGGAAGGAGGAGGGGGAGGAGAGGAGGGCCGGCGAGAAACCAACAGCTGAAAGAGAGGGGAATGAATTGTGAGTGATGGGATGATGCGATTGATTGAGCACAAGTTACAGCTTGAAGCCAATCACGAGGGCGGTGTTGCCCGGGCCAACTGGCGGATCCTCAGCACGCTGCGGGACAAGTGTAGATGGTTTACTTCTCCCTCTTCTTCAACTTCAACTTCTACCACAAAATCTAGCTCTTATCTATCGAGCATTGATCTTGGGAGGCATGTATCTTGATATGACCAGGGCCTGCATTTCTAAGTTGATGGTAGTCCATGAGTTCATCTTGACCTCTATGTTATCTCACAACAAAACATGAAAGAATAATGAAGTCAACCGCTGCTATGATGATGGTATATTCTAACTGATTGGAACGTTTAGACAGGCACTATTATGATTTTTATCTTCAATTTACTACCCCTATCTACTGCTTTGTTGCTTGAATCAACATTACAGTCATCTGGCACACTCTCAGCTTGACAGATGAACATCTATACACTCCTGGGAGTGGAATTAGATACTTACATCTTGCAATTTGCAACTTCAGATATAACATCAGACCTCACCTAACTATGGTATCTTTTGCGTAACTGCAGGGAAACTTCTTTTTAATCTGCTGAGGGAACACTCGCTGCCTGCTATTAGTATCCATAACTTCGTCTCTTCTCGCTCTCTCCCCTTCTTCACACCTCTATTCTCCTACTTTAACTATCCGTACTTCCTTTTGCCTCCCTCTTCTTACCCATTCCACATCTGAGGTAACCCATCTCCGTGAGTTACTTCATCCACTCTCTGCATACATATTACAATGGCTTTCATCAATCTGAGCCAGGGCACATAGTGTCTATTATTTCTATGAGAACTCCGCACCCTTAAAGTACCCCTACTGTGATAGCAGCCTTTTACCCTGGATGAGACTGGAGTGAAGTTCGTGACTATCTGTTGGACATTCTACGCTGGCCACAAAGGGAATTGCTAGTTATCATGCTAGCATACGAGATTCGCCCATGGGTATGAATTGAAGGAGCAGCTTCCTTTCTCTTGCTCCTGGCTGCTGCTGCAACTGCCGGCCTCAACGCACCTGCCTTTTACTGATACCAGACTACCTGCTGAAAACTTACCTGCTAGAGTCTCGACAGAGCACTGTGATCTTCTCTTCTTCGTCTTCTTCTCTCTCAATAAAAGTTCCTACGAAATTGAGCAATATTCACCTGACCATCCCGGACACCATGCCACTGTGGAACTGCTATCCATTCGATCCGGAGGTTGCACCGCTGTTCGGTTATCACCCTTCTCTTACAGCTGGAATCCTTTTCACGATTGCTTTCCTGGGTGTCTTAACAACCCATGTCTCGCAAGCATGCAATACCATATATCCCTGGATAGGACTGGTGCTTTCGATTGGAGCTGCCCTTGAGTTTATCGGATGGGTTGCCCGTACTTTGGCTTACCGCTGTCCATATACCTTTGCCATATGGCAAATACAGCTGTTAACTCTGATGTCGGGTAAGTATGCAGTTGAGGAAGTTTATATTGGCAATGCCCCTGGCTAAACATACAACTAGCTCCATACTTTACAACCGTCGGAATCTACGGAGTCTTAGATCTCATGTACGCAGTTATAGACCAAGTTCGACTACATTTCAGGCCGAAGCGGTGGGCAGATATCTGCATGACTATCGCGCTTCTTAGTCTCATTCTCCAGGTTATTGGGGGTTCGCTGGCACACAAGGCCTCCAGTGTCGCCTCCAGTCTCGACAAAACAGTCAGCCTGGGAATCGATATCCTGTACGCAGGCAGTCTCGTACAGCTCCTGTCGCTCAATATCTTCATGGTGCTGTTCGGGTACCTGATAATTCGTACAAGACAGCGACTTGTCTGGAGGATGCCAATGCTCAAAATGTTAGCTGTGCTTGCGTTTGCTTTAGTTTGTATAATTGTTCGGGATACCTATCGCATTGTGGAGTCTACGAATGGATGGCGTGGTTATTCCTACACATATGAAATTCTAGGGTGTCTTTTCGATGGGCTGCCTATGTTTATCGCCAATGTTACGCTGAGTATCTGGCATCCAGCAGTGTTATTGAACGAGGCGATGCTAATGGAGTCGAGAGTTGTGCGAGCGGAGGAGGTCGAATTACGAAGCAGAGAAGATCAGAACGGACGAGGAGAAAGTCGCTTGCTTGACGAGTACCCACCTATTTCTGAGGAGCTTGAGCCAGTTCTCCGTAAACGATAGTACTGATCCCATCAATTTTCCGGGCTCATGGCTCAGCTCTCGTTAGCAGACGGGATCTTGCTTCAACTGTTCTATTGATACTTCACCAGATTGTACTACTAGTTGTAGTAGATGGGCTAGCACTTACCAGTACTCGTCTACATCAGCAATCTATCACTAAGGATCCAAAAGAGCTTGTCAGTTTTTCTCAAAAAGAAACAAGAGATGAATGCGTTCTTCACCACTCATTGATTCTGCCCCGCACACTGTCATACAGTGTAGTCGGTAGCATCCTTCCATGCTGGCGGAGACAAAACATACTGCCAAGACTGCGGTCATTCTGGATTCCCGTTCGGCATCTTTTCACACTCCATTCACACAGCAGTATCACGACAACTGAAGGAACAAGTTATCTGACTGCAACAGACTTTACATACCTAATACACGAGTATAATATAAAGCAGCAACTCAGAGCCGACAAATGAGCGCACAATCCCCGCAGGTGCGGCAACCACCGGCAACCCCCACTTACATTTTACGCGGCCATGCCGCTGCCATCCACGCGCTACAGATATTCCACCAAAACCTAAGGCTCGTTTCAGGAGACGCAGACGGATGGATTGTCGTATGGGACCTAGTCTCAAAGCGCCCTCGAGCGACATGGAAGGCCCATGACGGCGCTGTTCTTGAAGTCAAAGGTTTTAGCTTTGGAAATGGTGCTGTTACAGTGGTGTTCACGTGTGTTAACTCTCCATCATTCTCATGGCCCATCTAACAGTGTCTACAGGCATGGAAGAGACCATAAACTGCGCGTATGGAGGTTCAGCCTTCAGGATGAGGAGTCTCTTCAGAAGGTCCTCCCCGTAGACATCGAGAAAACCTCATCGACTGCCGCAAGCCAGCCATGGCTCGTACATTCGCTTCCGGTGAATGCGCTGAATTTCTGCGCGTTCTCCATGGTTTTCCTTCCTCCGGATAAAGCAAATACTGCAAGCGATGCCAGTGAGACCCCGAAAGAAAACACCTCTCTTTCATCAGTGCTTATCGCGGTCCCTAATGCTCTGAACTCTGGCGCGATCGATCTCTTTCATCTCCCCCAGGAGAGACGTATCTGCACCATTCCGGCGGATACGGAAGTGCTAACTGGAATGGTTATGGCGGCTAACCTCGTCATATCTCCATATGGGGAGTTGTATGTTGCTTCCGCTTACGAAGACGGTCGAGTTATGGTCCATGGCTGCAGGGGATCCTTACAGGAAAAAGACCTGACGCAGAGTACCAAAACGCCATGGAAATGGGAGAAGCTGTACGTTTGTCGGGCTCACTCACAACCGGTTCTGTCGCTTCACGTTTCGCCTGCTGGCAATTACTTCTTCTCTTCATCAGCCGATGCGGTGCTGGCGAAGCATCCCATTCCTTCGCTGGGTAGCCCAGGACATGCCCCGGAAGAGTTGCCGATCAGGTCGATTAACACGAAGCATGCGGGCCAGCAAGGTGTGCGGATACGGTCTGATGGGAAGATTTTCGCGACTGCCGGGTGGGACTCCAGGGTCAGGGTCTACTCGTGCAAGACGATGAAAGAACTAGCCGTCTTGAAGTGGCATAAAGATGGATGCTACGCTGTAGCGTTTGCGGATGTTGATGTATTTGAAGTATGCGAGAAATCAGATGAGGAAAAGCCTACGGTTTCGCCTAACGACAATGGCAATCAAGAAAACCAGCTTGCCGGACGGGCAGAAACTGAATTCTCGCTTGCAACAGTGCATCGCCAAAGATACGAGAAGGTGCAAAACACCCACTGGTTAGCTGCTGGGTCAAAGGACGGAAAAATCTCATTGTGGGATATCTATTGATTTGTCGTCAATTACTATTTACATGTATGCTGCCGATCAAGCAAGATTGAACTCGCTTGCACCGGCCATGTGCTCCTTCATCTTGGCCCTCATCTTTTGAGCTGCCGTGAGAGTGTCGGTTTGACGAGGAACATCATCATCGTCGTCGTCGTGACCACCAGCCTTCCTCTTCTTTCCAGCGACCGGTTTGCGGTCGGCCTTGAAATCCTTCTTGGTGTCAGCCTGTGCTTGGCGAAGACCAGGGACATTGATCTTGCTGGGACGATCACGCAGAGCGAAACTCTTCGCCAGATGTCCGAGATGAAGCTCCTTAATGTTGAACATGCTCCGCTCGTTGGCGATATGTGTGGCATAGGCGCGAATATGAGACTGATAAGCTCGCCGGGCCATTTCGAGGTAGTTTTTGTTTTCCAAAGCCCATCGTTCCACATCCAGCTGCCATTCGGTTGCCTTTTCCTCCCAGTCTACGTTCTGCGACTCGACGTTTCCTCCAAATCCGCGCTTCAGAATGTCGTCCGCGCTGTTGCGTGTCAGAGCCTTTCCACCGTCCCGGTAGCCCTTCTTCAGAATGTCGACGTATCCCTCCTCACAGCCGGGCATGAGGAAAATGAGTGCACGACCGTCACGCCCCAGACGCGCAGTACGTCCGATTCTGTGCAGATGGTCCTCGGCGCTGAAGGCAGGGTCGTACTCCACGACCAGGTCAACATTCGGCAGATCCAGACCACGGGACGCAACGTCAGTACAGATGAGCACGGAAGGTTCGCGGTTGCGGGCAAAAGCACCCAGGGTGGCTGTCCGGACATGTTGAGGCAGAGAACCGTGCAGTCTATGCAGCGTCACCGGGTTGGAGGGGTTCGAAAAGGCCGTGGCAGGCGCGATGGTTCCATGAGCCGAAGCGCCGAGCTTCTTCCTCTTCTCTTCTGCATCCTCCTCATCACTATCCTCACTCTCTTCCTTCTTCTCTTCCTCATCTCCATTCTTCCGCGTGAACACCTCAAAGTGGAAGTCCACAGAGTCCGCACAAGACACAAAAATGATAGCCTTCATGACAGACCCCTTTCTCATAAACGTCCGTTTCATAAACGCCGTAAGCGTAACAAGCCGTAGCTTCGACGCGACAATCGCATATGACTGCTTCAGCTGCGCCGGCACCCGGAACGCATCATCCTCGTCCTTCTTCCTCGGCTCGCCATCCTCATCCGCGGGATCCGCCTGAATATGCACCGCATCCTTCAAACTGATCTCTCCCAGCTTCTGCACAGTCATCTTCAACGTAGCCGAACACAATATCGTCGTCCTCTTCGCGGGGAACCCAGGAATCCGACTTGGGCGCTGCCTAGCATCCAGCTTTTGAATAATCCCCGCCAACTCCTTCTCGAACCCCAACTCCATCAACCGATCTCCCTCATCCAACACCAACCACCGCACATTACTCACATCCAACGCCTGCGTATTCTCCAAATGATCCGCCAACCGTCCCGGCGTCGCAACCAAGATATTCAACCCCTTCCTCAACCGCGCCTTCTCACTCTTCTTCTTCTCTCCTCCAATCACCGTCCCCGCCACAATCCAATGCGCACATCGCAACAACCCCTCCAATACCACCGCAATCTGCTTACACAACTCTCTCGTCGGCGCCAACACAATAGCAAATAACCCACTATCGCGCTGCACTTGCTCCCCTTCCTCCCTCTTCTTCTGATTCAGCGAAATCGTCATTATCCGTTGCACAAGCGGCAGCAGATACGCCATCGTCTTTCCGGATCCCGTCTCGGCCTGTATGAACGCATCGCTCTCCTCCTTCAATAGTTGCGTAATACTCGCTTTCTGAATCGCTGTCGGCGCCTTCACCTCCAGCTTTGTCAGCAAATGCGCCGCCAGCGGTGCCGATAGTCCCAGGTTCGTGAATGTGTCCAGTCCATCGATCAGCGGCGCGTTCGTCGGCTTGGCGTCCTCTACCTCGGCCCCGGCTTCGTTCTTCTCTTCAACGGCGTTCCGGGGTCTCGGGTTCTTCGAGAACAGGGATGATACGAACTGTCGGGGCGCCCCGGGATGTTGTTGCTGCTGCTGCTGGCGTGGTTGCGATCCTCCGTTTCCGTCATCATCTTCGATGCGCTGTCTCTTCACCGGCCGCGGACCGGATACTTGAATGCGATTCGGATTCCGAGGGTTGCTGTTCTGCTCGCCATTTGAGGCTGATTTCTCTTTGCGCGGGTTGTTCGTTCGGTGCGCGGCGATTTTCTTTGCGCTGAGTCGGTCCCGCCATGTGCCGCCTTTTACTTTGGTTTTTTCGGGTCTGAGGACTGTCGTGTCCGGAATGGCGAAGTTGAGAAGGAGACCGTCGTCGGCCATTTTGGAAAATGTTGGGTAGGTAGGTAGGTGCCTGCCTGCCTTTTTTTCTTCTCTTTTTGTTGTTTGCTGGGGAGGTTCTTAGTACTGGATCCGGGAAGAAACTTTACTTTACTCCAGAGGGAAATTTTCTCGGGCCGGCACCGTTCCGAAACCCTGCGATCTTGCCCTATTTTCTGTTTTTGGGTGATAGCTACATGCTCTACTAAAAGGGTCATTGATTGAGGGGTAGTCAGGTGTGGAGAGGAGAATGATTATTTATTATTTGTTTATTTGTATATATATATATATATATATATAGGTGTGAACTTTTATGTACTCTATGTACGCTGTTGAGATCTAATTGAATGACGTCGGGTATATATGACACTTGCTTTTGAATGGACCAGGCAACGGACAGACAAGGACGAGGTGTTCAAACCCGCGGCTTGAAGATCAAGTTGTCGATCAAACGCACAGGAACTTGGCCATCACCGAGGCCGCAGTCCTCGCCCGGCTTTGCCTCCTCCAGCGGAGCCATCTTGACTGCACCGCTCAGAATGGCGCCCTTAGCGGGATCAACAATTTCCAGCTCGTCCAGAGTATCCGGATCAGCAAGAGAGATGTAGTCAACTTCATACAGCGCCCTCTCCGTGGGCGCCAACGCCTTCTGCTCAGACAGAACCCGTTCAGTGACGCTGTTAGCTGCGTCAAGGATCTCGCTCCGGTTGACCTTGCCAGCGTTGTAGGCATTCTCCGCCGCCTTCATGGCTTCGTAGAGGACCAGGCCCACTGCCCGTCTTCGCTTACCAAGATAGACATTTCTTGAACTCATTGCCAGCCCGTCGTGTTCACGAACAGTCTCCCCGATCTTGATCTCCGTGTCGATGTAGAAGTCCTTCACAAGACGCTTGATGACCACGGTTTGCTGCACGTCCTTCTGACCAAAGTAAGCCCGGTCGGCATGGACAATGTTGAACAGCTTCATGCAGACGGTCGCAACTCCACGGAAGAAAACAGGCCGTGAAGCTCCCTCCAGTTTCCGGGAGAGAGGGGTGATGGTCACGAAGGAACCGTCGCCGTCAATCTCGGATGAAGGAGGCAGCGTAGGGTACATGACCTTGGAGGTGGGCGCCAGAATGGCGGTGATGCGACCGCTGTTACTGTTCTGGCGGGCCAGTTCCGCGTTCAATTCCTCTAACTTCGCAACATCGCTGTCCCAAGTGCGCGGATAGCTGGAGAGATCCTCTGTGACGCCGAACTGTGTCGGATTAACGTAGATGCTGACGAAGACGTCGGTGTTCTCGGCCGCGGCTTGTCGGATGAGCGAGAGATGGCCTTCGTGGAGGGCACCCATGGTAGGGACGAGACCGACGGTCCGGTTGGAGAGGAGGAGCTCTCGACGCAGCTGGCGAAGTGGGGGCACATCGCGGAAGACTTGAAAGGTGTGTTGCTGGCGGGAGGAGACGGCCATTGTGGTGGATTTGAGGAAAGATGTGGCGGCTGTGAGAACATGTGAAGAAGGATGGTTAGCAGGTGTCGTTCAGCAGCAGCAGCAGGGGATAAATAAATGTGCGCTCAGGAGGGGCCATACTGGAGAAGCGCCGTGTCCAGCCGAACATGGTGAATGTGATTTCTGGGAGGTTGCAACGAAGGGCCCTTGTCTTTCGTACCGCAGGTGCCTCTTAAGAGTCCCGCAGTGGAGCAGGTCGCACAGCTCAGGCCCAATTAGCCACAGTGATGGGGATTAGGAGGGAGACCGCAGCTTTTGGTGTCTGCGACGATGCTCAGCCGGGGTGAAGCCAGTGTAACCGGGACGGCATGCTTGGTGGTGTGACTATTTGGGCATGGAAAGCGTGCTCTGAGCTGCCGCGTTGCGCTCATCCCTCAAGCTTTCGGTGAACTGAAGTTCTTGGATGTCCACTGCCATTGCCCAATCCAGCTTAGCGCGCGGTTGCACGGGGCGCAAGGCCGTTGGGACTCACGTGAGCGGCGGCAGCACGAATCGTCCCGAGGCATTTCTGGGGAAGAAGCCGGGGATCTTCGCCTGGTTGGGAGCTCGCTTGCCTCCTCAGGAACCAGGAGCTGGTCGATCATGACAATGCCTTTCTTTGCTATCCCTCTCACTTGATGTAGCTCGACTTCATCCCAGCAGTCAATGACCGCTGAGAGCTATCGACATTCCCATTCAACCACCGAGCTCTGAAGTGAACATTCCTTCCCTCTCCCCGCCCGAGACACTATGCCTTCCGATAAGTCCCCGGTCGGGGACTCCGCACCGGATCTCGAGATCGTGGGAAACAAAGTCACCATCCATCCAAGCGGAGTTACTGGAGGGCTGGAACCTCAAGATGAACAGATTACCGAACGCAATCTCGTCCGCCATATGGCGAGGTTCCGCGAGAACCCTTTCGATTTCCTACGAGAAGTGAGCTTGTACATGTCAGGAACCGGCTGGCGTGCCTACGATGATGTGATCGGACAACCCATATTCTACTCTGGTTTTACGGATCGAATGAAATCACAGATTCTTGCGAGTCCCTTGCTGCAAGGGAAGGTGAAAGAGCTGGCGGACGCACGGTTGGCAGTGGAGGAAAAGGATGGATTGCTAGATGTTAAACCGGGTCCCCTGGAGCAGAAAAGGATACATCGCCGGAATGAGATACAAAGTAACCTGAAAGAGGTGGTAGATTCCATGCTAGATAATATGATCTGCAAGATGGAGAGCAAGAGGTTTATCCGAGGGGCGTACTATCTCTGCACGCAGCTTCTGACGCGCGCATACCATCAAGGTGGGAGGGTATCCGACGTATTGAAGGAATGTTGTTAACCAAAGATTCAGGAATACACGTGTCTAGCGAAGAAGTTCTCCGGTTGAGATCTTTTGCGCAAGAGGCTGCTGCCAAGAAGCAATCTATTGTCTTCTTGCCTTGTCACAAGTCGCATGTCGACTACGTGTCGCTCCAGCTTATCTGCTATCGCCTTGGGATTGGGCTTCCGGTCGTGGTGGCGGGAGAGAATCTCAATATTCCGATGCTGGGCCCTTTCCTCCAACATGCAGGTATGGTTTGATCCGCCTCGGAATCTACTGCGCTTGCTGACTTTCCTAGGCGCGATGTGGATTCGGAGAAGCTTCGGAAACGATCCGCTATATAATACCGTTGTACAAGCCTATATTGATACCATGCTACAGCAAGGATTTAACTTTGAATGTTTCATCGAAGGCGGCCGTTCGAGAACAGGAAAACTTCTTTCGCCCAAGTTTGGCATCCTCAGCTTTATTTTGGATAGCGTCCTTTCGGGTCGTGTGGAGGACACCATCATATGCCCTGTCAGCACACAGTATGACAAAGTGATTGAGACTGAGTATGTGTTCTTCTGATAGATGGCTGCTGAGTTCTAACAATCCGTATAGATCGTACATTAGCGAGCTGCTTGGCCAGCCGAAGAGGAAGGAAAACCTAGCTGATTTCCTGTCCTCGTCCTCTGTTCTTTCTCTAAAGCTCGGTCGGGTGGATGTTCGATTTCACGAGCCATGGAGCTTGAGAGAGTTCATCAACCAGCAATTGACGCGGATGCCGGAACAAATAGTCGCAAACGGGGGGCCACAGCTGAGTTATGCTGATAGAGGCCGGGTTTTGAGATCCTTGGGATACAGGGTCTTGTCTGACATCAACGATGTGTCTGTCATGATGCCTACGGCCTTGGTTGGCACTGTGCTTCTTACTCTTCGCGGGCGAGGTGTCGGAAAAGGTGAAATGGTCCGGCGCGTCGAGTGGCTGTGTGAGCGTGTTCGAGCAAAAGGCGGACGGGTTGCTCACTTCTATCGTTACCCGACGGATGTTGTTGTCGAGCGTGCGCTAGAGGTCTTGGGGCCGCAGCTTGTGGGCGAGGTGAGCGGACTGGTCGAACCGACTTACTATGCTGTGGATCGTTTCCAGCTTTCGTTCTATCGCAACATGACCATCCACTTGTTTATCACGGAGGCGCTGGTGTCTGCGGGAATGTATACGAGAATCAAGCAAGGCGGCGGGCCGTCTTATCAACGCATTTCCTACCAAGATCTTCTAAACCAGGTTTCGTTCCTGTCTCAGGTGAGTCAAATATATGATTATACCCTAAGGATCTCCCTGCTAACAAAATCAGCTTTTCCGTGGCGAATTCATCTTCCCTCCAGAGGGCCTGACAACAAACATGGAAAAGACCCTCCGCGGACTCGAAAGAGACAATATAATCACCGTTAGCCGGGACACCGCCGGCGCGCCACTGTTCGTGGAGCTTAGCGATGCAGAACGGCAATGTGGTCGCGAGAACTACGACTTTTACTGCTTCCTAGTCTGGCCGTTCATCGAAGCCTCCTGGCTCGGCTCCGTCTCTCTCCTAGGACTGACACCCCCTCTGAACGGCGCCGAAGATATTTGGATCGATTTGAACAAGGCTCAAAATAGCGCCCAACTGGTAATTCAACCACCTTTCTAATGTTTCCTAATAGTCACCTACTAACAGCACAACCCAGCTCGGCAAAACTCTCTATCACCAAGGCGACCTCTCCTACTTCGAAGCCGTCAACAAGGAGACCCTCCGAAACTCCTACCAACGCTTCGCAGAGGAAGGCATCATTCAACTCGCTAAAAGTAAAGGATCGAAGGTGTCCACCATGAAGCTAGCCGCTGAATGGACGCCCGAGCGGGATCCAACCACGGGGAAGCTAGTTCCCCGTGGTCGTCTCTGGGACTTTACTGAGCTGATTGCACAGTCCAGACGTGAGGGGTGAGTTGACTGATACTATATATCATTTCCCAGATAGATTGGTCCGGTATACTGACAACTTGAAGGAAAAACCGCCGTGATGGCGCAACAGTTTCCTCGCGGGTTCTGCACATGTCGGATGTTGTGGGCCGCAAATTATTCGAGGACGCGAGTCCTAGTCCCGCTGCGGCGGAGGAGGTTGATGTCTCCATACGACAGATGAGGAGGAAGGCGATCACGCCTAGTTCGAAGCTGTAGGTGCAGTGTGTGGTTCGGTGCTGTTTTGGTGATGAGGCGAAGCGTAGCGTTTAATACCCTTTTGTATTTTTAGAGTCTTACATACGACGACTATCATCGATCTTTCTATAGCATATTAACCAAGCATCGTTTCTCATAATGGAATAACTCATCCATGATATATACCATACGCTAGCCACATACAATCCTTTAATCCAACTAATCAACACCCCTCCCCAACCTTAACAACCTCCGACTGCACACCATCCCCAACCCCTCCAACAGCCTGCACAACAACCTTCTCCCCATCCCTCCCCTCCACCCCCTCAAGCACAATCCTCGTCTCAAAGCCATTCTTGTCCCTCACATCCCCCACAACGGCCAACTCATCCCCCATCCGTACTTTCCATCCCCTCACATCAGTCGCCCCATTCCAACTCACATAGACAACCACCGCATCACTTCCCCCCTCCCGACAAGCCACCGCCTCCGGCCTCGTCGTCGGCTTCCCAACCCACTCGCGGAACCGATATCCACGGTACGACTGCGTCGACTCATCGAATCCAAACCGCGCGTTCATCACCAGCGCCCCGTTCTCATCGTATTCCTCGAGCACCGGCATCGCGCCGTGCTGGAGCAGCACGTGCCCGTTCGGAAGAGGCTGGAAGCTACCCTGGCTTACGGCAAAGAGGGGAGCGTCGGAGTTCCAGAGCTTGCGGACGGGAGTTATGGTGCGATTTTGCATGTCCAGGGTGAGGGTTAGACCTGTGGTGATGGTTGTGGGGGAGGTGAAGACGTTGGCGTTCTCGTTGTTGTGTAGGTGCAGGGTTAGGGAAGTTGCGTTGGGGGAGTAGTTGACGAAGCGGGGGTCGTGTTGGTAGCAGAAGCTGCTGCCGGGGGTAAGGGTGAAGGAGGCGCCTTTTTGGCCCTGTGGTTGTGTTAGTGGGAGTGGTCATGGGGGGAGAGGAGGTGAGGTACGTACGTGAAGTTGCCAGGTTACGTTGCCGTTTTTGTCGAGGAGGAAGATGCTGCACAGGAAGCGGGAGGAGAGGAGGTAGGAGTCCCCGTATTTGGCTACAGAGTTGAGGTGAGGGTATTCGTAGGGGTCGGACTTGCTGGTACCTGATCCTAGGAGTGGGAGTTCGGTGTCTGTTAGGGGGATCTCGGACAGGTGTTCGACTGTGCTCCAGCGGAAGAGGACTTTGTTGGTCTTGATGTCGATTTCGTAGAACAGGCCGTCCTGTACCCAGCCGTCTTTAGGGCCGCCGATGGGGGAGAGGTCGAATTGGGTGACGTTCACGGCTGTTACGAGGATGGTGCCGTCTGATGTGATCTGGCTTTCGTGGATGTCGATGTAGGAGGGGAAGGTTTCGGGGTCGGCGGTGGTGACGAAGTGCTGCTCAGTCCCAGGCAGTGTTATGCGGTGGATCTCCTGGTAGGAGGCGTTGAGGATGCTGATTGCTCCAAAGCCATAGCCTTGGTAGTTGGCGCCCTGCCAGTAGGCTAGGACTGGTTCGCCGTCCAGCATTTGGGGCTGGTAGGCGGACGTGTTGGCATTGGGGCCCTGCCATACAAGCTGGCCATCGTCGGAGTAAATGGCTGGGTAGCTCCATTCCATTGTTGAGGAAGATGGGGAGAAGAAGAGGTGGCCTAGCTCTGTTTTGCCATTCTTGGTGACGTTCAGATGTGGTGCTTGGATAGAAGTACTGCGGAAGGTCTGCTGGGGCCAGGTGGACTCTGCGGCAGCTTTTGCGCCGAGAAAGAGAGTGAGGAGATTGGCAGCGTTATAGCTGCGGAATTGGCGCATTTTGTGTCTTCTATGATATACCAGAGGCAGGCTCAGCATTCAAGGATCTTTGGTAAGGGAATTGACATAATTTATAGCTCGCTGACGCTGTGAGGCGTCCCCGTATGTGATATCATATTTAGCAGTTTCGGTCATGATACCGGCAATTCCAAAACTCGTAGCAGAGGGCACTAGCGGGGTAACACTCTGGAGTGCACTATAGCATAGTGATTCGGAAAGTGGGCATTGTTGGGGAGCGATAATTTCCGTTCTTCCAGCTAAAGAGTGTATTCTATGATGGACGCCCAATCTAAAAAAGTCCGAGCGTATCCTCGGTAAAGGCTTCTGCGGTGGGTGAGATGGACCTCGCTGAACATGCCTCTTCTGATTGTGTCTGGTAGCAAATTTCCCTGAGCTATTGGGGAGTCGAATTGAGCCAGTGGAGGTGCCCGTCTGTCAACTGGATTGGACGATAGGAATTCCGAATGCGGAGCAGTTTCGGAACATACTGGCGAGTGAAGACCATGTGGGGATTCATGTTGGATCGACTTGGCCGACAGGGTCGCTTAAGCGAAGATTGAATGCGGAGAATCCGACTTCTACTGAACCCCGAGCGGAATCGTTCCTGATGCGATGCTGGGCCCCCTTCTCCCCGGATTACTGTGGGGTGGCGTGTGGGGACTGGGGGCTTGATCGTGTTGCTGCTGCAAGGCATTCGTTCGCTACTGGCCGAGGCCTAGTATAACTCCACGCTTAGAACGCGGCATATATGGATAGGGCCTGGGGAACAGCCGACGGAATTGCCGAGCAGGGTTCAGGTGACATTCTGCTGCTGAATGACTAGACATCGGTAGAATGAGGGGTTTTTAGCGCAGACTGAAGCCAGACCTGAACACTTCGGTTAGCACAATATCTCCCAAAATTTGGAAATCGAGGTTGCTCATGGAAATACTTGCAGTGAGTGGATTATTATGGTGATAAACCAGGCATGTCTGAAATCGAAGCACACCCAGTGTAAGAAGACAGGAGGATGCGATCCAACGTTGGCAATTGTCAAAATATCTGACATGACATCGCTGCCTGTGTTTTTTAGCTATTCAGATCGACCATTTTCTCTATTGCCATCCTTGATGTCGCTTTGCATGGCAAATCCTAGCCAACTGCTAGCTCAGGAGCCCCATATTGCAGTCCGAACATTGAGGGTTTCTCAAGAGACTGCTGGTGAAATATCCTGGCACATGTAGGTGAGAAGGTAGGAGAAGGAGTTCTATAAATGATATTTCTCGATCAGCTGACACACGCAACGATATCTCGCCATCGCATCGTCCTATGTCGCAATAGTATATCATATAATCATACTAGTAGTCATGCTTGAGTGTGAACGTCTATGCATGCATTTCAATTTCGCACTGTATAATTCTCTCAAGGAGATTCTCATGGGTTAATTACTATGCTTTACTTGATATGACTATTTTTCTGATCTGTAACTATAGCTTCTGCTTTGACCATTGGAAGTCGGTTGTTCCATACTTCGATCGATGTTCTGGGGTTTAGTGACTTACAATGTCCTGCCTTGCGTGTCGCGAGGTAGTGATAACTTAGTTGTTTTCCCCGCCCTCTTTTCATTATCTTCTCCTCTTCCCTCAGTGCCTGTAGGAAGCGAGAGACTATAGTTCTGTCCAGACTCTCTGAATCTAGCATATCTTCGTTTCACGAACGCGGTGGGAGGAAAGGCGAGAATACAGTAGACAACAGCCTGCTCTCTCACGGCTAAGTGCTTGAATTGAGTTACGTGGAACCTGATTCCCGGTATACATCCGAGTTATCTGACCAATGGAACGTCTTACAAAGGCCATTGTTGGCAGGGCAAGTCCTGACGTCAGAAGCGGACGGTCCAAGCGGCTCCCCCAGCTGGCATCCCCCCGTGCATCTTCCCCGCCATTCCGACCACCACTTCCTGCATCAACTAAACTATTGCTCCAATCGATAACTGATTATTTGAATCCAAACAGCAGCATATATAGTTTTAACTAAGGGTGTGCCCAGCATGTTGAGAAACACGAAGCTCCTCAGCACCAGATCCCATCCATTTTTACCCGCCATAACTGCAAGACCTGGTCAATTGTGCCACCCGTCAGTATCTTCCTACCAGCACCGCTGCCTTGTGACTTCCCAAACTATCCACAAAGAGAGACATCTTGAGTCTGATCTGGACCGACACCTACTCCGACCTGAGCATAATGAGAATACTAAGTCGGGCACCGACGACGAAGCGGCTCACCACTGGTCTTCGTATGATCCCACTATCACCGATCCCGACCTTGAGGTTCTGGCCTGCGAGGAAGAGTGCGAACTCGATGGTGATCTAGATGACCCTTTGTTCGTCAGTCCAGGCAATAGGGAAGTCAGTCGCTTCCTTGATCCGATGGTCGGAGGAGCGGTGCATGGTGCTACAAGACCGGGTCCAAGTGGGAGGGGCTGGACAAGAAAACATAAGGAAGTGATCATCAAGAAAATCCCCGGAAGCCAGTTTGAACGATACGACCGGATATTGCAGGAGCTGAGGAAGGCAGATAAGCAGTGAGTTGAAGACTTCTTCATCCGTATCTGGTATGATCATGTTGATACTCGTCTAGGGCCACGAAATGAGTGACGTAGTGAAGGGGTCTACTAGGCAGGACATAGTTCCGCAACTAAGGCCCATTATTGTCCGTGGTTTGCGAAGCGTCAACTCAAGTGTGGTTAGCAACCTTGGTTATTGATTGTTAGGTGAGTTGTTGATGGATGGTGATTGTACAGTGTCGGACTAGGTTATGTCCAGGGATGGGCCATGATATCACTTACTTCCAGATTGTATCAGAATGTGATATATGTAGTAAAATAAGAACAATGCATTACAGATTATTTGAAGGTTGATAATTTGTTATACATTCCATATTGATTGCTTCCATCGTTCGACCATACTCAGCCCTGGATCATATGTGTAATGAGTTTATCCAAAACCGCGTTTCCGGCGTTGTGTGCGACTGCAATCCCAACTACAACACAAAACAAGGAAATTATGGGCTATCCCTTTGGATCCCTGATTACAAAAGTGATACCTATATCCAAGTGGACTATAAATAGATAGAAGTCACTCGTCGACATGACCAAAAAGACATCAATAGAGCTCCACCACAATTGTCAAAACTCGCCAATGAGGGCCTCTCTGTCCTTGTGAATGTGGCATAGCGTCTTAGATTCTGATTGAGGGTCCACTTTTACTAGTAAATTGCAACATATTATTGCTTCAATCCCTTCGTACTCATTGCAGTATGCGAAAGAGTCTCCCCTGAACAGCCTTACCATTCCGGACATCTAACAGAAACATGATATTCCTGCAGATCACTTTCTCAAACAGGATATCTACAGGAGTCTTCAAATCTTGGAGTGACCGCATACTGCCCTGGAAAATAGATTAAAGATAGATTAATATCCCACCCGCTAGCGTGGCCAGTCATCGTCGCATACGCCACCCGATCTCCGACCATTACGTCAGTTCACGCACTGTGGCTGGATGATCGATCCGTAACAATGGTTCAATGAGTGAGTTCCTGGAAAAGGAACTGCTATCTGTGTTACTTTCTTAGGGGCTGTTGCAAGAATATGTATATATCCTATTTTTATGGTGTCCTTATGATTATATGAATCATATTGTATATTTGGTCGAGAGGTAAGAAACACCTGTAGTGGCCAAGATACTGTAAATCACTGGACTGAAATGGTGGCTTTTGCCTTGCTGCCAGAGTGTCAGAGTGAGCAAGCTAAAATTTGAGAATGCAATGTCGCCGGACAATCTCCCAATTTGGTTGAATGGCGATGCGATTGGCTCTCTAATCAATGTGTTCCCCTAACCATCAATACACACGCATATGCCCTATCCAAAGTAGGAAGCTCGAACGGTACCATTTGCACGTTCCCAATGTCATTGATATGTGCATGTATGGAGAAGGGTGTTATGATGCTAACCACATCAACATTGACCTTCTGCACTTTCGCCACCCTCATCATCCAAATTGTGTATTATTCCTACCCCCATACGACTGAGAAAGGATGGTGTGTGGAAGGTCATGGGATCGAAGAAAGGACTGGCCTTATGCTCGAGCAGCAGTCTAACAAGTTCCGAGTTCTGATCCCGCGCAGCACAGAAAAGTGGCGAGCCTCCATCTGGTGGAGCAGAATTTGGATCTGCTTTATGTGCGAGCAATAGCCTTGCAATGTCTATATTTTCCTCCCTCACCGCCAACCACAGAGGCGAGCCTCCATCTGGTGGAGCAAGGTTTGGATCTGCTCTATGTTCGAGCAACAGCCTTGCAATGTCTCTATTTCCATCCCTCACGGCCACCCACAGAGGCGAGCCTCCGCCTGGTGGAGCAGGGTTTGGATCTGCTTTATGTTCGAGCAATAGCCTTGCAATGTCTATGTTCCCATCACTCACGGCCCACCACAGAGGCGAGCCTCCACCTGGTGGCGCAAGGTTTGGATCAGCACCGTGCCGGAGTAAGGTATTGGTAATCTCCAGATAGCCTTCTCGTGCAGCCCACCAAAGTGGTGTAGCACTCCCACCAGGGTCAAGATTTGGATCCGCTTGGTTGTTCAGCAGTAACTCGACTAGGGCTGAGTTTTTCATTTGTACAGCCACCGCAAGTGGCATGTTGAAACCAGTGGTTATATAACCGTTTATCAGCCACACGGGAGTAAGATTATTTCCTGTAGCTCCCGTGAGCAGGTTCAGATCTGCGCCCTGCTTGAGAAGCAGCTCGACCGCAGCCTGTTGTCCACCCTGGACAGCCCAGAGCAGAGGCGTCTGGCCATAAATATCGATTGGATTTGTGTCGTAGACGCGCTTTGCTAACAACACCAGCATAGCCCTTTCCAGGCCAAAATATGCTGCTAGGTGCATTCCTGTCAATTTACGTGGTAGTTGACCGACATCATACCCATGGAGCAGAGTATACATGAGCGCTTGTCCGCTTGCGGAAACATAGTCTTCATTTCCAAGGAATTCGAAGACCAGATCATTTTCTTCCAAGGAAGAGGTGCGGACGTGGTGTGCCCAGTTGACCGAGGCATAGGTATAGAGCGAGTTGTTTTCTAGCCGTCGTTGCAACTCCTCCCGGGATGCACAGGAGCCGGTGCCGAACGTCTCGAACAGGAGATACGTAACGCAGCTTGTCGCTATAGCGTCTCTGGCCGCAAGGGCCCAGGCAATATCAGTGAGATAATCATAGGTCGTATAGTGCACCAGCTGCACCGTATCAGCTTCTTGATTATGGATGACTAGGCCTGCGCAGAGAGAAATCAATTCGTCCAGATCAGGGAAGTTGTCCTCTTCCAGTCGACGGTCACCCTTCTCTATGGCGAGAGCATGTCGAAGCTCATCCCGACGCAAAGGTCGCACTGCATGTATAACCCATGAGATGATACGCTGAGCCCATTCGCGGTTATTTACTCTCTGTCGATTGATTCTTTCCATCGCATTGTCATATGCCTCTTTTAGTGCTCCTGAGCCGTGAGGGAGCGCATCCAGTGCACGGTGGAACTCATTTTTCGTTCTTTTATCTTTCAAGGAGTCAAAATGGAGGGTCGCGAGCAAGAACCTTGATTCGATTTGTCTTAGTTTCCAAATTATCACGGGACACTGAGACAGGACAGGATATCCTTCCAAGATAGAAAACACTTACATCCCATCCACCAAATTGATTATCTGTTGCGTGATCTTCAGTTTCAATATCTCGTCCTGTTGAACAGAACGCGATAGCTCACTCCAACGACTGTCCAGGTAACATTCGATATCTGCCCCTTGTGCCCTAATATCCAGCCGTATGGCACCATCGAATGCGTACTCTAGGGAAGGCCGAGATGTTACCATGAAGCTGAGTTTACCACTCGATTGTAAACTCCGGACTTGGTCGAGCAGTTCCCTGCACGTCTCCTCCGAGCACTCATCCAGGGCGTCGACGACAAGGAACGCTCGATCAAGTTCCATGACGACTCCCAGAAGAGTGTTCGATAAATCTTTCATTGTCGGCTTGGAACTCCTGGCTTCGTGTTGTTCATAGAGAGAACGAACCGATGCGGGAACTGGGCCGGATAGCTGCTCCAAAATCTGCCGCAGAACGATACTAAGTCGATTGGAGGCAGTTTGGATCTGCCTTTGATCATAGCTGCAGTACAGGTAAGCCACCGGGGTCTCTCTGCTTATCTCTCGCTGCAGATGATCAATGACGATGGAAGCCAATATTGTCTTTCCGGCACCAGGAATCCCGGGGCAGAACAATGTTTGTTGTTTCCCATCTAGCCAGAGGCTAAACTGTTCGGAATGCAGAAACCATTGACCAGTGCCCGGCCGGTGCTTACTGAAAGCATCTACTTGCTCAGCTTGCTGAGCAGAGGGAGCAAGCCACGACAGAATTCTATGGCGCATCTTTCTCTCTTGTTCTGTTCGGCCATCAGAAAAATTTCGCATGCTTTGAAGATTAGGAGGATAATATTACCGTCAAGTAGAGGATTGAGCTTGAACTTGACTTCCGATATCTCCTTTCGGACTACATACATGATGCAACGTTGGCGGATCAGCTTCCTTTTCTCTCCCACGGACACGCCAGTTTAGGAATTCACTGACCCGTTTCAACAAGCTCCGCAGCGACTTCCATCTTCATCACCTCAGCTGGTGGAATGACACTCAGGAGGTCCTTGGCATAAGCCGCGGCTGTCGCAGCCGCATACCGTTGCCAGATCTTATGTTTATGGGTGTCGGAATAATCACAAATGCCTCGAATAACCAGGCAAGGAAAATCATTCATCAACCCTGCAGCCTCCATCTCGAAGCACAGTATGCGATATTGTCTGCGAAGTCTCTCTCGCGTGGCGGCGTGCCTCATCACCATATCTGCGGAGGCAATGGTACCATGGTGAATGACAGGATCCGTAGTCGTCCGAGGGCGTCGACGCACCAAACGGGAGGTGTCACAGTATGGGCATGGTTGTTGCTTATGATGACTTGATCCCGATTTACGGACGGTGTGACCATCGCTCATTAATGCGGCTGCTGCCCCAACTAAGAACACCAACAGAGCGACGGCGGCAGAAAAGAGCGAAGCAGAAGCCAACATACCACTGCTGGAGTTGAATGCAATCGCGCCCCAAGAAGCGAACAGACTGATACCTAGGACAGCGATGACAATATGACTTCTGGAATTAGAGGAAAGAAGGCTCGACTGCACAGCAGACTCTTGATGCTCATAAGATACCTCAAAAAGCTGGTCATACTCCCACCCTTGATGACTGTATAGGTCTCCAAACCGTGGGTTGCTCCCCTCTCTTAATGCTAGTGTTTTCTCGATCATATCCGTAACATGCCGCGACAATCCATTCCGTTGAACCTCATAAGTCGCCCGTAATTTATTTACTCCGTTTCGCAGTTGAGCTGGTGGCATATTGAGCATTCCTGTGTGTTCAAACTGGCCGCCGGCCACCATCTTCCCACGGTCATATTTTATAACCCCACCTGTAGCGTGTCAAAAAGATTTGTGGAGGGGGCCAAGGAAAAGGAAGTCTCTAGATAGGCAAGGAGATTTTTAAATATTCCTTACCCAGCTCTCCATCAGGAACACTGACTACCACATCACCAAGCCGAATATCTTCTTCATCAGGAGACTTGCTGGGGCTGGAAGGTGCTCCGCCGCCTATCCCCACCATCAGCCCAAAACGAATGCTAGGGAAACTTCGGAGCATGTCTGCTGCTCCCTTGGCTGCTGGGGTAATGCCGGTACTGCCAGCCGGGAGACACGCGATCACGATGTTGTGTTGACCAATTCGACCGAGCGTATACACGTTGTCATCGCCCTCGGGTTGATTCCGCGCCGGATAAATCTCATCCAACATCCCCTCCGAGGCTGCTAACTCGATGGCGAGGGCACAGATCCATCCCACCGTAAACTCATCATTCCGAGGTGCTCTGTATGGGAGATATTAGTGTGAATATGATGTCTCTTAGGTTTTCCATTTTCCCCCTTGCTTTCTGTCCATGTGTGGAGGCTCTATTTTTCTCAGCTTAAAGACTCACTTGCTAGATAAGTCTGCCATCCTGAGGCGATACTACCTTCAAAGCCACCCCTCCGCGGTAATTAGGAATGAGCGAACATGATGGCCAGAAATTGCGAATTAAGGCCCGGGTTGCTGCCCAAGCTTGAATGACAAGCAGATATCATGCAGGGATCTTGGGTCGGAGAAATCGAACTTCCGCCCAAAAAGTAATTATGGGTCGATGTATGTATGTAAGCAGCTAACAATCTGAGTATGGGAGATAATCCTTGGAGTCACGTTAGGGGACAAAAAAGGGCCCAAATGCTACTTAGTCAAAATTTAGTCTACATGCTTCGTGCAATCACCGTGAGCTAGAGGAAGGATGCCGATATTATAGTCGTTCCGCTCAACAAACCAGGTGCTTATGAACTATAGGCGGGAAATGCCGAAGTATACCCGGGAGCAACTTTTCCCGCATACTGTATCATCGTAGTAGAATTGCTACGACTATCGCGGACTGGTTGTAGTCCACTTTGACGGAGGATGTCCTTGCCCAGGGTTGCAGGATTGGGTGGATATGATGCATGCATGTATTTCAACGAACCTGGAGTTTCTAGTATACTTGTTTGCAGGAAGACCTGGAATTTTGCGCTGAACCCCACAGGGGAATATAGTAGTGTTATCGCAAAGTACATAACGTCAATCATAATGTCATCTTAACATTATAACACATCCGTTGTTCTTATCTAGTATTTCTGACAGGAATACAAGAGAACACACTCTTAGGTCGCTGTCGACTTTGTGCTGGCCAGTTGACGGAGAGAGCAGAGGAAATGGGATTTCAGTATTCCACCTGCAAAAATGATAGGCAAGAAGCAGTTGGTGCCAGGAAAGAATTGTAGTAAAGTACTAGTAGATCTACTGTTAGTCTAATGTTAGATACTCGCCTGCCTTCCCTTTCTTTCGGTTTGCTTTTCTTCTGTGATCGGCATATATTCTGTACTGTGGAAGTATAGTGTCGGCCGAGTCCAAGCCACAGCGTCAATCTCCGGCTTGAAGCTGGCCCGTCCGCGGATGAGATCATTCCCCACACCTGCGACACGAATCGGAGGATAAGCCGCCCACAATGCCATCATTGTTGAATCGCAACAGAGCCACGTTGTTCGCTCATTGGATCTGATCCTAGCCGTTACATGTCAGATCTCATTTTATCGACTGGGGAGTCAATGCTCATTGAAGGGCTGGAGGTGGTACGGGATGACGTTATCCGACTTGGTCGGCCGCGTGTCGAGGATGCGATGCGCTGCGATCCGTGGTTGAGAGCGAAACTTTCGGTTTGCGGACTTGATATCCTGTTTTATCTACCATTGTGTTACTGTTGACGGGTGTGATGATGATGCATGCGATCTGTCGCGCGACGCTGGAGATGTATTTCGAAGGTGGGATGGGATATTGACAGTGAGATATGACAGTGACTGAGAAAAGTATTGTAGTGAATATTATGGAGCTGTCAGTGCTCGGAGGTACTGTTCCTGACTAATCTGCACTAAGGCACCTGATATCAGGTGTCTTTGCAGCGAACAAGAATAGACTGCCCCAGTCAATATCCTCGAGAAGGAAAGCAACAGAGACGATCCCATCCACTTCTGACGCAAGAATGATCCATCTCTCGTCGCTAACTGGGGCAGTGGGGCAACCTTCATCTACTTTGTCTCCATTCTTTGTCTTTGTGCTCGATTCTAGAATCCGTGAATCTGATGGGCTGATCCTGCACACCATCAAGCTGCTTGCAGCGATGATGTGATAGGATCCCTACGCCACGGAGGCCCTGCATGTATCTGTTCGACTGTGACGGGGTGATAACACCCCAGATTCGATTCAAGCGCAATGACGTAGGTGGGCTTCGCTGCATAGCAGGTGCATTTAAAGGGCCCTGAATCGTTGAGCTGGTGGTAAGCATCTAGTCAATAACTTATTCCTGCACATATCTTGATACCTAACCTTAGTACTCACGATCAAACCCTACAATTGCTATCTATTTTCACTTTCTTGTACCTGACGAACCACTAGCTTTACGACTGACGAACGCGACGACAAATCAGCTACCACCCCGTCCCAAACAACTACCCAATCAAGATCGGCGCATATTTCTCCAATCCTTTCACCTCCCGTCAAGCCATACCGTCTAATACAGCTACAATGTCCTCTCCTATCGCAAGCAAAGTCTCCAAGCTCAACCTCAGCCCTGACTCCAAGCGAGGCACTCCACCCAAGCTCCGCCAGCAGACCCCCCAGAAGAAGACTCCTCCCAAGCTTCATACCCAGGATTCCGCCTCTCAGGCTGAAGAACCAAGCGCACCTTCTACCCCCACGCCCAAGGGTAAGGTTAGGCAGCTACAGTCTGAGCAGCGCGCTTCCCCTGCCCCGGTCCCGGATGACGCTCAGTCCCAGGCATCTGGATCGGCAAGTCAGATTGGAAGACCCGCTTCTGAGCTTGGAGACAAAGCTCAGGAGACTGCGCAAAGTGTGCAAAATGGCGTCGAAGACCAAGGTGTCGGCCAGATTGACTTGTCTGTTCTGAAGGGTCTGCAGGTCGGCGAGGATGGTCTAATCCATGATCAAGATGGAAATGCCATTGGCCGACTCGCGGAAGGCCAGGCTGAATATCTCACCGGATACACTGTCGGTGACAACGGAGAGATCCTCGATGAGGATGGGGATCTTGTCGGAGTTGCCGATGTTCTTCCTGAGGCTTTCCAAGATGCGGTTGACGGCACCCAGGAGGGGGCTCAAGAAACAACCGACCAGGCAACCAAAACCATCAACAATATTGCCGAGCTGGCGGAGCGTCCTGTCTCCGAGTCTGGTGAAATTAAGGATGATGATGGCAACACCATCGGCAAGCTTGTTGAGGGCAACCCAGAGGATTTGGCTGGTTATGCTCCTGACAAGGAAGGAAACATTCTTGATGACGATGGTGACCTTATTGGTCGGGTAGAGATCGCATCTCAAGCTCAAGAAGCAGCTGAAGCAGAACCCGAAGCAGCATCCGAAGCAGCACCCGAAGCGAAACCGATCACCGATATTGCGGCCCTGGCTGATCGTCCTGTGTCGGCATCTGGCGCTATCAAAGACGACCAAGGGCAGCCGATCGGAAAGCTTGTCGAGGGCAATCCCGAGGAATTGGCAGGTTATGCCCCGGACAAGGAAGGAAATATCTTGGACGATGATGGGGATCTTATCGGCCGTGTTGAGATTGCGTCCCAAGCCCGCCAAGGCGCTGAGAGTGTTGCCAGCTCCCAGAGACCTGCTAGCAAACTGAGCCGTGAGGCTGTTGACGATGCGGATCAAAGGGACACTTCAACGGCCGATGAAGCCAAGGAATCTGTCGAGGAGGCTGCTGAAGAGGCAGACGATGATCTTCCTCCCCTTTCTACCCTGGAGGGCCTCAAGTGCAACAAACTGGGCAAGATTGTTGATCGGGAAACCGGTAAGCCTGTCGGTGAACTGGTCGAGGGCGATGCGAAGAAGATCGCTAGACTGGGCGCCCAGCTGGATGACAAGGGTCAATTCTGGGACAACCGCGGCAACGTCATTGGAAAGGCCAAGACCCTCCCTGTCGAGGAGCATCCCGATGAACCGCCCTTTGGTGGATTGGAGGGCCTCCACGTTGTTGAAGATGGATGGGTGGAGGACCAGAACGGCAAGCGTGTCGGTAAGATCAGCGAGGGCGATGCTAAGAAGGTCCTTGGTCGTCCTGTTGATGAAGATGGGGACGTCTTGGACAAGAATGGCAACACCATTGCTAAGGCTGAATACTACGAGGCCGAAGACGAGCCGGAGCCGGAGCCGGAGGAAGCCCCTGACCTGTCCAGTTTGGAAGGTCTCACCCCCAACAAGCTTGGCTATGTGATTGGACCAAAGGGCGTCCCGATTGGGCGTGTCGTGGAAGGCAAGGTGAAGGAACTTGCCGGCAAGGAGATCCATGACGGCCAGATCTGGGACGGACCGAAGCCAATTGGACGTGTTGAGCTTATTCCCCAGGAAGAGCGGGAGAAATCAGCCGAAGGTCCATTCGCCGGGTTGGAGAACCTTGTTGTAAACAAGGAGGGTCTCGTCGAAGATGACGACGGAAATGTGGTCGGCAAGGTCATTGAAGGCGACATCAAGATCTTGCGTGGACGCGCCGTCGACGAGGACGGAGAGATCATTGACAAGTACGGCAACGTCAAGGGCCGTGCAGAGCCATATGAAGTGGAAGAGCCACAGGAAGAGGCGCCAGACCTGTCGATCTTGGAAGGAAAGACGGTCAACAAGGCTGGAAACGTTGTGGATGCCCAGGGCAACGTCTTCGGACGGATCACCTCTGGTGACAAGCGCCTTGCTGGACGAAAGGTTGACGGCAAGGGCCAGATCTGGGGTGATAACGGCAAAGTGATTGGCACAGCCGAGCTCATCCCAGGAGCCGAGGAGCAGAAGCCCGAAGGCGCCTTCTACGGTTTCGAGAATCCCGTGGTCGGAAAGGACGGCGTGATCACTGATGCCTCGGGCCAGGTCATTGGCCGTATTGTTGAGGGCGATGCACAGCGCCTCCAGGGCCGCCAGGTTGATGAGGATGGCGACATCCTGGACAAGAACGGTAATACCATTGGCCGCGCTGAGCGCTGGCAGCCCGAGGAGAAGCAGCGTGATGTTAACCCGATGTCGGGCCGTAAGGTCAACCGTGAGGGAGAGGTGCGCGATGCCGATGGTAACCTCATTGGCAAGCTGACCTCTGGCAACCTGCCATCCCTCATTGGCAAGGAGATTGATGATAACGGATACGTGGTGGACAATGATGGTAACAAGATCGGGGAATGCACATTGATCGAGAACATTCCCGAGCCCGAGCCCGAGCCTGAGGAGCCTGAAGAGGAACCTCAGGAGCCAGAGATCTCGCCTGAGGAGCAGGAAGCCCAGAGGAAGCTAGAGGAGGACAAGCAGTTGGCCAAGAAGATGAGCGGTATTGTTGCCCAGACACTAGACCGTATTCGTCCTGTCTGCAAGATGATTTCTGAGGT